TAATTTAAATACTTATTATTTTTATAACTATAACTATAGAAAACAATAAGCGTTACTAACCATATGAATTTATTGCAATACTTTGCATTCTTATTGCATTACCGAGAGCATGTTTTACAAGTCACAATAATACGATAATAAAGTAAAGCATGCATAAAATCTGCACATAGCCTTCAATAAAACTTTTATCCGTGCCTTTTGATTTTTACCTCTCGATATCAGTTTGATCAGCGACAAACTATTCGGAAATTGTGAAGGCAATAACTATATTTAATCATGTTTGAAATTCTATCGATATCGAGTTTTTAATTATTATTTTAATTTTATTTTTCCAAAAAAACATATCGAGACGCATAAACAAAAAATGCGAAAAATAAAAGAGACGCTAATGAGATAAAAATGTGAATAATTTGTGACAAGTTTTCCTTATGATTCTTATGGTTCTGTTGTAAAATCGAAACTTGCAACAACAAAATCGATAAATTGATTACTTTTACCTGAGGAACGTTTCATCGCGAAAAATCAGAGAAAGATGAGTAACACGTCGAAAGTTTACATTTAAGTGAGAATTATTATTGTTGATGTTGCTACACGCGTGAAAAAGATATATATATATATATATATATATATATATATAATTTTCTAATATAATATAAAAAATATAAATATAAATATAAAATATAAATATAATATATATGATATAAATATAATATAAATATATAAATATATATTATAAAATATAAATATATATTATACAATATAAATATAAAATATAAATATAAAAAATATCATAACATAAAAGATATAATTTTATAATGTAATTTTTTAATATAATTTTTAAAAATCAATATTTAGGAAAAAAGTTTAATAAAAAAAATCATAATCTTCTGCAGTATGTTATTTAGTAAAACATGTATGAATTACTCGAAATATGAGACTATTTTGTATGCAAGATTTGCACTTTTTATTTGCTGTGTCAAAAGTAACATGTCCAAGAATACACTAGAATCGACTATGACAAACCCTCTTATTCAAATAAAAGTATAACGAAACGTAGTGATACATAAGCAAAGCACGCATGTATATACATATTTGCATGCAATGATTACTTCTTGTTATATAAGAGTGCTTCCTGTTCTTACGCCACATAATATCACCACATAATATGTATAAAACACGCCGGGCCTGTCTTAGATATTATTCGCTTCTAGCGTGTCACTTGTATGACAGGTAAATAATATTAAATAATATTAGATAGTATAATAACGCTGGGCAGTCCTTTTTTATACTGACAATCTCTTTAACTTATCTCTATAACTTATTATGTTGTTATATTCCATTAACTTTTATTTTTACATAAGAAAAGTAATTCATTAAAATAAGTTTTACACAAATTATGGCTTTATTTTTTAGTTAAACTTTCTTTTAATTAAAAAATAAAGCCATAATTTGTGTAAAACTTATTTTAGTTTTTGTGTAAAACTAAAATAAGTTTTTGTGTAAAAATTTATTTTTAATTTTCTTAAAAAAAATTCTAATATCGCATCTTAGGTAATTTTATAATCTTACAACTTAATATATATATATTTTATAGAAAATAATAAAATTTCTAATATTCTTTGCATAAAAGTCCGTAGATTCCAACTACATCACCTATGAGATAATGGTCGACATTTTCGTCAGGTGAAAACGCTATCGAATGCTTTGCATATGCATATACATTCGGCGAGAAAAGCAGCAAACACCAGGATATTAGATACGCGATGCATTTCGCTAACGATCGCGGAACTCGTCCTCGGATAGATGGTTTGACCGAGGTCGACATGGACATTAATAGTTGCAAAGTTCATCCTCTGGCAAGCAAATAACGCGTCTCTCTTTCTCGATAGACAAAGAAGAAAAGAGAAATACGTCGACTGTTTACAATACTTCGAATAATTCTTAATTATTCCTGCGGATTCATAATACATATTTTTTTTCTCATTATCATAATAATTAATCTGAAGGACTTTAACGTCAATCGATCGCTCAATCGTCTCTCATCTAAGAGCATAATATTTCATTATTATATATCAGATCTTTGAATTAATAATGCAAGAAATAGTCATCGTACTTTGGCTGACATGTACGAAGAAAAACATGAGTTACGACGCGACGATGTTTGACTATACCAGTCATGGAAACTCGTTTGGCAGACCTTTGTTTTAATTAATATCTTGTTTTGACGAGAATAACCGGTATAGCGATGAGAACGATCGATATCGATCGATTTATAACTTGCGTGATGAGTCGGACAGTTAAAATAACATCAAGTTATTTTTAAGGAAAAATATCGACTAATAAAAATACGAGAGATCTCTTTGAAATAATTTTTCTAATTATATAAAAGAATGAAGGTTTTATTATGTATCTTTCTTATTATTTTTCCCATACTTTGCCTTATTTATTTTATATTTTTATTTTTATAAATAAGAAAACTGCAATTTTTTGACTATTTTAGTCTTATGTACGTTTTGCAAATTTTCAAAAAAAAATGTATTCAAGATTACATAATTCCCCACACTGGTTATTTTTCTATCAAAGAATTTTTTTCCTGTAATAAATTGTATTTAAAGAAATGTTATCATTTATTGCGTGAGTTTTCTGTTTGGAATTATAAAGTTATGTTAAGATAAAATTCTATTAGAGATTCCGGAAGAATATCATGGAAATAGTCTGTTACATCATTACGTGGTTGAAGGAATGATAAAAGCAAACGTAACGTTCTTTCCTCAGAATTAATCTTTCAATCGTGACGTCTCTCTCTCTCTCTCTCTCTCTTTCTCTCTCTCTCTTTCTCTCTTTCTCTCTCTCCCTCTCTTTTTTTCCTGAAATAAGCAATCAGAGCTGAAACTAATATAATATTAATGAGAATTTGCTTTAATGCTGTTAATACTGTTAATAAGAGAATGATTTCTACGTTTATTGAACAACAAATATTATCAAATAAATTACTAGAAATGTGACGTAAAACACAAATTTTCATAATCCGTCATTTTGTAAAGAGAAAAATAAGACTTTTATGAAAAAAAATTTTATCTATAAAATTTATATAAGATAATATTTAATAAATTTAGTAAAAGTTTAATTTTTATAATAAAAATTTTATAAAAGTTTAATAATTCTTGTTGGCATGCAAAAATTAATTTCTTATTTTTACATGACAGAATTATTGGATGCACTGGAGGAATAAACAGTCATACATTACACGCATGCACGTAACTTTATTTTAATAAAAAATTTCATAACTTCCGGAAATGCGCCCGAGATTAGTAACTTATGCTCTACAGCACTATCTAGAATTTACAGAACAATACGAAGTCATTCATCATTTCACGCATTGGTACAATAAACCCGAGAAATTTTTGAAGAGTTTCAGGCACGAGCCGAACGCAGAGTGAAAGTATCCGACGCCCACGAATATGTGAATATGCGAGGTGACAACAGGTTCCTAAAGGTGAACAACAATATCGTTGTCGTCGTAGGGCCTGCAGCTGAGAAAAAGAGAGAGAAAACATGAAGCTACACAATACCGTGCTAAATAAACCGCAATGATTCAGTGTGGTCGACCGTGCGCGCGATGACACATTCATTGAATCAAATTAAGAGCAGCGACTACAACCGTGACATTACTCGCGAAGATCGAGTTAATCGTAGTCTCTCAGCTGGTTTAGACATCTCGATTCATGCTTCGAGCGAGCACTACCGTGCTAACTACATGCAATGCAACATGATTTAAGAAGGAAAAACGATTTAAAAAGTAATTCTTCATAAATATTATGCAATTTGATAAATAGAAATCAACTTTGAAAAATCGATGAAGAAACGATGGAACAAATTAATGACAGATCGATGACATGCAGCTATCCGATCGAGCTGAAAATCCTATTATATACGAATTAAACATGAATTACATGGATCGCGCGAAATGTAAAAAATGATTTAAAATTTCCAATTAATTATGTTGTGACAAGAATTCTTGCTATATAAAAATCTATATAAAAATCTATCTTGTATATACAAGTTATAGATTTTCTTTTTAACGGAATTTTTTATAAATCGGTCGTACATATTTCTCTTTTTCTGAGACTGTTAAATGTACATCATTAGAAATTCAATAAGAAGCTCAGAAATTTAGATGAACCATTAAGGTTACGTGATTTTCAAGATTACCTCCGAATTTGCTTGAGAATTTTGATCGATTCACGTTGATTTCATTATTCTTATTTGAATGTATATTATTATGACATCTGGTCGATTGATTTGCAACGTCGACAATCATCACATTTATGACGATTTAACCGTGAAATGTGCAAACTTGATTTTTTAAAATGCCTCAATATAAATGAATGCACTGAACATATACTCGCATAACATTTTTTTCCATGTCGATTATGACGTCTATGCAGTTTTTATTTAATAATAAAAAATAATAAAAAAAAGTCTAATATAATAAGGATAAATGTGTATAATGAATATACAAATGTATAAATGTGAATGTGTTGCTTGAACACGAAATCTATAAAAATTGCAATAAAGTCAATAGAATTTATTACGTATAGTTTAAAACTATTTAATTTGCTCGACAAATTTTAATCTCGCGTATTTTAATTCAATAATTTTCACGATTAATTATTTCCACACACATTTATAAATATTTTCCTATTTATCATTATAAATATTTTTATTTTTAGCAATAAATATCATTTATCCAAATTTTTTTATAAATAGCAATCTCGATCAAATCAGTTATTCTAGAAAAGATTTCATCCCGAAAATGTTGAAATGATAATTGATTCATTTGATAAATTAAGTATATAAATATATTAATAGAAAAATATTTATATTACATTAAATATGTTTCGATAAATTTTTGAAAAGCAAAGATTTTTTTCGAATTAGCATCTCTCTTCTAAGATGATCGATTGAAATCACAATCGAGCATTTTTTCAAGTACTTACACCATCGTCTGAGAAAACCGCCCTGCAGTTTGGCGCAGATCCCGCGATGCACCCTCATTTTGACCAAGGTTTACTGAGGAGCGTTCACCCCGAGATCACAGCACACCGACCGTCAAAATAAAAAAGAGATGCAAACGCGTCCCCGTTTCTTGCTGCCTCTTTCTTGCGATGTCTCTTGTCCTAGATACTCTTGATGGCTGCGTCATGCACAGAATAATACACCGACTTTTTAAAGATCCGTTCGAAATGTCATTCAACGCGGTCGATTCCTCCACGATATTGTCCACGTCCTCGTCGTGTTTTCTCGCAGCGACCTCGAAGAGCTGCTGGGGCACAACTTGACTGGAGAAAGTCGGTCCACCTCTCGCAGTTAAAGCTAAGTGTGCCGATCGAACGTTATTATGGAGATGTTGAGTCCGGGCTTTTACTCTTCTCTTTTTCTTTATTTCTCGTCGTGTGTGTCTCTCTCTCGTCGTCGTTCCGAAGAAACGTCTCGCTAAGACATGTCCTGTAGATCCTTCACGTCCACGACCGATCGATGCTTACGGCAGTATCAGCCACGATCGCGCGATTCTCGTCAACTTGCTTCGAATCCGGTCTTAGCACGTGACGAGTGATGCACGCGAATATATGCGGCAAATACACTGCCTCCTCGATCGCTGGTGGCCGCGACAGTGATCGTGGGAACGATCGACGGTGATGTGATGTTGTGCTTTGGCAAGGAAGAGGCATGCGATCCAGGAGGTGGGAGCGACAGGGATGCTGATGAGGAGAGGAAGAGACTCAAGAAGAAGAAAGAGAGGGAAGAGGCAAAGAAAAAGAGAGAGATCGACGACAAGACCGGATAAGAGTGGCTGAGGAGAAGCGGATTGAAAAAGAGGGAAAGAGAGAGAGAAAGAGAAGATGGTGAGGAATCGATGCGAAATCGAGCGGAACACCGCAGCGCGCACGTATGTAAGTGCACGTTTGTGGGTGTTGTACGCACGAATATGTGTTGGCGATCTGATGCGAACGTAGTGTGATCGGTGCAAAATCGGCCGAGACACTGCCGAGAGACCGCCGCGATCCTTGGCGCGACCCGCTCAGGTGAACGATTTATTTCTGCCCCCACTTATCGCTCCACTTTGCCCCCTTCGGTGCGCCTGTTCAGTGCCTACTACTACTACTAACTCTTGCAGCCGCCGCTACTTCTTCATTCTTCAGTTCCCCTCGTTGCGCTCTCCTCCTGATGCAGCGACGCAGGAGCGTTTTATCTCATTCTCGGTCCTTATGTTGTCTTTATTTTATTTTAATGCATGAAGCTCTCTTCTTTTATTCCTTTTTCAAAATTTGTATCTTTTTTCCGATTAAAATGCGAAACTATAAATGAAAAAAAAAATTGATGTCATACACAAATGGAATAATTTGAAATTAAACAAATGGAGTAATAACTTTTCCATCAATTGAGGAATAAAATTTATGAGAAAAATATAAAAGAAGAATATAAAAATTATGAAAAAAATTAAACATAAAAACTTCACAATTAATATAAAATTATAAATTATAGAATTATAAATGAATTATGCTTATTGCATAACTGTGAGAATATGCGATGTGGGTATAAATATTTATGTATGATATTAATAATAATCAATTATATTATTTATAAAATATTGTAAAGTAAATTAAAAACTTGATTCCTCCTGAAAAAACGAATGGAGATAATATTTCTGAAGACGAGATATCTCCTCTTTTATCCAAGTGATGCAAGTGCCTGTATCTACTCTCTAAATTCGATCTATAATATAGTCTTCTCTCCGTCTTCTATTCCGCAATAAATCATTCTTGTTTCGTTTTTTCTTCTACTTTCTTCGTGTATTTTGTCACAGCAAATTTTTTTTCTCCTGTATTTCTCCGTTATCCGACGAATCACCTTCTCATACACAATGTAGCAATTTTAAAAAATAATAACAGCAATTCGTGAAGAGATGAAGATACGTCCATGGAATATAATAATTTCCTAGAATGTGCTTTACGGACTTTGATAGTTCGAAATGTGATAAATTTTTGTGATTCTGGAACATTCCAGTTATTATAGAGAAAGTGTTATAAGTAGACTTTTTGTTGAGAATTCTGTAGAATCAACGTGCAGAAATCTTTTCTAATAGAAATATCGATGCATTTTTCATAAATTATTAGTAATTAATAATTACTAAAATTGTTTAAAAAATAGAAACTTATTTTTAATTAATTCAAAATAGATTTCTTTATTTTCCCAAAATTAATTAATTTAAGATTAATTGCTGTATTAATAACACTAACAATTGATAAAGAATTAAAATTTAAAAAATGAAAATTTATATTTAATAATTGAATATTTTATTGTTAAGAAAAAATTAACTTTGAAGTAATTGACAAATTTCATCTTCGAAGAATGACAAATTTTTTACAAAAATCGCGAATTTTTTTATGCCTCATAAATTATTATTTATAAAATATTTGTATATTTCTGTCAGATTTAAATACTACTAGTTTTTACTCAACTAAAAAACTACTAGTTTTTACTCAACTAAAAAAAGCAACTAAAGCTTCAATTAATAGCTTATATAATCCATGCGTTAAAGTCTCACTGAAAAATACGAAATATTATTAATATGAAAATTATTCATTTACAATGATGTGATAAATTCTATTAATATAGATTCGATAATCTTACGATATTGAGAGAAAGGTCTGCCAAAAATAACCCGGTTTCAATTTCCGCTAGTGCGTTCATGATCGACAATCGCTACTTAAGAACACCGTAATAGGAAGCAATCGAGGACGTAAATGTAGGTTAATGCGGAAAATTAGAAGTTTTTGCGAGCCTGTCCTCCCTTCCTTCTGACACTCTTTATATTATCATTGCATTTCGAATTTTTTTAATTGTTCAAAAGTGATATTTATTTCGCTTTTAGCGCAAGAAAAAGAAATAAAAAGACTGTTACATCCAATGCAAAACCAATTAAATTTTATAAGTACAAAATCTGAAATATTTTCGAGATTTATAAAAATACATTTAAAAATAAATAAACGATATTCGTAACAGAAATTGTAATCGAATATACTTTTATACACATCTTGCGTAAAAAATTCATATTATAAATTCTAAGAAATATACTTTGTCAACTGTAGATTGCAATTACATTTGCATCTCACAAATTAATGATAAATTTGCATTCTTTTATTCTAGATTCATTTTGGCATAGTTCTATATTAATACATAAGTAAAATATTACATTTTAATACTATTATTAATTTTCATAAACTTTTTACCAGGATATATATTTAATGTATTTAATGTAATATATTTATATTTAATATATATATGTTCTGTTCAAAAAAGGGACTTAGAATATATTTAAAAAAATAATCATCATTAAATATTGAAATAGATCCTTTCGAGAATATTTATTTCTATTTCGGTCTATTTTTTATCTAAGCTATATATATATTTGGGCTATTCAAAAAGAATGCTCTTATTATGCTCTTATTATGCTCTTATTATTTAAAATACATTCTTCCGTGCAAAGTGATGCTTTTATGTGGAGCATAATGATGGCAACCTTGACCTTTTAATTTGGAAGAATAACGATAATTTAAGTATTATGCAAAAAGTGACTATCCAGATGGCAGCGGCGATAAACTTGCGACAAGCTGATATTATTCGCATTATTATGTAAAACCAAGAGTAATCCTATATATATATATATATATATATATATATATATATATGTAATCGTTATATACTTCTTTGAATTGACATTTTCAACGTGCCACTCTCAACACTCGTTACACAACTAATCGTGGATATTTATTTTAAAAAAGAAGGAAGAATAAAAAAGAAATAAATTAATGTCTTGAACAAATTGACCAATTTAAAGAAATTGATATAATTCCTCCGTAAAATGACTGGTTATAATTTTAATGTTTCTTTTCCTTACATTATTATTATATTTTTATATATAATTTTTATATATAATTTATATCATTCTCTTAAAAATATAGATCGCATATCAAATAAAATTGCAATGATTCAAAACATGCCTCTGAACTGTACCGAGTGTTGCTGAAATTATAGTTTGCATAGAATAAATAAACAAAGACACATCTCGGCATTGGACGTCGGGTCTGAAAGGGTTAATACCCCGTTAACAAATGCTATAATCCGCCACGTTATAATTTGCGGAGCGAAACACGCAACTAAGTCGATGACGATCTTTCACAATAGCAGCCTCACTTTTTGAGCTCGTTGCGTTGTTACGGCATGACTTTAAAGACATCGCATCAAGTGCTGAGGTGGAATAATTAATTGCCGCGCTAATTACACTGCAATCTCTGATAGACTGCAAGATTATTGTATCATTAAAGAATAGATATATGTGCTCACGTAAATACTATGATGCGATGCATTTTGAGAGCTTTTTTACATCGGTCGAAGGTGCGAATGCCAGATCGATCGAGTATAACGTAATTTTATTATGGCTCTTGCTGTATGTTGAATCGCAATATCATCGTAATAAATTGCAATATAAGATGTCGCAGAACTCTATGATTAGGAATATATCCTTCTTCGAAGATATGACAGATAATCATAGAAGCTGCTTACAAATAATTCATTTTCATGCGATAAGTTTAATTATAAAACACAGATATTTTTCATATTAAATTCATTTTACGAATTAATTTTCAAGATATTTATAAAGTTAAAGATTCTAATCGCGATAAATAAATTTTTATGAGAACAAATCAACTCGTGATTCAACATAATTTATAACTGTAATTATATTTAATAATTCTGAGTCACTTTGTACAATGCTTTAGTAACAACGCAAATTCTCCCTCTCTTATCCAAACATCAATTCAATCGATCGTGCACATTGCAAGAATGTTAACCAGTATTGCACCACGATAATGCTAGTAGAGCAAATATCTACAACTTTTCTTCATGAAACTCGCGATTCTCAAGCATCAAAGATGTTTCAAGTATTCAAATGCACTATTTACGTTTATTTAAAAAAGTGCAACACAACATATCAGCGGAAGAAAGGCAGGCAGAGCAGAGCGTCAGTGTGTGTAATTGCCCCTCGTTCTTGAATTATATGAATGACCAAACTGCATTGATCAGCAGCGAAAGCGATTCTTCCCACTTGCTGCACGCGAATTTTATTTTTCAGATTTTTATAATTCAGAGCAGTTTTTTTCGCTATATGCGCACTTTGGAGGCGAAAACTATATCTATTATATACTACGTCTATATACTAAATAGATATTTAATAAAATTGCTCATATATATGATATGTGTAAAATTAACAATTCATAATAATCATAATAATAATCTTTTCATAGTTTATATACATAAAACATTGATTTATTAAAAAAGCATTAGCTGCAAGTGAACTAACTAATGATACTTTTGATGTACCTTTGATCTTTACGTAATAATACGTACATCGTTATCAGCCAGTTTTTATCGATGACGTAAGTTCTAGTGCTTTACTTTATTCTGAAAAGAAAAAAGCAACTCATCTCATCAAGCACAAACCTTCGATATGATTTATAAATTTATTCATTAAACACATCCTAAATCTTTATCAAGTTATTACAAAAATATTATCTAATAAAACAAATACATATTGCTGCGGTTTCTTTATTTCAATTATTCTTAGAATAAATATTTGATTTTTTTTTATAACGTTGTATATCATTTCAGTTTACTTTGTTGCCATGTTTTCCACAAATTTAATTTTTATACTATTACATAATTAAATATAGTAAAAAAGACATAGTAGAATTTTTTACTATTCTGTTTTAATAAAAAATACATTTAAAGAAATAAACGTGTTGAGTGAAAATTATTCGATTAAAGAAGATTCGCGCTTTTGCAACCGCAACAGAATGTATCTCGATGGGCCTAGTTCTCAGAGTAATACTCTGGAAAGTAATGCGTGGGTATAAAAAGAGAAAAGATTTCAAGAAAACCGACTGGCACGCGAAAAAACATCAAAATAAAAATAACAATGTTTTCTGCAATATATGTAACGCGAAAGTAAATTCTAGATCGCAATAGATTTGTGATTAATACATCAATTAAATACACGCATTTAATTCAGCAAAATAAAATAATTTTTCATTAGAAATATTCATAATGAATATTTATAATTTTATTTTTATATTATAGATTACCTTCTTTTTTTATATATTATAGTTATCTCAATACGTAAAATAATTAGCATAACTCGATACTGATCTGAAAAAAACTGATGATTAATGAAAAAGATAAGAGTCCTTGGTTTTAGCCAGAGGAATGCGATGTATTCAATTATGTAAAAGTTAATTATTCAATCATAAAGAAATAAGCATGACTACACATTTTGTTATAAAATGTATAGCCATCAAAATGTTATACATATAAATGCTTCAAATATGATTGCTTTATAATTTGTATAATTTGTATAATTTATGATACTGCGCATATATACAATAATGCGTATATATACAAAAGAAAAAAACTTATTTTATTGCTAAGTCAGTATCACAAAAAAAATTTCTAAATAATTAATCAAATCGGATTGGAATGCATAAAATAATATGTACAAACCGATAAACACTTTGCTTGTGAAAAAAAGGAATATGCTTATGAAAAAAGGTTATTATCTTAGTTTATATAAGTAATAAGATAATGATATTTGAAAACATAAATTTGCAATATTGCTCGATAGAATCAGAAGACTCTTTATCGAAAATATTTTTTCAATTTCTGCAGAAATTATTACAATGCACATTTCCTCTAATTCTATTTAGATAAGCTGTTGCAAGGAAGCGAGATTTCTTTTTATTAATATTGAAAAATTAATATGACACAAGATTGAAAATAACATTTTGAGGAAAAAATAATTTAGTTTTGTAATTAAAAAGAAGAATTGTTTGTTTCATGATACTTGCACATGTGGAATTAATTTGTTTACGCAATTATTTAAATACAAAATAAATAATCACACTTAAATCAAATATTATTTAAAATGTGTATTTTTCCTTCCACTTAAAAAAAAATTTAAGAGAACCGAATGTCTTTTGATATAAAATAAGATATATATGGATATAATCAGATCAGATAATTCACCTCTGTGTTAATTTATAAATTAATTTTTTATATGGAAATTTGATATATTTTCATGAAATTTTTCGTAAAAGGAATTTTTTGAAATGCGCAAATTGCACAAAAATTACCATTGGTCTCGCTAACGTACACGCAAAGTTCGGTTTTCACCGGCGAAAGGAATAGAAAGCCGCGCTTTGACTTCTCGTCGTGCTTGACAGGAGGACACGGTAATTAGATGAATTACGATTTCCTCCGATTGTAGTGAACATTATCGTGAGCTATCGTGTTTCTATTGCGAGCTGCTAAATCGTGTGACAGAGAAAAAGAAAAAAAACTGACAATGAATTGTTTTACCGTCATTTCAACGTGTAAAAAATCGCGCGTGATTTAATAGGCTATGAAACGACTTTTCTACTTTGTGGTCGTCGAGAAAGAACAAATTCTAACTGTTGTTGTAGCATGACAAATTCTATCGATTTGTTCAACAAATATATACGAAAACGCGTATATAAACGAAGCATGGAGTGGTTTTATGAAATGGAATAACTTTATGGAGGTCGACCGGTATCTTATAGGAGCTACCGGTTTGCTTCAAGTTTGGAACGAGTTTGTATGCTTCTATGACATCGCTAATTTCTTATGCTAAAAAACCAACGAAAATTAACAATCGTTTTTGTCAATCGAAACTAATAAAAAATTAATTTGACATTCTTTTTGCATCAATAAATAAATATAAATAAATTTGAATTCCATCACTCTTATCTTAAATCAAAATCTCTTATATTAAATCAAAATTGTGTTAAATTCACATATTCAGTCTAAAAGATGTGAAATATTTATATGTGAAATCTACGAATAAATATGTATATATATGAAATATACGTTATATGACACATATAAAAACTTATGGAAGAGATTTAAATTTTAAATCATGCCATATGCATACTTATCATATTTTTTTTCGTAAATATGAGATATATATTCTTAAATTTATAAAAATATAAATAATATTATTTGTATTAGAGAACAAACTTTTCCTCTAATACAAATAATATTAACAAAAATAAATAATACTTTAAATAAATATTAAAAAATAAATGAGGTATTATATTTCATCCTTCAGAATTTCTACATTCTCTTTAGATTAGTGATGTAAAATTGAGGTCATCGATTGCAATTATTTTTTTTATCGTTCTGGAACTAGCTCCGTTATACACAAGAATTATACCCAAATGTAATCATTTTTTCTAAAAAGATAATTAATGTTGTTTCATCTACAGTGAAAGAAAAAATTTATGAAACGACGATTATTCATTTTCCGTTTTTACGCGTCGAGAGCAAAGATCTCTTGTAATCCTTTCTTTTTCTCTCGTTTGTCAATTCCACTCTACACTATGGTTTGCGTGCGGAAAAATTGCGCATCCCTCGGTAATGAAAAGACTCAGAAAGCGCATCGTGTACTGTAACCTCACGCCGCACCGCAAGATTTTACAGCGTTGTAATCAAAAGAATTCGAAATAGAAATGCGTAGTGTTCTTATTGCGTGAATTAACATAATCCTTGGAGATTATTAAGTAGGCGACATTAGAGAGGTAATGCATAAGTTCGACCGATATACATATATTCGGCATTTAAATGCGGTATTATTCGAAACACAATGATAGGCATTATAGATATATATATTTTCGTCACATTTTTTTTATTGCGACGAGATATATACAATATTTATATGCTTACTGTATAGTCATATGCGCTATGCGCGATTACACATAAATATGTATCACACATAGAAATGTATCGCGCTTTTATATATATAAGATATATAGACAATTTTCTTACCTTATTTTTAAGATATACGTTTATACTATACAAATTACTATTGACCATTAAAGCACTTATCTATCGATCTCGCCAAATACTACGTCTAGTGTACCGATGATGGCAACTATATCGGCGAGGAAGTGCTTAGGTCCCATATATTGCAGACCCGCCAAATGAGCAAAGCCTGGCGCTTTGATTTTGCACCGATATGGCTTGCTGCTGCCGTCGCTCACAAGATAAACGCCAAACTCGCCTTTTGGTGCTTCAATTGCAGTATATGTTGCTCCAGGTGGCACCTGGAAACCTTGGGTGAACAACTTGAAGTGATGAATAAGTGCCTCCATGCTAGTTTTCATTTCTTCCCGCCGCGGTGGCACTATTTTGGCATCATCGCACCGTACTTCACCTGCGGGCATGTTATTTAGGCACTGATGAATGATGCGCAGAGATTCACGCATTTCTTGGATGCGGCATAAATATCTAAAATCAGGTGAAAATATTGTTTAGTCAAGATACACATCGACATTTTCCATTTATATTGTCAAGATAACTTTGAAAATTATTTACGAGTAATATTAGAAATTATTTTGTAAGAACTAATTTAAATAATAAAAAAGAAGGAAAAAAGTTAGAATCAAATGTAAATAACTGTGTGATGAAAAAAAGTTGTGAAAATATATGAAAAGATTACATTTCACGCAAAGATTTTTTTTCATTCTAGGTAATCTTTTGTGGGAATACCATTTGCATTCATTTTCTATTTACTTTCAAATTCCATGATTCTTAACTTTTTTAATTATCTGGTTGTTTTTCTTACATCTTTATATTTTTTGTAAATAATTCGCTTCGCATCTAGAAACTTACCTATCGTAGCAATCACCGTTTGTACCAACTGGAACATCGAAATCGATCAAATCGTAAGCGTCGTAAGGTGCAACTTTCCTTAGATCCCACTTTATTCCAGAACCTCGTAACATAACGCCGCTGAAACCCCAATTAAGCGCATCTTCTGCAGATACAACACCGATATCAATCGTACGTTGTCGCCAGATTCTGTTTTCTGTCAATAAATCCTCTATCTCATCTATTATTCCCGAGTATTTTGAGGCCCAGTTGTATATGTCATCCATTAAACCCAATGGTAAATCAAGTGAAACTCCGCCGGGTCGTATATATGCTGCATGCATGCGAGCGCCGCTCACGCGTTCATAAAATTCCATCAGTTTCTCACGCTCTTCAAACATCCAAAAAAAGGGTGTAAGAGCACCAATGTCCAATGCATGTGTTCCAATGCCCATAATGTGATTCAGAATCCTTGTGATTTCCGCAAAAAGAACTAAACACAGAAAGATGTATATAGTTTTAAGAATGTACATATAAAGATAGATAAGCATATTCAAGAAAAAGTAAATCTACCTTAAGATATTCTATATTAGTCAAGTCTAGAGATAGAGTCATATCATTTTTACCTCGAATATATTTTGCGCGCAGAGGTACATCTATGTTGAGCAACTTCTCTATCGCCAGAGAGAAGCACTGCTCATTGCACATCATGGACACATAATCCAAACGATCAAAGTATGGTAACGCTTGCATGTAGGTCTTATACTCGATCAGCTTTTCTGTGCCACGGTGCAAGAGACCGATATGCGGATCTGCACTGACGACAATTTCGCCGTCCAGTTCCAGAATCAGTCGGAGTACACCGTGAGCAGCGGGATGCTGCGGGCCAAAGTTGATCTTTATGTTCTCTATAGTTTGTTGCGCTACAGACGGATGTGCGATCATGGATTCAGGTCTTGGTGGCTTCCAATCGATCTGCTCGTTGCAGTACACAAGCGGCTTGCTCCAATGCTCCAAAAATTCTTTATCCGGATTCCATTGGTGGGCATTGCGATGTTGGCTATAGAACATATGTATTGTCAGTCGAGTTCACAAAAATAGACATTTATTTATTTACTTATTTTCTTAAGATGTTTTCAACAATTTCATTATTTCGCACATGTTAATAAAACTTAAGGAAAACATCTTTACGTCAACTAGGAGCAGACAAATAGATTACGAGGTTATGCGAATACGAGGGTTACATAATGTGATACATAATCGCGTTACAGCCATGCAATTAGAAGCTATAAATTTAACTCACACATTGACGATTGCCGGTGCATTATTCGGCGCCAGTAACTTGCCCGCACCGAGAAATCCGGCATTTTTCCGCAGGACTGATCCTAACGCTCTGGCCGCCATGATGTTCACATCATGATACGTCAGACGTCAAGGTACTTACGCAAATGTTACTTGTCGGCTAGAGTGACATTGAATGGACCAATCGGGATACAAGAAATAAAAATTGCTTTATCCTGATTGGTTAATTCAATTCTAATCTGCAGCACGAGTAAGATTTTTGAACGCATCCTCGACAGGATGACTCGGTCGATACAATTACGGACCAATATTATCTACTCTATAATTAAAATGCTATTTTTTCATCTTGTGTATACATATATAAATATATCATTTATCATGTTTATATCAGGGTAGTGTCGATTTAGACTTCAAAATTTCGTTTACGTGAATTGGTTACATATATGTACATGATGTTTCTGTGGACTTTTTTTATGTAAACATGTAATTATTATAAATTCAATTCAAACAAAACAATAATTACATTATAAAATAGTATTATTATAATAAAATATATTGTAATAAAATTATTATATTAAAATTATTTATGAAATAAATGAAAGTTAATTTATGAAATAAATTATGAATTAAGATTATTAAGTATTATTATAATAAAATATTATCATATAATATATAATATATAATATTAATTTTCTTTTTTTATATATTAATTTTCTTTTTTCAATATAAAAAATTCAATTTGAATTCTTTGACTTGGTATCATAAAATATTAAAATTGTAGCGTCATATTTAAATCATGTACAATATAAACGTTCTCTGACACGTCATAATTTCATCAATTATTCATTGTTGACATAGATGACATACAATTTATATTGTTCACGCATAGATTATGATAGTTTACGGGATGATAAATGCCCAACACTGGCTCATATGAATGAAACTATGAATGAAATTCTCTTAAACATAATCAGACAGTTTTTAAAGATGATATTCTAATCTGAAATATGGAAGAATGTTCGTTCGAAAAAAATTGACGTGTGCGAGATAATTTTTGTCACGCGTAATATTTTTAGCATGTTTTTTTTTATATACTTTTATCTTCGAGAATCTAAAAGTACAATTTAAATTTCTCTTTGAAAATGCGCATTCTTCTATTCGTGCTTACCGTTCTACGCATCTATTCGTTTCGCTAAATTTGCAAATTATAATTGGACACGCAAACGTGCGCTGCGGATCTTGACCTTTGCCTGTTTTTCTATTTACGTATCTAGACTTGAAATATCCGCATCGATAAAACGAAATCGATGGAGACAATCCGTTTTTCGTGAATATTTCGAACCGTACTTGGAAGATCGCCATGGAATTTCCACGGTTTCGTGAGAATCCAAGATATGCAGATACACGCGTGCTGTATTTTGAAAATCAAAGCAAAATTTATTCGTCTCTTTATTTTTCATTAAAAAAAAATATATATATAGGACAATCTCTTCCCAAAAAAAGCTCTTGTAGCTTACCTCGAGAGCTTTTTGAAACATTAATAAAGAATTTTTTTATTGAGTACTTTTCGAGTTATGAGGCTTGAAATAATCTCTTAATTTTACATAAACCATAAAATATCTAGTAAAATATTCATTTTTCAATTATCTTATCTTAATAATTTTATGTATACAATAATGAGAGGAATCAATTGATGTAAAGAAAAGACATAATTGTTTCGAAGAAAAAATATGTAATTTGCAATTAACAATTACATATTTTTTTTCGAAACAATTATGTGTTTTTTTTTTACAATTGATTCCTCTCATTAGTTTGTACATAAAAGTATTATGGTAAGATAATTGAAAAATGAATATTTTACTAGATATTTTATAGTTTATATAAAAATTAAGAAATTATTTCAAACCTCATAACTCGAAAAGTACTCGATGAAAAAATACTTTATTATAGTGTTTTGAAAAGCTCTCGAGGTAAGCTATAAGAACATTTTTGGGGGGAGAGATTGCTCTGACACCCTGTATATCAAATAAATGACACATACTCGCTCATAGCAAATATAAGATGTAAGAAATTACGAATTTCCTCATATGAATAAGATGATTGCCAAAAGTTTGACGTAAGTCACGGTATTGAGGCTGTTATTTCGAGGATAATGATTAGTGTATAGATCATTGCTGCTCCCACCAGCAGCCAACATTCTACACGTCGTAATCGCATACGCGGCCAAGCACGCATATACACGTATGTATGTATATCGCTCTCTAATCAAGCACAGGCTAATCGAGTAGGTTGCATTTTAATTCAAATTTTTTCTTTATTTTCTGTACATATATATATATATAATATATATTGAGCGTATATATATAATTATATATAACAAAGGTACAAAAGTTAATCACCATGTGTTTGATTGTATCGGAAAGAATCCTTTGCGAATGTTTGTCGCTCGATCAACGGCAGACATGGCGACGGATAATTTCGCTTTATAAAATTTGAAAAATTGAAAAATTCGAAAAATGAAAAATATATTTCCAAATTTAATATAATTTAATAAACGCATATAAAGTTTCGGATAAACTAGCTGTCGTGATATTTATTCGCGCGTTTAAATAACGAGAGCGCATCTTTTATCACTGTTATCACGGTTTTTTCTCACGTATGTGGAAAATAGTAAAGAGAAAATACATGCATATAAAACATACATTTGATGACCAACAAGTATAAGTAAAATATATATATTGCTAGTATATATTGCTAGTCCATAAACTAGATTATATCACGTTGCTCACTTTTATATCCATTGTGCAAAAATAGAATATTAACAAATAGAAATAGAAGGATGATATCTCGATAGCTTCATTATTGTACTCAATAAGTGACATAGACACATGATAGCACAAAGCATTTTTGATTTGATTGACAATGAGCTCAAAAAGCGATTAAACAAGAATCTTTGACCATCATATTTCAATATAAAACCAAGAAATATTGATTCTAGCAATATTTTCAGCTTTCTTTTGTATCAAGTCTATAATTTTGAAGGAAGCTTTGAGGAAGCTTTGAGATGCAAAAAATATAATTAATTGATTGCATAATTGCTCTATCGAAGCAATTTTTCCATGTATTAATAATTATTCATTATAATAAAAATTTTGTCAATCCCAGTTTTTTTTGGAAATTACTGTAATTCATATAATATTAAAGTGTGCTTATATATCTTCAGGTCATTTTGCATTTCAAAATTTCAGCTGAGCACTATCCCAGACTTATGAACATAAGTCCCAGACTTCAGAATATAAAAATAATCTTTGAAATTTACCGGAAATCTAAAGAAAAACTCTCTGATAAATATCTCTTCGCTCTTCTCGATCGATCCTTTTGCTAATAAAAGTCGTAAAGGAGATAACGGTGCAACGACTGCGGTAGCTGCAGCTTCCTGACGATCTTGGGTAATTTAGTGCCGCAAAGTTTGCGTACTATCAGTCTCGCCTGATGAGTCAACGGTAACGGGGTCCTGGCCGCCTCCATTACCAGGGCTTTCTGGGCATCTGTCAAACTGCTGGACCGTCGTATCATGCAAGGATCGAAGCTCTCGGCCGCCTCCAGCAACGCGCGCAACAGCCGCGGCTTGTCGGCCGTATTTTGCAACGAATTAAGGATACCATGCGGGTCGCGAAACTGCGTCTTGATCACCACTCGGGCGCCGTACTTAAGCAGCAATGCCACCACCTCCACCGACGGATTCTCGTTCGAGGCGACGTACTCGGCGAGCACCGGACGCAACGCCGGGCCGTCGTCGCTGCGGATCACCAGGTTTGGATCAGCCCCGCGTTCCAACAGCATGCTCAAAATCTCCAGCCGATTCGGGATGTTATCCGCGCATGCCACGTGTAGCGGCGAACCGATGATCGGCGACGTGGCGTTCACGTTCGCACCTGAATGTAATTTTTCAGATTAAATTATAGACATATATTCAAATTTAGGGAGAATTATTGTAGCTTGAATTATTCGTACGTTAAAAAGTATTTGAGAAAATTTTTTAGATCAAATTTATTATAGCGATTGAGACATCCTCGCGCGGATATTCAGCACGCGATGACCTTCGAATGCCATGCGATTCGGCCGTATGCCAGAAGCACGATATCGCGGGACAATCGTATATGATATCGCAACTCGCCTGCTTGGAGCAGCGTCTCGACGATTGACGGGTCTCCCTTGAGTATGGCCAAGTCCAGGGCCGTCGGTTTCTGATAGTCTGATCCGAGATCCAGCCGGGCGCCCTGCTTTAGCAGCAGATTGATAACCGCCGGGTCACCGCCGAGAATCGCATAATGCAACACCGTACGATAATCGTGCCTGGAGTCTGCCATTGCGTTCACGTCCGCCCCGTAGCTGAGTAGTAGAAGCACCGAAGCTATACCCTGCAACATTTGCAATCGTCAACTTGTTTTGTGTAAAAGTTTGTGAAAAATTCGAGCAAAATAATGCATCATTTGCATTTTTTTATTCAATTACATTACCTGTGGCAGTCTGGCAGCTTTCATGAGAGGCGTTAACCCAGCGCGATCCCGCGTGTTCGGATAGGCACCGAAGGCCAATAGCAACTCCATGCATTCTAAATCCAGCGGTGACACTAGATTAATCTCGGAGCCGAAGAAGTATCTCTTGTTCGGATTAGCGCCGGCCTCGAGAAGAATTCTCGCAACCTCAACGTGACGGTTTCGTAGGGCCAGACGTAGTGGTTCGTCACACAACATGGTTCTGTAGGACAAAAACACGATTAATGACGAATGAGAATATTTTAAGTAAAAAATGATAATAACATTAATTAATTCTTTTTTATCTTTATTTTTATATATATTTGATATTACTTTTATTTATTTAAATTTTAATGTATACTATGTTATTTTTATTTTTATATATATTTATAATTTTAAATAATGTTAAGTTCAATATTATTGTTGCATTTTTATCTATTTTAAGATTTCTATTCTCTATTTCATTCTAAATATCGTTAAATAGTTTCGATCTCTAAGATAAGTTCGTTTACACTATATAAAAATTACAAATGTAAAACTGGATGTCACTCAAAGCCAAAAGGTGCGCATTAAGAAATAAATAATAATAATTAACTCTTCCTTATTCTATTCAATATTCTATTTTATAATTAATAAGTTAATTCTTATAATTAATTTTCTTATATTTTTTCTAGAGTATTGGATATTGACCAAGCTGAAACGCCTGCAACGAACCTGGGGAAGAGTTCCCCGGTGTCTTGCCGGTGATCCACCTTGGCGCCATACTTGAGCAGCAGTTTCACCAGATCCAGGTAGCCGTGCTCGGCAGCGAGGTGCAGGGCCGAGTAACCGCACTCGTCGGTGGCATCGATGTCGGCGCCGCGCACCAGGAGCAGCTGGGCGGCCTCGGTGTAGCGTTGCCAGACGGCGTAGTGTAGGGGTCTGAGACCCTGGGTGACCGGCTCGTTCGGCTTGGCACCGCAAGCGAGGAGGATGCGGATCTCGTCGAGCGGCTGCAACCGTATTATCGAGTCGGCCAGCTCCCGCTGTAACGGGTTGGCGATGCACTCGATCGGCATCTGCATGGCGTAACAAAGGTGTATAGAGATAGATAGAAAAGTAAAGAGAGAAAGAGAAAGATTACATAATGATCGTGTATCGTTTCGCGTATTGGCAGAAATCGCCGAGGACTTATGAGACGATTTTTCAATATGTAACTTGTCAACGTCTAACGAGACTGTTTGCCTGTTTTATTATTTCACCTTCGTTTGTAGAAAATTGAGATGAGTTTTTTGCAGAAGAAGAAACTGAAAAACTTCCCAGGAAAGTGTGCCAACTTGCAAAGAAATCTTGTAGGACTGAATAAAAATATTTTTTGGATGAATAAAATAATTATATATATCAAAAATTATATTAAAACTAATCGAGTTTGAATTAATTTATTCAATAATTTTATAATTATTTATTTTTGTGACTGGACATGACATGTCTGATAAATTTGTTGCTTGCTGATAATTTCTTTAAATTAAATAAAATAATTTAATAATTAAATAATTCAATTAAATTATTAAATTATTAAACAAATAATTGAATAATTAAATAATTTCTTTAAATTAAAATTTTATAAAATTGTTATAGATATAAAATATCATCTCTCATCAGATGAGATTTGTTTTTATTAGTCGAACAATACATTGATTGATAAAACATACAATACATACACAAGATCGAGTAAAATATTTAAATTAAATCTTGTTATTAAATTCATACAGATTCTGTGTGATCTTGGGATAGTCGCTTGAGAGAAATCTTTTACAAAGACGAGAGAACCGACATGCGACATGCATTACTTTAATGTGCTTTTATTACACATTAATACGCACTTTAATATCGAGTCTGATTTGCCTTATACGACGAGCACGGAAATCCGATAAATCTGTAATGTAAGAAGATAGGAAGATTAATAAGAACTGATAGATTACAATGTAACTCCCTCGCAGTATTACAATATTCGAAAAATTATAATGAATAATTGCAAGATGTTACGTTCTGACAATTAATTAAAAAAAAAAGATGTAGTAAATTATATTGTTAATAAGAATATGTACTACATGTTGCATTCTTTTCTGAAACATCGCGCATAAGAATTTCACAGTCTTTTCTATTATAATCCTGCACTTACAATAATTGCACAAATAAAAGAATTTTTATATAATAAATAACGAATAAAAATATAAAAAGATTAAAACAAAACTGCACGTATAAAAATATAAATTAATATAAATAAAAAAATTACGATACAAAAGAATTCAAATAAATATAATTGATATCAATTAATGTTGTGTAAATTCTACATTATAAGAATAAAAATATTTGTACAATGCAGGTGTAATAGAAAAGACCTCGATTCCCGATCCCGGACATGATTGATAATGTATTATAGTTAAATCTTTGCAGTCAATCTTTGCAAAGATTTTCCTCCAACGATGATCCCGCAACGTGCCGTTTACGATTTGGCTGACGATAGGTAAGTTAATGCAATCAGGCTGCTCTCGCATTGGGAACTTCACTGACGCGCGTCACGAGCACCAGAAACTCTGCCAAGAAGACGGCGCAATTTTGGCGATGATGCCGGAAGTCTTGTGGCGCGTCGTCGAGAATCACGCAGTCTGCGTCTTCGCGAAAGCAATGTGATTTTTTTGTGAAAGCAATGAGATCTTTTTTGCTTGAATGAATGATACGCAAGTTTTCTCCAGACCTATCTTCCAAAGCCCTTCTTTATTAGACGCAAATTCCCGAAAAAATGTAATGACGTTTTGAATTATTTTTTGAGAAAATCTACCTAAATGTAGTCTTAAAATTTATCAAATTCTTAACAAAGTGGGTATGCGTGGTTTTATTTTTGGCAATATATATTCATCAGATTTTCTGATTTCTTTCAATGAAATTGCTAAATTAAAAAACTAAGTTTGATTAAGGAAATTCTCTCTGTGGTTCTATTTTGAATTTATATTTATTAATAGCAAAAATAATAAAAAATTCTTCATGTATCATTCTTATGTATTCTTAGATTGCTCGCAAGATCAAGATCGATCGAATCCGCGTAGCCAGTGTAACGGCGCAAAAGAGTCGATATTCACTGCCAATTTTCGCCGCATATATCTGACTATTGTAAATATTTAACTTCTAGATTGATGCAAAATTTTGATAATATCTCGCAATTCGATTCAATATTATACTTTTCATGAATATCAAAATAAAAGTAATATACATTCCCATATACTATGGTTGTGACACATATCGCGAGATGATTGAGATTTGTCATAAAATTGCAAACAAAATATTAATATATGAATTTATACATTAATATATAAAATACTTATATTATTAGTAATAATATTAAATTCTTGAATGTCGCCAGTAGATAAAATAAAATAACGTAATTTAAATTGACCACACTGGCAATTTATTGGTTAATAAAGAATCACAACGTTTCGACCATGGATTTTGGTCCTTGTCAAGTGAAAATATTATCTTAATTAACCAATATATAATGAGAAAAGAGGAAATCGCTATGTCAGGATTCCGTCATGTCAACCTCCCGATCAAACACAAAGAGAAAAGTTTCTCATATATTGGTTAACTAAGATATTTTCACTTGATAAGGACCAAAATCCATGGTCGAAACGTTGTGATTCTTTATTAACCAATAAATTGCCAGTGTGAGCAATTTAAATTACGTTATTTTATTATTAGTAATATTCAGTTATTTAAAATAATTATTAGGATTATCATTGATATGAACTTTCAGAAGATTCAGACAGGAATTATAGTACGATAGAGTCAAGAAAAATATCTCAATCAAAAATAACTTCTCAGACTTAAATTCTCAACTTTACCTTTCGACTTTGCATCAATTAGGAAGTTCTCGCACCGTGTCAAGGAAATTTATCTTGAAAGAATATCCTCTAGACGATCACTAATGCTTTAATTTTCGGATTATACGATCGAAGAAAGACCGGCGTCGAGAATCGCACATTCGCATCGTGTGCGAGCTTGACATTTCCGCGCTTATTGTTTACTCACGTTGAAGATAGTACGGTGTTCCAACATGTAGAAGAGACGATGTCACGAAAACTGTCTTCTCCGTCGGGCAATCTGGTCCTATTTAAAGCTTCCGATGAAACGGCGCGATTCGCCACCCGAAAATAACACAAAGGGATGGCGCGGGAGTTTGCGCACGTGTGCGTGTTCTCTGTCTGCTACGCAATTTTTGGGCCAGTTCTTTTTAGCTGCACTAGTGCAATTAGAGTGAAAGAAAGTATGTTTATCTCTTTTTAATTTATTGCACTAATGCAGCAGTGCAGAAAGAACAGACCCTTTGTCTTTTAGCGCGAAAAAGCTCTCTTCTTTTCTCACCTGTCAATTTCCCGACAAACATCATCGTCTTCATCCCATATGACGATTCGCTCTTTTCATGTGCGCTTGTTTTGAAAATTATTAGTAATTTGTTTTGACGGGTATAACGATGGAGAGTCGAAATAAAAGCGCATTTGGCGAAATTGCGGTGATACGCAAATCGCAGAATAGTTTTTGAATAAGTTTGAGCAAAAATGAACAACATTTTTGAACAAAAATGACTTATTACATACATGTGAAAAATAGCGTATATATTTTATTTCGCGAGTAAATTATCAAATTGATTTTAAGACATTGGGTATGATTGGCGTCATTTGAAGAACTTGTTTACAGAAACAATGGGTAAATAATATCTTAACGACAAGTGTTTAAAATTTCTATTTCCACGACGGAAATAATTTCCGAGACGCAGATTTTTCTAATACCCTTCATGAATATTTATTAATTAATTATAAGTGATAAGCGACAAAGTTCCGAAATGATTCATTATTTTAATAAACTTATTTAAGTTTTCTGAGTCACATTTGTGCGTCAAAAAGTTTATGGCTGTAATAATAATTATTTACAATGTTATACATGTATATATCTGTGATATGTGGCAATGTATTTTATGCTAGCACACAAAGAAATTTTCACCCTCTCCACCGGATAATATCGGAATGACAACTGTCTCACTCCCATTGTCTACAACTACGTCTTTTGGGAAGTTCACTGATCCTATGATCCGAAATTAAACTGAATTTCCTCGACACTTTGTTGTACCGTGCAAATTCTGTCAAAAGCATTCGCGGAGCGGCGACAACATTAAAGTCAACAAGGGGGAATTTTTTCTAGGATAAATTCATTCGTAATTACTTTAAAAAATGATTTGTTCTTAAAATCCCTTAGAAAATACGAAGAAAATTCGACAGCACTCGTACAATTTCGCTTTAGAGAATCCTTTTCTTCTTTATAAACAGATGCACATAAATAAACAAACTGCTAGTAAATAAAAAACTGCTAGTATAAATAAAAAAAACTGCTAGTGTATGTGTATATATTTTTTGTATTACGTGAAAAAATGCAAGTCTTCCTGAAGATAAAGGAGACAACAATGTTTCGATACGACATTAACACTCGAGATAATTAAAGAAAAAAAAAAGGGGGCAAACAATTTTTTTAGTAGTACTTTTATTAGGAAATACTTTGCACTTATTAAATGCGTCTTATACTCATAATCAATTATAATTATAATTATTGTTATAGCATTGTCCTATCTCTCTACTTAGAAGCATGCTTTCACTAACACATGTTACACGATCTTAAAATTATAAGCATTTTTTTCTCCTTATTTCTTAAAATACAGCTTACAGTAAATTACGTAAATTAAACAATACTTGGTGAATGCCGACAAATGCGCAGTTTCGAAATAGAGTCCCTCATAGCTTTTTTCTTTTGAGAAAGTCATGTAATGAAATTCTTCGGATATCTCGTGAAGATTAAGGTCAAAATCAAAAGATCGTCAAAATATAGGATGAGGGGAGAGGGACGGGAGGGGGGAGGAAGCAACGTGCATCCAGATCGCGGGAACGATCGCGCCACGCGATTCTTTGTTGCTGGGGTTATTGGACACTCATCCAATATGTATATATATATATATATGTATATGTATATGTATATGCCGCGCGTATATAATTATATAATTTTTATATTTAATTAAGTCTAGATTTTCTTCTCTCAGAAAGAATCTTACGACCGAATCATATATATGATGTTAATCATTAAAAGTAAAATAATGATAATTATTATTTGATAATATGATGTGAATCTCGGCAATAAACTTAGTACATTCTCGGCGCACATGATTTTTTTCATCTCTTTCTCAGCTCTCTTTCAGAGCTCTCGGAAGTCAAGGTTACTTTCAAAAGTACTTCAAAGACACACACACTATCAAGACATTTTCCTCGTTGCGCCAAAAAATTTTCTCCGAATTTTATTTTTTTTTTAATTATTACGATTCCTTTTTTTCTTGCTCTCCTTTTTGCGACGCAATTCTTATCTATCTACGTTCAATCAAGTCTCATTCTCAAATTACACACTTAACACCGTCGCTATAATTACTTTTTTTTATTTTTATTTTCTGTTCGCTCATTCTCTCACTCTTTCTCTCTCTCTCTCTCTCTTTATTTTTCTCCTCTTTGCAAAATGCACATTGTGTGCCTTTCTATGTAATAATACGCCACCCGTAACCGATTTTATCAAGATCTTACACCCTGATGGTGATCTTACATGCGAATTATAAAAGCTGGTTTGTTGCGATCAACAAACCGAACGGCACGGTATATTTTGCGAATTGTAATTACAGTCGCGAGACGAGTTCGATCTGTTTCATCCTCTCGTCTCTTATATGTCTCTTCTGTACTTTTTATTTATATATATGTGTGTACATGCACATATGTGTATTATATGTATGTATGTATGTATGTATGTATGTATGTATGTATGTATGTATGTATGTATGTATGTACGTATGTATGTATATACGTATGTATGTATGTATGTATATACGTATGTATGTATGTATATATATATATATATTTGCGTGTGCGCGTGTGTGCGCGCGCGTGTGTGCGCATATGTCGTCTCGTATTTTCGCGTACACATGCGTGTCTTTCGCCGTATTACACTGAATCCGCACGCTTCGGCGTCTCGTCAGAATGCGCGTACAACGATCAAGTGCTCTCCAACAAATCCCAATACAACAAATTGTCGCTCTTTCACGAGCATCTTCGTATTCACCGCAATTTCATATAATGCCACATTCTCCAAAATCTAATCTATTAACATAATGCCAATTCAGTGCACATATTAATGCTCGAAACATTCCCATACAGCAACACTAATTTGTGCTGTATGGGTTTAACGTGCGCATCATTGATAATTTGTTATAATATGATGTTAAAAGATTTTGTTGAGATACCCGATGGAATTATCATCTTTTGAATACGAAGCCTGACAAAGGAATCACGAAAGAGCGCCAAGGTATTTGGGAAAAGAGAATGTATTAAGGTTCCTGGTATTTATAGTCCATTCCTATTCAAGTGTCTTAAATAATGGCTCTGTGATTGATTTATAATATCATGATTGTAAGATGATCTTAAATATAAAGATAGTCTTAAATATAAGAATGAACTATGAATGCCGGTCCTGGTCCCTCCTTTATAATAAACGTCATATTAAATTATGAAGCGAGAAATCATGAGGTGTTTTTACATCGAGATAAATAAGTCTTTTTGAATGAAACTACTCGTATTCGATAATATGGATTAATAAAATACCCCAAAAATTCTTTTTCTTGGTTTATAAATTAATTGAAACCTCATAATTTCTCACATTAATAAGGGATCAGTAGTCCTTAATACGCACATTAATCTCCTATCTTGAATGAGTTTTCGAGAACAACGCAAGATATACATTTGTGTAGTAATAATAAGTGTGACTATATTCTACAGGATTAAGGATCTAAGGATCCGTTAAACGGATGCAGTCGAAGGCTTTCGCATATGCGATTATGTAATACTGGGATCGCGCGGAATAAGTTGCGCGAAGGAAACTGAGTAACTGAGTCTTACGGAGTTCAAGTGTCAGCGGCGGTGGCGGCGGTTCAATGTAATATGGCACACTTCTGCTATATCCATATAAAGCTCTAATATATAATCATATTTTAGATTTATTACTCTTATTCATAGACTTCTATTATATTATACTAGACTGTTAATGACGACGTTATAGCACACTAAAGCAAGCCATTTGCAATTGGACAGGATATACGTAACGTAGACAGTTCATTGTTTTTTATAATTACGTGACATGTGTCGTATCAAATTCTGTGATACCCAGTATAAATTCTGCTTAAAATGTAAACGGCTGCCTTTGTTTCACACTTCACCATACGAGAGTCGTGTTAATAGTCTAGTATACATATAGAAATCTCTGTTTTCTTACGAAACCTACAATTATAGAAAACTGAACGTTTATAAGTAAATCGCATAAATCATTTACGAAATACCAAAACGCGTAAATTTTGTCGTAAATAGGCAAGCAACTATCATATTTTATCGATATCTTAAAAAAAAAACTTATATCGAAGAATGTAAGTGTTTCGAGTAAGCTTTCCGATATAATGTAAGATATTAATGATCGAATTAAATAGAATAATTTCATAAAAATATTCTTGTGGAATAATTCGCGATGCTTGTTTAATTTTTCCTTTCTTTTATTAAAAAATTATGCACGCCCATAAGCTCATGTGCAAAGTATTAGATCGGAAAGTTTACCATATAATAGTTGCAACTGCATCTATAATCCAAATTAATAATAAAAACTTAAGCTAAAAAGAGGTTCTATAAAAATACTCATATACACTAAAGGTGCATTCCACCTAATACCCGCGATGCTCGGGACCACAAACGCAAAATTCCTCGTTTCTCTTAGCAAATGTCACGGGCGAAATTTAATAGAAATTAACGAATTAAATGGAAATTAACGAATTAAATGGAATTTAACGAATGAACGAATGGAACGTTTTAAGAATAAAGGGAAGATAGGTAATAAACATGATTACTCTGTTGAAATGTTATAAAAAAATTTCAATATTATAGTATAAAATAATAATAATTATAATTTTAGTGAATTATAACTATCAATATTATAAAAAAGAACTATTTGTACCGACATTGTCAGATATTATTATGTATTGATTATATATTGCCAAATATTAATTTTCGCTTCAACACTTATTGGTAAGCTCATTATGTCTAAACAATGAGTAGGGCATTTTTGCTGGATATTATACCATTTTATCTTACATAAATTTTTTATTCGAGTATGTGTCACTTACGTTTAAATTAATATTTGAAATATTTAACGCTCTTTTCTCTTACGAACATTGCGAAACTATAGTTTGTAAATACGCGCGAAAATGACTGATCACTTATAAACTGCAGGCATCAAATGGAACGTACCCATAATGGATTTTTGTTAAATGTAATATGTAGTACATATAATTAATCGTCTAAGTATAATTGTGTGTATATATATATAATCCAAAAAATAACAAAAATTAATTGAAAAATAGATTATGATAATTGATTACGCAATTACAGATCTCATCTGTGTTTATATGTGTTGTGTTTTCAATTGCCTTGCCTATTTAGATATTCTCTCGGTAACTGTAAAAAATAGACTTAAAAATAAGTGATTCGAGGTTCGATTGATTCTAGAGTTATGATTCTATCTACAAATAATAATACCATCGTAAAAACGGAGAGACCAAAGCGATACGGTGTAATTAAATATAATAATAAACTGCCTCAAAATGGCTACCTATTTATCGCTATTAATATTTATGATAATAGTCATTAAGTATCATTCATACTTCTTTGATTGTGGTTTAGTTACATACTTTAAGACATTATGATACATATGTGAGTATGACACGGATTTCCACTAAAAATATTTGTTAAATATGCTGAGCATTAATGACTTAAGCACTGTACTAAATTCACATAAAATGTATTGTATTATTATTAGAAAACTAATTATTTTTCATTGGTTTGAAATACTGGTTTAATAGATCCGTATAAAATCTCTGTCAACTGGAACTCTTAGAACAATGATTTACGCGATACTGATTCTTGGAAAGAATGTGCTATATACGCGAACAAATCATTACAGTTCAATTGTCTTTCAGTTATTGGACATTACAACAGGCAACAATTGTAAGTCGTGCTTTTAATTCGCGTTAACATACATCACAATGTCCAATATGCGACTATGAATTTTTCTTTTCTCTCTCCGATATTTCGATATCGTAAAACACAAATAGAGAAACAACCAATTGCGTTAAATATGTAATAATCGCATAAAGAAATGAAATAAATGAGAATAAATACAAATATGTAAGATCTGTGATATATGTTTCGATTAAATGTTCCACCAACTAGCTCTTCTTGAGAACGTGTTTTATCGTCAGTCAGATAGCAGCAGTCTTACTGCAATCGATAGAAGCTCTAACAAGCCTTCTAAGATTAATTTCTTCCTTTTTACATGTATTTTTTGTATAATATTGTCTAATATAAATAAATTAATGATCCAGTATATGAGGCCAGAGAAAGGCAGTTACACACTCTAAGTAATAGAGATAAACTTTATCTTCTATATGTGTTATTGTTCATGTCCACTTTAGTTTTGTATCTGGCACTCTTTCCTATTTTAGGCTGCTTCTCAGTTTTAACTGTCATTTATTTTGCTGGATTATTGCGTTGCATGGAAAAATATGGCTTTATCCAAATGCTATGTAACAAAGGCAATACATCGTACAATTACAATTGTATGCGCGCCACAGTTGTTGTCATACAATTAAACATCTTTGAAAAGGCAGAACTGGTGTATGTAAAAATAAACTCGGAGAACTCGACTCGTTTCACCGATTTTTACAGACACCAGATGATGATTCTTATCGTCAATTACAAATGCTGTTATTTGTACACTAGCATGTAAAAAGCACTACGTCATGATCGTTCATCTCTCTTGTGATGTTCAACAAAGCTAAATGGTAAACTTTGAATAAATACCAGGTTCCTCTTACTGCGTAAGTTATCATCAAGATATATATAGAATAAAGAGGCAGAAAGAAGAAACCTTTCTCGACAAAGTGCCTACAAAAATATTTGTATAATAGATTGAGGATTGCTGTGTCTAAGATTTTAAAAATCTGGTTATGTTAGCCACGTGTTACCAGTCTTAAACATAGTGACTACTAATCGACGTTCACGGACAGACAAGTCCTGACTTTCTACAATTGTATACATTTTTTGATCTTTAAGCGTCACTCTGGCGCAGGATATACAGTGTGCAGTAATCGAAATCTTTTATCTCCTGGAGGGCTTATTTAAAATATGGAAAGATAATTACTCAATAAATACATGCCATATTATGTGTGCCATATCGGATACCACAGTAACTTAACGAGATGAGCTTCACACTGTGAATCATATAAATATGATGTAATAAAAAATAATATATTCTACAATTATATGCTACAAAATGTTTTGCTGTCAAAATATTGCAAGGTCATTAAAAAAATATCTGTTATATGACATAGTCAATTTTCTTTTTTTCTCTTTTCTTTTCTTTTCTTTTCTGAACTGTACTTTGTAAATTGTTTCTCGCTATGAGCGACTGATTGATGTAAGATCCAAAAACATATCTCACACTATTCACATATGCAGCCTAGCTACATTGGTCACTAAGTAGAAGAACGGAACACGGCTGAGAATCAACCATACGCGCAACGTTCGTCCACAGCATAAAGAAAATTGTCATTTGTATCAATATTTTTATATTGCATGGAACATTTCTGTCTCATCATTAATCTTACTAAGTGCGCTTATTTATATGTATATGATTATCTTCTATAAAAAAAAGTTTCAAAATAAGATCTAAAATATAATTTTAGTTAAATGCACGATCTCTAATATCTTTTGATTTTTAGCATTATATAATGCAAGTACTTATAAGTATGGAATTATTATTATCAATATTAATTCATAATGATTTGAGTTCATGAAGTTCTTGCGCAATATTATCCATACTATATTTTATTTGGTCAAGTGTATGTAGCCCTATATGCGCCAATAAATTATGAAACATAGCATATTCCACAACATAATATATCCTTGTACTTATAAAAAAATAAAAATATAAAAATACATATAAAAAAAAAGTGGACAGTCTTCCTGAGGATACTGAATTCAACATAAATGTGATAAGATGTGCGAGTTATTTCACTTAATGCTGTGTCCGAACTTTTACATATGGTATCTGTTTATATACATGGAGCGGAGCTGTTCGAGACACAAATTATATCTCTATCATGTATACACGATCGACGATAGCATAAAAATGCGGAAATACATCTATATGCTGTATATATAATATGGAGATCCTGTTAATCAATGCACAAACGTATCACTGAGTCGCGAATGAATAATGAAGTGCTAATTGGAAGAAAAAAAAATAATAATATAAAATATAAATAAACTTTCAGTGCAAGGGAGTTAAAAATATATCGATACGTCCAGAACAGCTCTATGAATACAGAGATAAAAAATTTGTTCGATTCAAAACTCAAGTCTAAAAACTCACTACTTGTTTGTACAGCACTACGGTAGGCTGGAATTTAGGCTCTCCGGCAAACGGTAACTCATCATATGATACGGTGGACTGGCCGGACTACCCGGTTGACTGTTAACGCCGAGATTGCTGGAGCCACGACCGCGTTTTCGCCTTTGTAGAATGCCCTTTCGGACCATGTAAAATCGAATTGTGCTGATCGGTATCTTGTACTTTTCTGAGGCTACTTGAAATGTCATGCCACGCGACACCATATCCGAAGCTAGCTTGAGTTCTTCTTCCGAACGCCTTTGTCGTCTCTGATAACCTTTAAAGACATATACAAAAGAAGTCAATATCTAATTTGAACGATCGCGTTATCGATGCTTAAATAAATGAAAGAAATAAAGCTGCTCACCTTCGATTGCAGGAAATGGGCTGCTAGGATTACAATTACTACTGGGTACCATACTAATGGAATATGGTTTGACATCATGCTGCTGAGAGAACTGTTCGTCCGGTTCCATCTTCACCATACCCTGAGTTTCAGTGAGAGTTGCTTCACAAGAACTTAAAGCCTTTTCTAGATGTTGTAACGCCTCGCTATGTTCCATGTTTACAAAGTTGGATGCATTGGGATTGTTTGAGACAGGGGTGATGGTGGACGAATTGTTGCCTGTGCTAGTCGCCGCCATTGTCGTACATGAGAGGAAATCAGAGGTACTTCCATCATCATTGGATGAAGTATTATCAGCTTTATAATTAGTACTGTCACCAGGAGTAGGTGTCGACGGAGTGACAGGTGCGTTAGAATCACACGATTGTGTATTGCTCTCATTCGACGAGTTATCGCATCCCTGAGTAGATAAGCCACGAACCTATCAAAAAAATACATGTGTAAAAATGACATATCTTTGTATAAAAGTATAAAAGCAAATATAATTATAATTTCTAGATATTAAGATTTTACGTATGTACATTTTATACAATACTTCTACTAAGATTTAAAAAAAATAAAGAATGCTAAGAATTAAAAACAGAAAACGTATACTAGAGATATTGTTACAAATGTATATAAATGGTTCGAGTCATATACCTGCAAAACTTCTGCTGCTTGCATCAATGTAGCAAGTTGTTGTTGCTCGACATATACCTCCCCACGGTACATAAATTCGACCAGAGCTTGAAGTTCCCACATTTTCATGTCCCTTAAGAAGATAACAGGGTGAGTACATGGTATTTCCAACAACAGGCGCTCCAAATAGTCGCTACAGGCGGACAGTACAACTTTATGACATTTTATCGAGCCTCCATCGCAAGCCAAAGTCACATCCACAAATTGCTCCGAGCTCAGCAACTTTGGAAATGCGCTGTGCATGTTGGACTGGTGGGAATTCCAAGAGACACAAAACTGTTGGCGATCACCTCCAGGATAATTGCCCGGATTGGGCAAGTTACTCCCTGAATCCATAGTTTTGCTACTGTTTGAATTTGTAGTTCAGTGATAGACAAATCGCCTGTTGAAAACAAGGTATTTTGTTAAAATCTCCAGCTCAATTTTATCATTACATATTTTAAATTACCAAAAAAAGAAATGTCACGCGTCACACATTTTAAATATATTGCACAAATTATTATTACAATTACGAATTACATGAAACAAATGTAAAGATTCCTAAAATCTAAATTAAATTTAGATGTCCTTTGACTTTTTCCGTATCTGAATAATAATAATTGAACAAGAAGACACATTTGTAAAGCGAAAATACAATCGAAAATAAAAATGTAACATGTTTACATAACAAAAACGCCACTGCTACTTTTTAACCGAATCAAAGAAGAATCGCATCCATTGCCGCAGCAAGAAGGATCTCCTCTTCGAGAGCTATTTTTGGACGCGTAATTAATGAAACAAACAATGAACGTAACATTTCGATGTCTAATTTACCGAGTGTGACTTTTCCAGAGATAGCGAACCAAGGATGTCTTTCAATTGTGAAAAAAAGAAAAAGGGGGAGAAAACAACATTATTTTCCGCAAGTTCGGTACACATCACCTGTGCGAAGAGGAACGCGGTACGTCATCGGAACAAAGACAAAGAGGGGTCTCACCGCGGTACCGATCCCCCGATCTCGGAGCGAAAAGTTGAACGGAGGGAAAGATCTCGTCTACAATTCCGGGAGATACATCTCGTCCAAATCTCACGATCGCGCCGAGCAGGGGGGAAAATTGTCGCGGGATTAAGGCTAGGTTAACGAGAAATATGACGGTTAAAAAAAAATGTTCAATATGGCTGTCCTGGTATAAGTCCAGTAACAATAATATCACACACACGCGCACTCCTCCCCGCACACTTGGAGAGACGCGAGGCGTTATATTTCCGCGAAATGCGGTAGGGCCACGGCCGATTCGAACGATTCGAACGTTACCGCGATCGCGTCGCGAAATCGATCGACGAGCGGGGGGAGGGAACGAAACCGGGCGGACGCGGTCGGCCGATTTTTCGTCGACCGACAGTCGTGCGACGCGGCGCGCGCGTGCGACGAAAATTCACGTACGGCCGGATGCACGCACGCAGACGCACGCACGCACGCACGCACGCATTTACTCACATTTATAGGCAGGAGTAGGAGGAACAACGCGCCATCGGAACCTATTATCGCCGGGCGGCCGCCGTCCTCGCCGCAAACAAACGAGACGACGATGCCGTCCCGAGAATTCGTAATCACGTGTCGAGGCCGCCGAAATCGGGCGACGATGGGGACGACGACGGACGAGACACTGGGCGAGTTAATTGTCGGGACGCGCGCGCGACCGACGACACTGGACGTGCCGGATCGTCTTTTCCCGACAGGACGGGAATAAAAACGGGATCCCTCTCTCTTTCTCCTTCTTTCCCTCTCTCTCTCTCTCTCTCTCCTTCTGTCTCTTTCTCCGTGGGAGAGACAACGCGACGTCACCCCCCACAGGAACGCCGCCTCCGGGCTCTTACTTGAATTTCACCGCTCGTTCATACGTACACGATGTATTGTATGTGTTTGTACGCGTCCGTCTCGTTTTTTTTCCTCCGTTTTTCTTCTTCCCCTCGCGGGACGCCGAGAGCGTCGTGTCTCGGCCTCCTGGAGAAACGTTGCACAATTACTCGATCCTCACATTCGAAAACGGACAGGCTTGATTAATCACACTCGCGAAATCCCCCGGTCGACTCCGCTCTACGGAATGTCGCGTCGCGTCGTGGGAAGAATCCCTTAAGAAAACATTCAGCCGCCGCGAGATTTGCACTATATAGACGGGGGAGAGAGAGTCGCGGCCGGAAGGGGTGGGGGACGACGGGGTGAGAAAGCGAGTGGTAGGGTCGGGGGGTACGTCCGCGTTGGTCGGCTCTCCTTCTCTCTATCGTACGTGTGCGTGTGCGCGTCCCACAGCCGCTCTCGCGACGCTAGAGATTCCGGATGAGGGAGAGAGAGAGAAAGAGAAAGAGAAAGAGAGGACCCGGGAAGGTAGACCGCGAGGTAGACGAATAGAGCGGTGAGGGGCCACCGGTACCATCATCATTGTCATCATTGTCATCGTCGTCGTCGTCCTCGTCGTCCTCGTCCTACTCGTCCTACTCGTCCTTCTAGTCCCCAACGTTGATCGATACTTACTGGGCTAGCGGCGTAATCGCGTTACCGATGTCGACGAAGACTGCCGCACCACGAACGCACACTGACGCACACTCTATCGTAAACTATCGCTAGAACTAGGCTAGCGCCAGGATTGCCTCTAGCGCGCATCCGTTGCTGCGCAGCAAACTTGCGCCGATCTTCGCTTCTCCGGGAAACGATTCTCCGACGAGCTTCTTCAGCGATGCCAGGACTTCTCCGGACTCTTTTTCTCTGTTTTCCGCGCCCGGCATCGGCGCCGATCGATCGACCGCGAGGCGAATAATCACGGCGTGCTTTTACGCGTGCACGGTCCCCGATACGATTTTACCCAGGTTCGCCGACGGTTCGCGAGGGAAATTATAGCGCGATAGCGTCGCGAGCGATCTCATAGAAACCGTCCGAAAGGTTTATATTTATAGTGGAGGTTGCTTCTCTCTTTAAGCGCGTTCTCCACGCTCGTTTCTTCGTCTCGTTTCGCGCTCACCGAGGGACGCGGAGGAAACCGCGAAATGTTGGCTCTGCTTTAATAAACATAATCGAGATGTAGAAGGAAAATAGAATTTGCTAATTTGTATATAAAATTGAAAAAAAGTATCGGAAAAACGGTACGCTTGTTAAATTAGATAAAGCGAACGCGTGACAAATGCTTCTTTGACGTTCCGGAGAGACTTGTCACATTTCAATAAATGTAAAACGGCTTTGTATGAAAATTACTTCTGATTGGTTATTCTTTGTCATTTTTGTCCGAACGCTATCCTTATCCTTTTTGAGTATAATTTTTCGGTCGATTTCAACAACACACTCGAGTTGCTCAAACTTGAATATCATCAATTTTATCGATATATATTTAATAAGTATAATCCTAACTCAAGAAATAAAGCCTATTTTGTATCATCTTATGATTTGCTACGTACAAGATTGTTAGAAGAATATATCACAGATAAAACTGGAAGTAATCGTAGGTTAATTCGAAGCTTTCTGTGCATATTTTTTTTCTCTCTATAAATATTTTTATAGAATCGTAATTTTATATAAATCTTTAGAATCGTAATTTTAATCTTTAAAAAATTCTCCACGTTACACTATGAGTAGAATAGATTTTCATATATTGTATAAAATAATCTTACATTTTTTGAACCTGCAGATATAAGGCATCGACATTTTACCACCCGCTACAATTCTTCAATTATTATTGTTGTCAGTAATCATTGAGAGAGAATTGTGATCATGTCGAAGATAACGGGCTATGACACGCACGACGATGGACCAGGATTCGTGGGTATTAGATTTTGCCAGGAATGTAACAATATGTTGTATCCTAAAGAGGATAAAGAGAACAAGGTGCTCATGTATGCAGTAAGTATGAATGTATATTGCGATTGTTTTCAGTAAACAGTGTCAATAATATTTGTAATAAGTTCTGTTTGTTAATTATAATTGTTAAAAAAATAGAAGAAACTTTGAATTATATTAGCACATAGATTATACGAGAAAATAGATTATAAGAAAAAATATTATGTGCAAGGGATTGTCTTGTTTTGATTTCAGTGCAGAAATTGTGATTTTAAGCAACTGGCGGACAGCAATTGTATCTATGTGAACAAAATCATGCACGAAATAGAGTGAGTTGTTATGGTGGATTTTAATATCTATAAATATATTATTAAATGTAACAATTTTTACTAAGATTCGTAACACGTGCAAGGAAGAAAAGTATCATTTTGTACACAAATATGTTTATTACAAAATGATATCTTTTCAATATCTTTTTAACGAGTCCAAAGCTCAAGATTAATTCACAGACTCGCAAAGATATATGTGCTAGTCGCATTTGAAAATCACCACTGATTTCCTTAATTGTATTTTTCTTTTCTTTAGTGAACTGACACACATTGTTGCTGATGTAATATCGGATCCAACATTGCCAAGAACCGAAGAACATCCATGCCCAAAGTGCAATCATAGAGAAGCTGTATTTTTCCAGGCACAAACTAGACGAGCTGAGGAAGAAATGAGATTGTATTATGTGTGTACAAATCAACATTGCTGCCACAGGTGGACAGAATAAATAATATCTGGTGTCTCCCCTATTTATATATCTTAATTATTAAATTGATAAACTGCATAAAAAAATTGTAAAGACGATAAGAGATGCATTGTAACAGTATATATAATAAAATTGTAAACAAAAATTATAGATAAACGTTCGTGCAAGAATACAATAAATTACCGTAAGCGATCTCTATTGAACATTTATCCTGTCACTTGAATATAGGATTAGCTTCACAAATCGAATTCGCAATCGCGACATACATTTTTTTTACGCTAGCTGTATCGTGATGTTTCGCGAAAAGAAAAAATGACATTTCGAATATTATTAATTCCGATTGATATGAAATATCTCTCAAACTTATCATGCCAATTGAGTAATCATTATGAGAAAAGAATCGCGTTGCGAATTCGTGGTTGTAAAGCTAATGTCTGCAAGACACCCTGGGACTACTCCCAGCTGTTTATCTAGGCCATGCTCAGCCATACTGAGTTCTGCCGAGTCGCTAGCATCGTTGCATAGTCACGTGACCACTTCTGTCATATCTAACGTTTATCTGAATTTTATTCGCGCGCCTATATTTATTAAAATTTTGCACTCTACCGCATATATATAAAATATATATATATATATATATATATATATATATATATATATAAATGTGATATATTTGCAAAAATTTATATACATATATATCATATCAACACAAATGTTCTGAGGTCTGCTCTTTATAGTTGCACTGGTACAAAAGTTTTATTTTTCTCTCAATGTAAAAAATAAACAAAATAATCTTTAAACTGGTGTAGTTGTAACCGTTCTTATCAGTTCAGCTGAAGAACAGACCTCTGAATGATTACATAACTCGTAAAAATATATAAATACGTCGAGAAAAGAGCAATTAAGAGCCACCGCGGATGGTAGTGCATAAAATTTTTTAAAGGTGAGCGATTCGCGAAAATTAAAACGCTTCAAAAAAAAATTTTCGCGAATCACTCACCTTTAAAAAATTTTATGCACTACCATCCGCGGTGGCTTTTAATTGCTCCTTTTTCGAATTGTTGTTTAATTACAGAGCCCAATTTCCATATATTACTTTGTTATATAAATACGTTTTGCAAAATCTCTAACATTCATTTGAAATATGATGAAGCAACATATAATATTGTTAATATTTGCAATACTGATACTCAAATATGGGACGTGCCTTGAAATACCTATTCCTCGTATTGGTGAGGATTTATTTAATATTTTATAAAAGATTTATATAAGTTTTTTTTAACATCTGTTTAAATTTAATTTCTTCTTTTATTGTTAGCCATCATAGGAGGTGGCATTGGCAGTGCATCCACTTCGCATTTTCTCACAGAGTTATTCAATGGAAGTTTGAAGATTGATTTATACGAAGCAAAAACTATTGGTGGACGATTGGCAACTGTAAAAATTGATAACATTGAAATGGAAGCTGGTGGTGCAATTTTACACCCTAAGAACATGTATATGCAGAAATTTGTCAAACTTTTGGGTAAATACAGAATTTTGTTTAGATATAACTATATTATTAAACAGTTACATCAAAGGATGCTACTAACAAGCAGGTATTTCAGGTCTAGAGCATAATTCTTACAGTGGACTAAAGTATGGTATTTGGAATGGAGATGAATTTGTATTTGAGGAAAGCACATGGTATGTTATATCACTGGCAAAGTTAGTTCACAGATATGGTTTTCAAGTGTATAAACTTAAAAGGTATTTTACATGCATAAAATTGTACGCTATAACAAACTAACAGACTATGAAAAAGTAAAATTTCTTATATTCACATTGACAGATATGTAGATGACATAGTAGAAGAATTTGAGAATATATATCATCTACAGGATGAGGGAAAATCTTTTCTCAATGTCACTGCATTGCTATCAGCTATGAATAAAGAATTCCCGAGTTTATTGCAATCGTCTGTAAAGGATCATCTTTTACATATGGGTTTTACAGAAAGATTGATTAATGAAATAGTGCAAGCTACTGTTGTAGTAAATTATGGTCAAGATGTTAATATTCAGAGTTTTGTTGGTTTAATATCCATAGCTGGTGCAGATGCTAATCTATGGTCTGTTAAGGGAGGAAATAAAGCAGTAATAATTATATTATTATTATTGTTACATCTTGATTATGTTTGTAAAATATACATTAGTTTAAAAATGTTAGGTACCGGAACATCTCATTTATAGAAATAAATATGTAAACATAATACCAAGTCGTGTTACAAAAATCCGTAATATAGTAGACAGCAGCGATTCGAGTCAATATGAAGTGACTTATAAAAATAAAGGTATACAATAGACGAGTGTAAAACATACATTGATAAATGTTAAATAAATTAATAATTATATATACATTATACATTTCAGATAGTGTAGATACAATGACATCTACATATGATATTGTAATTATTGCTGCACCACTTACACATGATCAAGAATTTCCGATAAAGTTCGTCGATTTTCCAGATAATTTAGTGTTTCCAGGAGACTATCAAACGACATATGCAACATTTATTAATGGAGATCTTAATCCAAAATATTTTGGTTTGCAAGAGACTGTGGATATTATATTAAGTTGTAATCCCAACAAAACAAAAATCAGCTCAATTGCAAAAGCGACTTCTGTGGATGGATCATTTGATATAAATTCGCAAAATTGGAAAATCTTTAGCAGAGAACCACTGGGAACAAAGCTTCTAAAAAATATGTTTTCTCATGTATAAAATGATTATTTTATATATGACATCTTAAAAGAAGATGGATTTTATTGTAATTGATAATTTTTTTCTTGTGTTATAAGGTCACTGAAAAAAAGGAAATTGCTTGGAAAGCATATCCCCATTACTCAAGTACAAATGTACATTTTGATCAGTTCAAATTACATGATGCGTTATATCATATCAATGCAATTGAATGGGCTGGTAGCGCAATGGAGATGAGTGCAGTAGCTGGAAGAAATATCGCTATCTTGGCACATGATAATTTTGTCCAAAAATACAACCTTGTATTAAATAAAAAAATCCATAAGGATTCAATTAGAAAAGTAGAATTATAATATTTTAAGTGTATTATTATACACAATACAGTGCATATTATTATATCGTTATATAATAATTAGTATGTAATTAATACATAACGTTATTATAAATATTTTTATAGCAATTGACAACAATTATATGATAGTTGTGAAATAGTATAATTTTAATAAAAATTTTAATAAATAATAGTTAAAGTATTTTTTATATCATTTCTTATAACAGAAATGTAAAATCAAAACTGGAATAAAAAAGTGAATTTGAAAAATATGTAAGAATAAAGATTATTAATATTGATACCTTGTAGATTCTTGAAATTGCTCAAAAAAAGAACTTATTTTATATATAACTTATTTTAGAATATAGAACTTATTTTATATATACTCTAATATATATATATATATATATATATATATATATATATTAGATTTTATTATTTTTTTTTAAATAAAGAAATAAAATTTTATACTTGTAAAATCTTACATTTCTTTTCTTCAAGCAAACTCACATCATATCAATGATAATGTTGTTGTTCAGTTGACCAATAGGGCGCTCGACAGAACATGACAGATGACGGAATGGTTTCGCCGGTAAATATGTCGCGGCCTTGTAACTTGTAAGACAGCGTACGCAGGTTCTCTAGAATGCGATGACAGACAAACTCTTCATTTCCACTACAAATAGAAAAAAAAATCTATATATCAACCAAAATTGAAGAATAACAAAAGAGACGAAGTGAAAAAGAGGAAAAGTAATCCAGGTTTTAGGGAACGAATAACTAAAAAGGGGAAAAAGAAAACAAAGAGAAGAGGAGACGCAACATGTTGGCTATTATTGTGAACGATAAATGGGAATAAGTATTTAGTCGAATAATCCTTGCCGATTCGCTTGATTGCTTGATATGTCAAGCAACCGCGATACGGTTCAATAACCTAACTTAACCTATAAAACGCGCGAAAGTCGCTGAGGGATAAAAAAAAGTTTTCGCAGTATTAAGCATCGGAACGACGTGAAAATGTGATTTCTCGCTCACGGCACCTCTCGTAAGCCTCGCGCTTTCGCGAGGAAGTAAAGAGAGAGAAGAGCGCGATGGAGAATTATTCTGTGCGTATCAATTACCCGCAAACCGTTCGTGGAGACCCCATCGAAGGCTCGTCCACGTCGCATGACGCTCAGCCGAAGCAGTATGCGGATCATGCGAGGAAACGGGAGGACGTGATCGTTTTGACGAGCGACACAAAGGGCGGTCTCTTCAATCCCAGAGCGCTCCTCTTCCTCACCTTGTGGTATGTCTTCAGCGGATGTACCTTGTTTCTCAACAAATACATACTATCTTACATGGAGGGTGATCCTACTATTCTGGGTAAGTGATTATTTCTGAGGAAGACGTTATCAAGTATAGTTATCTCTGTACATTAAAGAAACAAACAATTTATAATAATTGGATATTTAAATTCTAGCAACTTTTATATTTCTCATAATTATATTTTAAATACCTATTAATCTCTCTTTGTTTCTGTCTTATCTATAATAGGTGCTTGTCAAATGTTGATGACTGCAATTTGTGGACTGATACAAATGTACTTTCCTTGTGGTATGTACAAAGCGAGTCCAAGATTGATGAGACCTCCTGGATTTTACAAACATATGACACTAGTAGGATGCACGAGATTTGCAACGGTAGTTTTAGGTCTAGTATCGTTAAATTATGTAGCTGTAAGTTTCACAGAAACTATAAAGAGTAGTGCACCACTCTTCACCGTCCTCATTAGCAGATATTTATTAGGTAAGAATTATAAATTTATATATTGTTATATTTATTTCCTCTCTTATACCTTATGATAAAAATTCAAACTTGATTTTCAATAATTGATTGTACTCAACATTTTATTATTTTAGGGGAACACACGGGGTTATATGTAAATTTATCTTTAATACCAGTAATGGGTGGACTAGCGTTATGTTCCATCAATGAAATTAGTTTTGATCTTAGGGGGTTCATCGCTGCTATGGCGACAAATGTAACTGAATGTTTGCAAAATGTGTATTCAAAGATGTTGATCAGTGGTGATAATTTCAAATATACGTAAGTGATATTAATTATAATGCTTGAATGCTTGAAATCGCTTTAAATGTATCTTAAAAAAAAAAGAAATCTTATTATTTTTAGACCAGCGGAATTACAGTTTTATACCAGTTTAGCCTCAATCGTTGTACAAATACCAGTATCGATATTGTTGGTCGATTTACCTACACTTGAGCATTCCCTGAGTTTTAAATTATTCGCGGCATTTCTCCTTAATGGAGTGTTTTTCCATTTCCAAAGCATCACTGCTTATGTACTTATGGACTACATCAGTCCTGTAACACACAGGTATGTAATAGAATATCTTTCTTCTGTGTAATTAGAATATATTTCTCGTACATGATTTTAAAGCACAAAGTGATATTACAGTGTTGCTAATACTGCAAAGAGAGCTTTCCTAATATGGCTCTCAGTCTTATTATTTAATAATCCAGTAACGGGATTATCAGCACTTGGCACTTCTTCGGTCATAGCAGGAGTGTTGCTGTACAATCGAGCACAAGAATACGACAAGATGAATAAAACAAAGTTACGACATTCATCAAAGATCAATTTACAGTAAGACAACTTTTCGAAGATAAGATAAATATCTATGTACATGTAAAAAGAAAAATTTATATCACTCCATCAAACCTATTACATATTGGTAGTACAAATAATATTCCCAAATTTTATACAGCAATATCGCATTAAGTGAAAAATGTGGGATAATATATATTACTGATATCAGAAATATATTAAGACAAAATATATGCTCAATCGAAAATTATGTTTATCAATTTTTTGCCAATTATATTGTAATTTCTGTGATCTATCGAAAAGAAAATGCGTCATTTTAAGATGTAATTGTCTTTGGACTTTAAACAATATTTGCACATATACATACCTGATGCACATAGGAAACCAAAAGAAATTGGAATGAGTGATGTACATGTGTCAACAAGTATTTGATTATTGTACTGTATTATATAATGTTCCTAATGTAAATTTGAAAGAACTGTGGAATGTAAAAATGTTTGATAAAAATAAAATTTCTTTATATCTATTGATATTGTAGCAAGTATTTGCATAGCTATAAAAATCTTTGACAATGTATGTGTAAAGGTCTATAATATCCATTCTACATTATTAAAATTAGTATATATACAAATTAGAATATATATTATTTTTATAGTTTTCCAATTTTATAGTTATATATATATATATAATTTTTATAGTTATCCGAACGTTTGTTAATTTATTCACAAGCAGCTAATGCTTGTTTAATATCGTCTACGACATCCTGTTCCGTTTCGATACCGACAGATAACCGAATCAATTTATCTGTTATACCTAATGCAATTCGCATATCTTCGGGTACTGATGCATGCGTCATAATGTATCTATGTAAGAAAAATTTATTAATACGCATATAAATATTTAATGTCAATTAATTTGGTGTACTTACGGTATTTCAGCCAGCGACTCATATCCTCCTAATGATTCAGCTAAAGTGAAGACCTTCAATGCTTTTAAAAACTTGTGTGCATCACCTTTCAGATAGAAGGAAATCATACCGCTGTGACCAGTTGTTTGTTTGAGCGCCAACTCATGCTGCGGGTGCGACGGGAGATCTACAATGATACGAATGCCTTGAGATATTTTATCAAATATTTTATCAGATATTAAATAAGTATTAAAGCTTGTTATGTAATCTTGTTATGTAATAGAGATAAAGAAAAAAAATGTATATATACAAGGATGAATCACTCGCTCGACGCAAGGATGAGACTCCAGAAATTTTGCTACTGCCAAGCCGTTTTTCATATGCTGTTGCATTCTGAGTTCGAGCGTCTTCAAACCGCGGATGACCATAGAACAGTCAAAGGGCGATGGAACAACACCTGCAGCTGGATTCCAAAAACATGTTATATAAAACTTTCAAATACATTTTAAAGTATTATTGATTTACCATTTTGAAAGAATCGTAACTTTTCCGCGAGATCATCTCGACGCGTGATTGCAGCTCCCATAACAATGTCTGAATGGCCATTCATATATTTTGTTAGCGAATGCATAGATATATCAGCACCAAGTTCAAGTGGCTTCTGTTTTAAAAAAGTATAGTATGTTTTTATATATCATAGTTTCTATTTATATACATCTAAATATTTTTTTCAAAAAATTGTGAGCTGAACTTGCCTGAAAATAGGGTGTCAAGAATGTATTATCGACGACTAGAATAATATCTGGACGAGACTTTAAGCTATCAGCAACAGCTTTAATGTCTCCAAGTTTCAATAAAGGATTTGTTGGTGTTTCCAACCATATCATCTGTAAATTATGCAAAATGCAAAAAAAATGAAATCAAATGTTAAAAATTCCATGTATATATACTTAAAGTAAAATTAAATTCAAAAGCAAAGTAAACTGTAAATAGTAAGAGAATAATATTTAACCTTTGTATTTGGTTGTATGGCATTTATAACATTCTCTACTTTAGTCACATCTACAAAGGAATATGTGACACCATGATTGATCAAACATTTTTGAATATAACGGTTAGTTCCACCATAAAGATCATCTCCAGCGATAAGATGATCTCCTTTTTGCAATAAAGAAGTAATTCCAGTTGTTGCACCTAAACCAGATGAATAGGTAATACCATGTTTCCCCTCTTCTAGAGCAGCCAGGCATGTCTCTAGCACATTACGTGTTGGATTGCCACTTCTACCATATTCGTAGCCCTAAATTAAAATTAAAATGCTGTTATACATATATTATATTTCTTTGAAAACAAAATATTGCATACAATTTATTAGCTATGATTGATACTGATTGAAGGAATAAAAAAGACCAATTGCTATCAATTAAGAGTTATGTATTGAGTTAGAAATAAATTTTAGTGAATTATTCATGTATTTTAAGCTTACCCTATGCTGACCTGGACCATCCTGCTGAAATGTTGTGGACATTACCAAAGGTGCCACAAGTGAACCATGGTTCCACTGCAATGGATCTTGTCCTGCATGAATAGCTTTGGTAGCAAAACCTCTAGTTTCAGGCACTCCATTTGAAGTCATGATCTATTTTTAATAAAAATTTTATTACCATAGATAATTTATCAACTATATACATTATCTGATAATCAGATTTAAAGTTACACATAAGTATATTTAATCTTTTTAGATTACACTTGTTTTGCTCTGTAGTGTCTTAATCATGTACAAAGTTACATAATATCAGTTTTGTTATAAAATATTTGTAAAAAATTTATATTTTTTTTGCTGCAGAAAATGATTGTGTACAATAAAAATTAAAAAATAAATTTTAAGCATTTCTTTTTATTTTAAGACCTCCAGGATGTTCTATTGTTAAAATATCGATATGATTAAAATAACATATGTGATCTTTAAGAATTAAAATTCAAATTAGAAAATTAATAACTTTTTTTGTTAATAACAAAAATACTATAAAAATCAACATTTTCTTTCAAGATTATAATATTTATCAATACATTAAAACTTTTTTCAATTATATATTGTTATATTTTAATTTTGGCGATAAACACGAATTCATCTATTTTTCTTAGTATTTTTTCTACATTCGTTTTCTGGTGTTTGTCTCGAAAAACATGAATGTACATTATTATTTTCTGTGTAAGTTTGCATTCCAAAATTTACTTTCTGGAATAGAATTCGTCCAGATTTTGACCAATATGGACAAAAGAAACACCTTTTTTTATTCTTCAATTCAGAAAGTGCAGCTTAAAGTTGCGTGATAATAGGACTATCTTTTTTTATTTCAATCAATATTTGAGCGATGAAATCATCTTTTTTAATGAAAAAATGAAGAAAAAATTTTTTCAGAGATTTTTACCGATAAAAGACTTGATTTCGTCGATGTTGATTTCGTTGAATATCGCTGAACGTCGACTGAATGACTCGCTATCGCGACAGCAACTTATAACTCTTGCGAAATTGACAATTTATATGCATGGCAGATAAAAAAAAGGATAGCATGTGACACTCAACATAGTATCAACACTAAGTAGCACTGTGTGCAATAATGTTCGATATATCGTGCAATCTGAGATATCGCTTTTTTAGATTATTGACATTTATTCGTTCATTTATCTTTTAACGCAATTACGATTATTTAGACTCAAAATTAATTGCAACATTTATTAATTGCAATATTTATTATGTGCAACATTTTATCCATTATAAAAGAAGATTTGCAAATTATTTACATGTAAAGATATCTTTTCTGCTCACCTAAACCACCGCCTAAACTTTCTTTCCTCTTCAAAGATTTATTTTTTTCTGAATTCACTCTCAGTAGCAAAAGTGCATCGATCTGTAAAAAATATAATAATGATTCTTATTAAGTAATTTTAGAAAATTTTTATATGGGCATCGTATCTATAGATTCAATTTGCAATATTTTTATAAATCAACCTTGTCCGTCCAAATTCCATTCGCGATCCAGCTTTCCCATTGGTCGGCTCATCTTGACATCTGTGCACGTGAACCAGTAGTGTAGCGTATACTATAATTAAATCGATATTTGCTCGATTATTCGCTTGTCAATTTCTCAAGTCGGTCCTCCTATCGCGACCTCCGCAAATCTGGCAAATCATTTTGATAACACATTCGGTATCGAAATAGTCACGACATCGATGATAAGGATAAATGGTAATTTAATATTTGCAAATTTAGGATTATCGATATCAAATGGAAAAAAGCGAGGAGAGAGGATCGATGAGTGAAGCTTAGTGTTGTGTTTATTGCGAGCCTCTTATCGTATTCGCCTCTTTGACAGCCGGAACGTCAAAAAGGAAAAAAGCTAAAATTTGGGAAAACTGCATACAACTGTTGTAAAAATGAAAATAGGAGAAGCTGAAATCACTGCGTTGCTGATGTTGATGGTCGCAGAGTTGACTCGCGGGGATACTTTTTATACTCGCGAGGATCCCTGCATCAATTTATGCGAAAATCTACTGATCTTTCAATCTACTGATTCTTCAAACGTGCGTGTTAGTTTCTCTCGTTTTCGATGTTGATTCTACTACATTGTTATACTTATTTATCTGTCCTATATTTTTAGAACATTTATGTAAAATCCTGCTGTCAGCGAGGCTGCAGATTCTTTAATCTAGTCGACTTGCATCCTGAAAGAGAACCAAATAGTTTGAATGGCACTAGAGATGCTTGCGAGACTTGTACGTGAGATTATTTGTACTGTGTGATTATCTTTTATGTATGTTTATCTTTTAAGATTATATTGCATAAATTTTCAGAAATATTTTATTTTATTATAAGTGCAAAAATGTTATAAATTGTATCTTTGTGAATATAATTTAAAAGAGTTGTTTTTCTTGTTATATAAGATTGCTTTTGACTATGTATATAACTTGTTATACAAAATATTCAAACTTCTCACAATATAAGATTACTTTTATATACCCATATATATATTTACAGCATGCACCGAAGCTTATACAAACCTGCAAGATCGTTATGTCTGTAGCGTTGGTTGTGATTTTATGGCAAAAGCAAAAAATCCACGAATTTCAGAGTTGTTATCTCGACTCCCCATCTCTGTTTTCTATCGCATCGAAGAAGACATAGATTCTAATGTTTTATTAATGTCACCTGATGTACCAGAGAATGATATATTAACTGATCCTGGATTACGCAAGGAGCTTCTTCCTGGATGGTGGGATACCGATGGCTTCAAGTTGCCACAAACCTATGTTAAAACTGTGCCAATGGATGCTGGTGTAAGTGTAACATTTTCTTTAATTACTTAATAGGATATCTTTTGATATAAATATAAAACATGCATTTTGTAATTTGTGAAATCGCAGACTGTGGATTATGCTTTGTCTTCTGATTATTCTGGTGAAACCGAGCAAACATCTATGTCTGGCTCTGACTGGTTTCATTGTGCATTAAAACAGATAAGAATACCTTATTGGGATATTGGAGTACCTTATTGGCTCTTTGCCTTTGCCATAGCAGTATTCATAATGCTGTCCATGATGTGGCTTTGTCTATCAACAGGCGATGTCCCAACAACGTCTCGCAAAGATGTATTAATCGACATGTCTAGTTCGCCTAAAGTTGCATTGTATATGCCAGATGAAGCACCATTGTACAAAGAACCGCCACCTAAATATGAATATTCGTCCAATCACTGTAAGTTTTAATTAGCTTTCGATGTTATTTAACGACATTTCGATGAGGATTTTACGCGACATGCGATTGTATCCCGTTTCGAAAGCCTTAGTATAATATAACAATGCAATGATACAAATATCTAACAACAGTATTGTGAATATTTTAAGTTTATGGGCAATTGCGCACATTAACTTAAATTGCATTTCATAGTATATAATACCATAGAGAAAAATCAAATTATTTCTTTGTTATTTTTTATATATATATATAATTGATGCATTTAATTTTATTTATTAATATATATAACATAAAGTAACAAATGTGAGATGACAGAAAAGAAAAGTTTATGATAATACAAAATTGAATTTTTCGAAAAATTTATGTTGTGTAATGCATAATTATATTACAAACTCTTCCTCATCTATTAATTTTTTAGATGTATATGTATATGAAGCAAGATATACTTTTAATATTAAAAATATATCTTTTCATTTCTAAATGCAATAATTTATATATATATATATATTTAAACACAAATATAATTATACAACGAACAAGTTCAAATTTGCAAAAGAAATAGACTTAAAAATTTTTCAATGACAATATAGGTACATAATCAAAATATCATTTGATTTCGTCGCTCTTATTATTTTGCGGCAAATCACTATCCAAGAATCGAAATGATCGTAGTACAACACACACAGCTATGGAAATAGTTAAAGGATTATACATCGTGATATATTAGTCAAACTTTTTCACATAAATCTGTCTATACTGTGGAAGATATATAAATTTTATATTATATATACAAACATTTTTTTTATGTCTTTTTTTGCGTGAAGGAAAGATTGAAATTTCCTGTATAGAAACAAAGACTTTCCAATTTCTGCTGGATAAATTAAAATTATATTTATAATTTCTTTGATGGCACATTATTTTATCGTTTTAAATTTATCACATATAGCGTCAGCAATATTTTATCTTGTATTTATGCATAATATACGCGAGAATTATGATAGCTACATCTTTGCGGATTACAATATATACAAATATAATTATAATTGGATATATATATATATATATATATATATATATATATATCATATATATATTTTATATATACATGCATTTCACGCGAATCTTTTCAGAATTTTTATAAAACGTCATATCTATCATATATTAGTTAGAATGTGTTTATAGAATGTAAGGTAATATATTGTATATATTTATGATATATTCCCGCAATTTTAATATATAAAATATTTGATTTAAATTTCTCATTAATTTTTATCATTAAAGAAATATGAGACAGTAAAGTATTAAATTATTGATAGACATTGTATATTATTTGCAGTATTTGTTATAAAACTCTTTACATATGTTATTATGATAACTGTATTTATATTGTTTATTTTTAAGGAACACAAGAAATAGCAATAAATAGTAGGCAAATTTTTATCTTTTGTTAGATACGACGATACGAGGTCAATGTATAAGAAAAATATGTTAAAATCTTTTACAACACTTTAGCTTTGTAGTGTTGCGCTAGTCTTGAAAGTTTTAAATCTTGTAAAAATTTACATGTAATCTAGAAATATTTAACGTATATGTATTGTACAAAAAGTAAATAATTCAAGTTCCTGTTCGCAAGACTTTTATATATTCTTGAATTAAATCTTATTGTTATATATATACCAAATGTAGAAAATAAGATTTTACGTGTTTTCTCCCTCTGATGTAATTTGTTGAGAATAGCTAAAGCATTCCTATATATCCATGTGTATCTCAAAGTCTATGATTAGATGTTATAGAAATCCTTAAAGATGTTATAGTGTATTTATAAATATCAAAATATTTATTGCGTAATAGAAAAGTACATGTAAACCAAAGTATCATGTTCCTTGAATAGATATCTTATATAATTACATTCTACAAATAAGTATGTATGTGTTACTCTCGTATATGTAAAATCTGGAAATAAAATATAAGTTTGTTATGTGACACAAAATCGTGTAAAATCAGTCAGTAGTTTCTCTCTTTATTTCATATGTCCAACTGTTTTCATCATGTTTCGAACAAACAGCGTCTAGAATTCTCATATAGACGTAAATGTAACATTAACAAGTAACAGTTCGGAGATAGAAAATATCTGTTCCTTTTTATAAAACACCGCGCATGAAAAAGGCGGAATAATATGTACATTAAGTATACATATAATCGCGTGTGTACATACATCAATAAATCGATACTGACTTGGCGACAGATCACTCGCTTGAGATCTTTAGCGATATATCTCATATATATACAATGTGAATCATGTAGAAGTAGAGTTATGTCGCGACCTTAATCTCTAAGAAGGCTTAATTTGTACAATATAAATCACATATACAATGCCGTGAAGATTGATTTCATGCTAGACATTATCTATATTATTGCCGGTAGAATTCGTCTCTATGTACTTTAGCATGTATATCGACATATCTTTTCAATGCGGAACTCAACAAGAAACGAAACCCGCTTCAATAGTTACGTTATTAAGAGCGCGAATCGGCAAGAGGATATCCTCAATATCCGCAAGAGATCTTTAGCAATATATCACACATATAATTCATATATACAACATAGATGCCTAGAAACTAGAGAATTATCGCAATTTTAATCTATCAGATTTAATTTATATAATATATAAATTAAATCTTGTAACTTAGATCGCATACAACTTAGTAAAGATAATAATCAATTTTACACAAGATCATCTGTATTATTGCCAATAGAGTTCGGGATCGTCTCTGCGAAACTGAAGCTTCAACACGTGTCGATAAATCTTCAAGGCGGGACCTAGTAGTAAATTAAGTCCACATAATACATCTTTTCGACTCATCATTAGAAGCGCATGGCCGTCTATTTCCTGAAATACAAATGTAAACGATATATTTATATATATAACGAGATACATATATGATAAATGCCAACAAATACAAGCGAGCACTGAAACGATCATGTGGGCAAGATATTACGTTCAATTAGTATAAATTTACCTGCTGCCGAAAGACCTCAGCTTCTTTGGGAAACAATCTAGCGAAATATTGATATACTTGTTCAGAGGTCCAACTCCTCGCGTCAGGAATATTCGGATCGATGGGACCTTTCGGACCATCGTCGTCCATTTGATCCGAAGAACCCCTAGTAGGAGAGACCTGCGGGCTCAGAACTGGTGGTAAGATTGGTGCATTGGACGGGCTATCCGGTCTACTAGTTCCATTAACCAAATTAGCGTTTTGGCTGTCGTTCACTTTGCACTGCTGTTTTTGTGCACATTCATTGCAATACCATTTGGAACTTGATTTTGATATTGTGACACGCGACGTGTGACAAAAATAATGATAGGCATCGTCGCAGTTAAAACAAGTCACTAGAGGTCCCTGAAGAAAAGAATAAAATAAAAATTAATGATCGAAAATATTGAATGAAATAGGAAACTATGTATCAAAAACTTACAGCATCAGATGTCTCGCAACATACGGTACAAGTTTTACAGCGTTCGCATTGCCAATTACTATTGACCTTTTGAAGCATCTCCTCTGGACTGTAAATGCAACTTGGATGTGCTATAAATGTGATATAATACATAAGTGATGCGACAAAAAATTGAAACAAATTAATTTTGTTTAAAGAATTTTACCTCGTACTGTGCAGTCTCTACAAGCTACGAGAGCTTCTTGTTTTTCCTTGGCACAAAGACTACATTGCCTGCACGGTCCATCTTTGACGTTTACCTTGATAGAATCCTGAGGATCTTGCAATATAGAATTTTTATTATGGTTACTTGGCTGTCTACCACGTTTGCGTTTCACTAGATTGTTGTCGGAAGGATCAAATACTTTCCTGGCTCTCTAAAATATAAAAGCAAACATAAAATGATTGATTTAAGAGTTGTTCATCAACGTAACACATTTTCCTATCTTAGATAGACTTTAATGGAAATCTGCATAGAAAAAAAAATGTCTATAACGATATATTAAATATCGATAAACAAATCCTGAGAGTCGGAGTAAAATGCTCATGTGTGAAAGATTACGTTTCAAAATATTTACAAATGTTTATCTATAACCACAAATGCCACACGACACACTTACCTTCCTCCTCGCACTACGAAATCCACCGGTGTTTACATTGGACGGAGTCGGGGATGTGTTCGTCGACGAGCTCCTGCCGGCATCCTCATCCTCGCGATCCTCGCTCGACCGCCGACCGGCCTCCTCGCGCTTCTCCGGCTCCTCCTTACCCTGTTGATAGTCCTCGAACTTGATCTCGATGTCTATCCGATCGTCCGTCCTCGCGAAGAGACGCTGCTTGCGTTCGGCTTTGGCGGACCTTTTAAGGTTAGTCGCTGTCTTTTGTACATCGTTACCCTTCAGCTCCTCCTTGACGACGTCGCTCTCCGCGAACGTCGTCGACGACACCGCCGTTATCTCCAGGGAATCGGCGTGCTGCTTGCTCTCGCCGACGCCGTTGCATGGCATCTCGACAGACGGGGCACCGCCACGCTCGGCGTCATTTTTCCCCACGACATTATAGCACTCTTCCTTCTTGATGCACTCTTGTTGATCCTGCTGATCCAGTTTCGGGCTGTGACTCGTCTGCCGCGAGGACGACCGCGACGATCCGGACGTGGTGTCGCTGAGGTTATCCGTCTCGTTGAACTCGTAGAGCTCCGCAGCCGCGGACGATGCCGTCGTCGTCGCTGCCGTTAAACCATTGGTGCTGGCGTTGTTGCCGACGGTGCCATTGCTGACGGTGCCGTTGCTCGTCGTCGCCTTCCCGACGCGCCGTTGCGTCGTCGCGGTGCCGTTCTCCAGGGCGCAGGTGACGGAGGAGGTGGAGGAAGAGGAGGAGGAGGAGGAGGAGGACGGCTGTGAGTCGCCGCTGCGTCGCGACGGTGTCGCGTCCGTCGTCATGTCGGACGTCGCTACCAGCGAGTAATTGCCATTGGACAGGCGCGCGAGATTACCGCTCGCTACCTCCCGGCCTAGGAACTCCTCGACGACGCGGCGCGATGTCGGACTCGAGACCCCGTCGAGCAGCTGCTCGATCAGGCGGCCGGCCGGGACGCCCTGGTCGAGGTAATCGGGCTCCTCGACGACGAGCTCGGCGACCGCGCTCGACACCATGCTGGAGTTGAGCTTCTCCTTGAGGAAGCCCTCCGGGCGATTCTTGAACAGCTGTAGACGCGACCACTTTTTCGCGTTGCGGTAGCTCGTGTTGCCCTTGTAATCGACCTGGATCACCTTCTCGACCTCGATCAGCCGGTGAAGATCGGCGATCGTGTCGCGCGCGTCCACCGCGAAGTTACGCAGCAGGTAATTGCAGATGCGATCGGCATCGGGGCGGGCTTTACGTCGACGCAGCTGATCGATCGCCTCCAGTATGTGCTCCTCGTGCGTGATCTGCGCCGCTGCCTGCACCGGGTGCTGTTGCATCTTTGTCATTCGTATCGATATACTGTTTCAGGGCGCGACACTCTTTCTCTCTCTCCTTCTTTCAGCCGGTTGCCGCTAACCGTTCGACAGCAGCACCTCGCTGCCGGAGATGACGACGTCGATGGTTAACCACGAAAGTAACAGCGATCTCTCTCTCGTCCCTTGAAAAACGAAGCGCACATTTGTCAACTTTTAGAACCCGATTACGAATACCGATTGACGATGATTCACGATAATCTCTCGCTCCAGCGTCAACGCGCGCGCTCCGCGTGACTCGCCGCGCCGGTCAGCTGCGATCACCAGATGCCGATGTGAAATTTAAATCGTGCGTCGCGTGTATTATTACGACGATTATTACTTTCGATGCCGTCTCGAAACATTCCCGATGACACGGGCGCGCTTGTTCGCTCGTCGCGTACCTACTCTTCCTCTCGTGTCGCTGCGAGAATCGCGCGGATCATCTGTTCTCTCTCTCTCCCTCTCCCTCTCTCCTTCCTCCTCTCTCGCTCGCTCCGACGTCGGGGCGCGCTCTATCGAACTCGTTCTTTGGCGCGCGCGATATCACGGACGCGCGTACGCGCACCTACCTACGTCGCGCGTCGCGCGCGCGTTAAATCTGATCCTCTCGTTGTGCAACGCACGTAGTCACCGCACGCACGTACGACGCGCGTCCGTCCAGAAACTGGCGCAGAGGGCGGCGAGAGGGAACGTCCGATCGCGGATGATCGAGAGGGCCGCCAGTCGATCGCGCGAATTATGGCGTCCCCGCGCCAAATATCCCACCGGAGCGACCCCTTTAATTAGACGCGCGTTATTGTTGTTAACGCGACGGGTGACGACAACGCGTCGCGCCGATCGTTGTCCAGGCTCACGCTTCCGAGAAAAGTTTTTGAATCGCGCTCTTATCGCTTCTATGAATTCGTGCTCGAGCTATTCGAGCGAGAAGAGCCGAAGGTGCACCGAGAATAGAAGGACGGGCGCGCGCGTGATTATCTCTCGCTGGCGCGTCGCGGATCGAACCGATGCGGGTTTCACACCCTCCGCTCGACGGCTCGGAAAAATCACGGACGTCTCCGCGGCCCCGGTCCCCGAGTCGTGCAAACTTCCGGGCGCGGTAGACACCGCACCTGGACCGGCCACACGCGGACCTTCGGCCCGACCGTCCCGGCCCGGTGACGGTCGACCGATCGGTCAATTCTCGCGCTCGTAAACAATGGCCACAGTCACGGGCGCCGGTATATCTAACGTCGCGCCGGAATGATTTTCCGAGATGGACGGATACCCCACGTTTTTCCGCGTTGACACTACGAGTCCGAGTCGAGAGGCACGGTTTTCCACGCGCCAAAGGGAGTATACGCGCCTATACTTACCTATGTGCCGAAAGCGCGTAATAAGTGCGCACCTCCTTCCCTGCGGTCCGCGCCAAGTGGAACGGACGATCGAGCGATAATCACGTGCGCGGCGAATTCTCGCGCGATTACTCGCGACGGAATTCGGAACGCCGCCCGGAAGGTACCCCGGGAAAGAAAGAAAAAAAAAAGACGTCCGTAGAGACACGCGCGCGAGAAAATGGCCGCCCTAACCTCAAACAAACCTCGCACGGCCGCGGCGACTGTGCGAATACCAGCGTGAATGCGTCGGCAGCGGGCAGACGCTCTCGGCTGCGGCGCGTTACCAACGTCAGTGTGCTCCCGGCGCGCGCGCGCCTGCGCGTGTGAGTGTGCGTACGTGTGAGGCGCGCGCGTCCGTGTATGTGTGCCGGCGCGGTACTCGTCAGCTGCTCACTCGCTCGCTCGCTCGCGCGCGCGTTTGCTGTCACTGGATCAACATCGTCGATATCGATGCTGCCAGTATCACCGATGCAACGTCCACTCGCGCGACTGTGTAAGGCGCGATAAACGGCTGTCGCGACGCGATGGACACGCACACGCGTACACTTTTCCCGAGCGCGACGGCGCTCGCTCCTTCTCGATCGCCTATATATCTGTCCGGGGTACAAAAAGATCGGACGAAACGCGAAAGAAATGTCGAGGAAACGCGACGATTTAATAATTGAATTCACGCTCTTCCTTTTTCGACACAAGGCACCGGATTGTTAAACTTACCGATGCGTCGTCCTTGTCGGCGCGTTCGTCGTCTGCCTCTACGCGCGTGACATTCTGCCCTTGTCCGCACGCGTCATCTCCTTTTACGTGCAATGTATGTAACCTCGGGATCCAGAAGTATCTTTAACGGGAAAACGAAACGTGTTGGTTCTCGAATGGCCTCTGACGCGCCAACAATTCGACGCTTCTGCTCGCCGGGGAGAAACGACGCAGCAACCTAATCGCGAAACGCAGCTAATCGAAATGATTTAAATACATATCTGTAGAAAGTGTACGGATGTCCGCGTCTCGTCCGTCAATCGCTGGAGAATCGTTTGATCGTGTCTCGATGCGCGCGCGTTGTTAGTCGTACGAGTTTCGGATTAAAAACAAACGGGTCCAACACCGGGTGCGACTGAATGCGATATGGAGAGACCGCGCCAAGATGGCACACACAACGCGCACTTTTTGTACCGGTGACAGGATCGGCCACAAGTCACCTGGTGCCCGGCGCTTTCATGCCGACTTTCCTCCCCCTCTTCCCAGCAGAAAAAAATATTTAAATGAATGATGATTTTACAGAGACTTTCTAGAATTTCCTCATTAATATCAGGTGTAATGTCTTTCAAAGCAGATCTGATCTATGCAGGAGCAAGGACAATGATCGGAGGTCCATTTCCTTGGATATACATTACTTGAGAAAATATTTAAATTTATAATATTTTTCCAAAGCATTTTGAGGAAAATTTTTAGAAAATATGCACAAGGCACGGTAACCTCGCGATCCAATCGTGCTCAATCCTTATCGCTCCGGAAAATCATGGCACTGCTATCTTCCGTTTCCGGTTAAACAATCTGTCGCGTAGTCTGCTGTGTGTGGGTGGACGCATGCGTGTAAAACATGGGTTGGCGCATGCTTGGGAATATCCCATAATCTGAGAACATCTTTTTTATTTTCATTGGTCGCAAACGAAACCCGACAATTTTTTACACTGCGCATGACAAACATTTTCATTTTTATTAATCCACAAACGCTTGCGATTCCATCGCATTCCATTTTTCTACCTGGGACGCATCATGGATTTTTCTAATAGAGGGAAACTGGCGCGACAAAATTTTTCAATATATTCTAAATTTTTCACAATGCAGAAAAATTTACCATGTCACATGCGAAAAGAATTAACACAAGTTTGTACTACCTTTATTTGGATCGGATTAAATAAATTCAAATAAAAATGTTTATTATATCCTAATAAGATTATTTTGAGATTCCTAAGAATGCTGTTATCTTCGTACAAAATTTCACATTTTATTACAAAACATACAAATCTTTCATAAATATATATATACGAAAAAAAACTGCATCTTTTTTAACCATGATTTCTCTAGGAATCTCTGATTAATATCATTACAGGGAAAATATAATCGTTTTCAATTTTCACATTGTATCACATTCTAAGTATAATTGTTTTCCTTGTCGATGCAACTGCTGGTACTGTGCTGTTTAAGTTTAGAAATCTGCATATATAATAGCAAAATAAGTTAGTTTGGCAAGAAGCTGATTTTTTGTATTTATGTCAACAAAAATATACATACCAAATTAAACGGCTTCACTTTTGCAGTGATTCTATTTTCTTTCAACGGGCTTTGTTGTGCTTTTTCGGCACTCTTTTTCTGATAGACAGGAGAATATCGCCGACGTTCTATTAAACTTCTATTTAAACGTTGTGGAGAACGCTGATAGTTTACATTGAACGATGAATTGTGTTTTGGTGGTGTTAAAAACTTTGGAATACCAAACGCGTCCATTTTAGGTGTTGTACATTTCTTCGGAGTTGGCAGTTTCGATCTAAAATATAAATAAAAGTGTTTTAATAAATTCTAGTTTAAAATGTAGCTTCTTGTTTTAAAAGTTTGTTTGTGCTTACCTTTTGGGACTAATGTCTTTCCGCTCATCACTGCCACTTGTGTTGATATATGCAGTCACTGGCGAAATATCACAAGAAAAGTTACGTTTTTTATTAGCGGACGTCAATTGCGCACTTGAAGCCTTGCTGTTTTGACCATCCGGAGTTGATGAAGCCATCGGCTTGGATCTCGCAGATTTCTTAGCCATGTTATATTTATTGTCCAATGAATTAGGAGTGCTGCTGATTATTTTACCGGAAGGAGTAGTTTTATCGGATTTAGGTGGTGTAATAGTTTGAGATGATATAGTTTGTTTTCCGAGTAATGCTATGTTGCAGTAAAAATTAAATTATAGAAATTATATTATTGTTAATAATGTAATGTACTGATTTTTATAATTATTGTTACTTTTTTAATAATAATTATAAATATAAGTAACTATAAATAATCAATTCGATATTTGAATTAAGCTTTTTTAAATTCCTGTTAGTAAACTAAACATACCTCCTTTCTGCATATTGTCTACAGGATGCACCGCTTTCATAGGACCTCTCTTATTGATTATATTTGTTCTTTTCTTTAACTTATTTTTAACATCGCTTATAGCAATAGATTTCTCCTTTTTCTCAATGGCAGGCTGTATCTCTGCTGAAATATTAATGCATATAATAAAATTGTAATTTTATCAATATTTTAAATAAAATTATTTAGTGACATACGGCATATATCTGATACATGACTTACCATTTTCCATGTTACATGCCTCTGGAATCATATTTTTTTGATTTGCAAAATTACCAACTAATCCAGGATCACTTGAAAAACGTTTCTTGCGACTTTCAAATTCGGATGCACTTCTATATTTACGTATTTGCATATTTTTAGGCGACAATTGAATCGCAGATATACTTCTTCTGGCCGTCTTCTCGAGTAGCTATTTGGGAAATATAACATGTTAAAGAACATAAATAATCAAAATTATAAAAGATTGCAAAAAATCTACGCACTTTAGGATTTTTCTCATAGCTTCGTCTATGCTTCACTTTTGTTGAAAGTGTAGATGAATGTGTGTCATGATCAGATTTTGAAGCCTTTATTGGTGTAATCTGTTGAATATTATGCATTTTATTATTGTCCAATTGTGTCTCATTTTCGATTTTATAATTATTTGATGCAACATTTAAAGCTTTTCCTATACATTTAAGTAACTGCATTGTCGTAGCATCCTCGACTTGACCGCTCAACAGCTTTCCAAGATTCATTAGCAATTCTACTGCTAGTTTTTCATCTGGCTGATTATCTTTACCATGATTTATATCTGCTTCTTTAATTGAATTTGTAATATTCAGATTATTTTCATCATTATCTTTATAAGATGAAGGTTTAACTGACAAATTATCGCTGCTGATAGTTGTAGTCTGTGATGTATTTTCCAATTTACAATTTCCATCTGATAACGTTTCAGTATTGCAGCTCTCTTCTTTGAATGATATTTTTTCGCTTTCTTCTTCACTCTTATCTGTATTTGTAACTTTAGATTTTTCGATATCAGATGATATTTTCTGAGGGCTTTGTAACTCATTTGATATATTGAGACAAGTTACTAATAATTCTGTATTATTTTTACAATTAGAACCTAAGGCATTCTCCAAATTATCAAGTAATTTATCGACTTCTGGATTATTTTCTGCTTTAATTAATTTTCTGAGATCTGTCAATAATGATGTTACAACTGTCTGCTTTACACAGTCAGTGAATTGTGACTCAATTTGCTTTAGAGAATTCTCATCTACATTATCGTTACTTAGAGACTGCTCCTTATCAGTGTTTTTAATGATTCTCGAGTTTTCTTCTGATGAAGTAGGTAATTCAATTAAATTATCTACTATAAGATCATCTTCAAATGCTGGTAATAATTCTGACATCCACAGAGTATTATTTGAAATTAAATCATCAACACTAGCTGAAAAAAAATGATAAGCACATTAGATAAGGAGAATATATAATGAAAGATATTGATGAAAAATATTAAGCATTTAAATTAGTTGCAAGTTAAATGTTTGCAAAATTGTATAATAATGTAAACTGTAAAACTTAATAAAATACTTACATTCAGAATCTGTTCTTAATGCTAATTCCTCAAAAGTCTTTGAAAGCATTTTGGCCTCATCTATTATTGACTTCTTGACCTTATTAGTATCCTGTAACCAATTTTTATTTATTATATTAAAATAGTTTTTGAGAAGAGTAAATTAATTCTCTAAAATTGTTCTATCTCGATTTATTTTTACAATTTATATTTAATTTTTGAAACGTACTATAAATAAAATAAATGATAAATTTAAATATTTCTATAATTAGATTTAAACATACAATTATGTATGTGTGTAAGAGAGAAACCTTACAGTAAATACAGAATCCAAAGAAGCAGTAGAATTTGAGCTTTTATTATATTCTTTACTGGAATTTTCTGGTAAAAACACCTCAACATCTATCAATTTGTCATCTGTGATTTGTTCATTTTTTTCTTTCATAATATTAGATTTATCTTCTATTTTACTCAAGGTACTATTTATTGCATTCATAGTACATTTTAATTTGTCTAGTTTGTCTGCTAGATCCGATAAGTCATACTGTTTTGATTTCATTTCCATAGTATTTTCAGTTGTATTTATCTTTTCTTGACTCTCTTTTAATGAATTATTATCCAAGAAAGCATGATTCATAGTATCAATTGAAAATACTGATGATGAAACAGAACTTAATTTTGTTATAGATGAGACATTTGATAAGGTGGAAAATATAGATTGTTCATTGTATTTGCTCTCCAAAAAACCTTTTTCTAGGACAGATGGGATATTGCTATAATCGTATTGTGATATTTTCTTATTATCTGTTACAGAATGCGATCTCCTATTTAAACATGATAATATTGTTGGTGACCTTCCAGCTCCTTGTGACAATGAACGCGATTTAATATTGTCATTTGGAAGAGCAAATTCTTTAAGCAGTATATCTTTCTCTAGAAATAATTCATCATTATCTTTTTTAGACTTGGAAACTGTTTCTAATAACGCGTCATTCATTGCAGACTGATTTAAAATTGATGACTCCAGTGACTCTGCACTGGTAACAACTATTTTAGCATTTTGTTTAGATACACAAATATTTTCATCATTATCTTTACAACATAAAAGTTTAACCGTCACATTATCACAGACATCAGTGTTTCTCACATCAAGACTATCAATTTCTTTCTTTATTTCCACTTTCTCGTTTCCATTATACATATTTAATTTATCTTCAAAGAAAGATCCATCCAACGTCTTGTTTATCATCTTGAAGTGTCTCTTTTTAGATTTTGGAGTAAAGTCATCCGCAAAGGTCACAGATTGCGTTCTCAAGTCTGTGTTTCTTTGCTTCTTAGACTTTAGAGCTCGTTGTAGCATCATCTCAAAGGGATCACCCTTCTTGCTGACATATTCAACGGTCTCGTGCAACACCCTATCAAATGGATTGTTACCTTCGCTCTCACTTTGTTTTTCTGTTATCACCAACAAATTTGTTTCATCACTGGATTCGACATTTTTGGGCACCGGTATCAGAGGCGATGCCAGTTTCGATGGGCCCAAGGATCTCTTTGCGTCCGGACTATTTAAATCTATCAAATCACACATTCTCCTCTCTCTCCGATTCGTCCTTTTCGACCGTTTAAGTGTTTACCCCTGGTGTTTACAATGTCGTAAAGATGATTAAAAAAAGATCTGTGTATGCCAATTCAAATGTATCGAGGCTACTGAATAAAACGTATCATCATGTATCTTCATATTCTACTCGCGATTAGTATCTCAGGCTACCCCTCGCAGCCAAGTGTTCGAACATTACAGCGTAAAGGACAATATTCTCTGTGATTATTGTACAATTTATGTATTACACAATATTTTATGTACCGGCAACACGACTCGCGCGAATACAATTTACGGTTACATACGACTTTTAAAATCCACAAAGCGGAACCATCAAGCGCGCTCTGTCGAGTTGCTTGAATAAATGTCGGAAGTGATACTACTCTGGCGGCATCTTTGAATTTGAAAATAGTGATTTAAAATCGTGCGAATCACCAATATATTGAGACCTATTTTGTTATAATAGTTGTATAATTATTGTGAAAGTTTTATAACATTAAAATTAGATATATTCAATATATCCCGTGATAAAAAAACTTATATTCACTACAATTTTTAGAATAGTAGACATCGTATGCTAGAATATTTTCACGTTACAGCTATTATTTAATTACATATCGTCTATTATACACCGTATTACTCAATTATATATAATTATTTAATTACATATAATTATTACATTTATTAATTAATTGATTATTTATTTATTAAGCACGATTATATATAGTTATTTTAAATTCACCAAGTACACGACAAAACTTCATCATACATATATATATATATACATTTTTGAAATTTCTCTTTCGAATATAATTTATTTTATAAAAATTAAGTACACAAAATATTAGTATACAGGTATATAAATAATCATTTTTTATTAATTATTCTCAGGCAAGATGTAAGGCACATATGTTCATTTGTGTCATTTAAAACTATTCTAGTATGTACAATGTATATTTTCACTAGCTTTATCATCAATTCACAGATGCGATTGCAGTACTTTTATAAGCCAAACGTTAAATAATTTATTAGAAAAAGTTTGTACATTTGTATTTACAATTTTCGTCTTTTTGTTTTGATATACACAAATATCAATTATTAAGATAAAATTTGTTGTCACTTTTTCCTTTCAACATAATAATAATATATAGTTTCACATATAATTTTGATAACAAAGCATCATCATAAAGATATTATGATATAATATTGCATTAATCGTGAATGATATTAATAAATTATTCAATCTCTATTGCAGCTAGAAAAACAATCATAAAAACAACAGGCATACATGATAATGTTAACAATATATGACTCAATTCATTATATTCATTATTCATTAAAAAGATATTTCTATAATAATTATCATAAAGTGACACTATTTTCTTCTCTCAATATTGATGACTTTAATTGTTAATGCAATTGTACATATCATGTATTCTATATGCATAGTATTTAAAAAATATATATCTTTTATTACAAATTTTTCGCAAAAATTGTATGTAAAAAAGATATAAAAATCTAAATTATTCAGTGCTCACTCTAGCTTGTCATCGTTAAGTAAATATATGTAACAGTAAAGTCAATTACTTTGCAGGTACATTAATTGAATTTATGCTTACTTAACAGACAAGATCCTATAATTTTTTTTTCAATCAAAAAGGAAAGACAAGGAATATATAAGATGCAATCAGATCATTTACTTTATAATCTTATATACTGTAAAACGAGACTAATTTGACTATTGTGAAAAATTAATCTTACACATTAATGTAAATGAAATATTGCTCTCCACAATATTTCATTCAATAATTATATTATGTATTAAAAACATAATATATTTCATTCAATGATTATATTATGTATTAAAAAAAGAACATAAATAAAATAAAATTTAATAAAGAATGTGTAAAATATCTTTTTTTCTACATGCAAAAATTAAACCAAATTAATCTCAATTTACAGCAACAATACATTTGAGCATATTTATTACTTAAGACACCCTGTAAATGTCTTGCAACAGTCTCTTCATTGCAATATAGCTAAATACAGCCTATAAGTTAAGTTTTTCGAGATATAACTCGTGTTGATATAAGTCATATCTTGTATTCTTTCCATCTTATAAAATAAAATTCGTTAAAGATTCGTGCAATTGTTGGCGGTCCGTTTTTTTGAACACGAGGTCCTCCAGTCACGATCTTACCCTCTATAAAACAGAGATATAGCTGCGACACATTCTCACAAACGTTGTTCGATAGGCAGTGGCCCTTGGCGCAGAGACGGTGGCTCACTATGCGACGTGACGTTTACGTCAGATCCAGCTGCATCGCCGTTGTTATGTCCATTGTTGCTGCCATTGTTGTTTTGGCCGTTTAGAAATGACGTCATTTCCATCGACGACTGTTGTCCGCTCTGGATTTAGAAACATGTGTGTGTTCGTTCGCTTCTTTTCAGATCTAGAGCGTGTAAGGGGTAACGTGCGTATGTCGCGTTCGGAAAAACAAAAGAAAAGCGGCTCCAGAGAGAGTGTAGAGAGCGAGTAGAATTAAAGAGCAGCGCGCGACCAATGCTAAAACTAGAAAAGAGACTAGTCTCCTTAATATATTGTCGACAGTTTAACGGATTTACACGATTAGACGAGCGCAGAGAAACCAATATCAAGTTTTATATGAATAGAAATTCTTATATGAATAAAAAATCTATGATTAAAAAAAGTTATATAAATGATCATAAACTAACTCATAATTGTAATAATTTAAATTGTAAAATCTTTTTATATGATCATGATCAACATGTTTTCTGCACTCGTCTAAAATCATGCTGACTTTCGGAAAGAAAGTAAATAACTGGATCAAGATAAGCAATTAAATTTTGAAAAAATCAAATATAAAGAACACAATTACATACATTTTATTATTATTGTTATTATATACTCACAAGTATTGAATATATGAATCTAGTTCCATTACTTTCTTCCGATGAAACAAAAGTCCAGATGTTGTTACTTACAAATACTGACCTTAGGCTGCATAATATCTTCGGATGCATCAAGACCAGCAAGCGGATTAGATGTAATGTTAATTTTGGAATCTGCAACTCCACCGTTCATTACTCGTCCATTCGTTATCGGTTTACCTGTTATGAAAAGGAAAAAGGAATTATTTAATTTTGATTATTATAAAAATTATACATTATTCTTATCAAGCTTAAATCATATACCTTCACTTTGGGATTCCTGATTTTGTTTATATTTTGCTCTTTTATACAAACACCCCGCTACAAAAGCGAGAGCAATTAAAATGACAGCTCCTCCAAATACTCCACCGATTATAATCTCTATACTAACATTCTTATTATTTTCGCTCGGTCTCAATTTATTTTCCGCAATCACTTGCTGAACTGGATGTTCTTCGATCCGGATGCTTTTTCCAGTTTTCTGTCGTAATATTTGAGAAAATTCTGACGCTGCATCTACGGAAAAACTCTGAATCTTGAATTCATAGACAGTTTCAGATTGTAAATGAGAGATAGTCATGTTGTAGGCATCTTTTCCTTCCACAGTGGTTTTAATATATTCGCCGGCTGTGGTAGAAGCCCGATGATATATGTAGAATCCGTCAATCTTGGCTGATTTGTCGAGATTTTGCCAAATCAATAATACTTGATGCGGTCCCAACGCTTCGGTATTGGTCAATAAAGGTATCGGCATTTTATTGCTTTCAATGCCAGTATCTCTATTAAGATGAAAACGAACGGAATTTGGGCTCAATTTGTTATCATTATTCGAGTATACCGCGGCGATTCTAAATCGATAAGTATGGTCAGGTTGCAAGTCAGTCACTTCGAAAGATCGCACATGATTCGGTATCTCGGAATTAGCTGTCATCCACTTTGCCTGTTTGCCGTTCATTTTTGGACCGAGTTCTCGGTATTGAACTTTGAAAAATTGTATTGGCAAACCGTTGTTTTCCGGTACCGACCATCGTACCATGACGGAGATATCAGATAATCTTGTGACATTGGGTTGATTCGGAGGTACCAAAACTACTATAAATAAAAAGAAAATAAATAAGAATACATATTTTTAGATAAATATATAATATATAAATAAAAATAAGAAATATATTAAAATGTATTTTATAATTGCATGTAAAAATTTTTTTATACAAAATTTTATATCTAAACATTATCAATTTTTTTATTTTCTACGTGTAAAAGAATTTCAAGAGAGTTAATCTGAGATATCCTAATCGGATATTTGATAATGATAAGAAAACGTATGAAATGATGATAACGTAAGATAAATAACCTGCACCCTTCTTTTTTCCTTCCTTATTTCTACGCCTACCACCGCCTTTGGTATGTTTATGCTTTATAGCTTCATAATCCAGTCTCGACTCAGTCGTGCCACCAAGAACATGTTGCTTCGGGTTGACTCGTAATAAGTTATATCCCGAGTGCGATCCGTATTTATTATTGGCGACGCACTGAACAATCCCGGCATGTTTCTTCTCAACTTCGCTAATGTGAAGGGTGGAGCCTTCAATCTTCTGATTCGTATCATTTACCAAGGATTTCCCGTTAATGAGCCATTCGATGCTCGGTTTTGGCTCGCCCGTCACGTTACACGAGAGATCTAATACACCACCTTCGGAAAACGTGGATGCTTTTGGTTGCCTTATGACTCTCGGTGGTTCTACGACCGTCAAAATGATTGCAGATTTGATCTGTTGGACGTCGTTACTCCACACGCAGTCATATTCGCCGCGATCGAATGGCTGCACGTGGACTATCGTCAGACCGGTGGAGGATTTTACCGATTTCGATGGTAGAAAGCTGCCCAGACGGCTCCAGACGATGCGTGGCACCGGATAACCGGCGGCGAAACATTCCAACGTAATATTTTTGCCACGCGGAACTATGTATTCCCTTTGCGGTTGTTTGATAAAATATGGAGCTTGAAAAGTCGCGTTTGCGTGTACCGTTAAAATTGTTTTATAGTTGCTGGTAAATATCTGCTGCGTTATGTAATTGTTCGCGCTGCAATGATACGATCCGCTGTCCGCCAATCTGACATTCTTAATAACCATAACTTTGCTGTTCACCAAATTTGCATCCTCGATGAGCATCCCATTCTTGTAAAACTGCACTATAGCTTCCGGTTCGGAATATGGTACAGGACACGTGATGGGTACGGTATTACCTTCCATCACTTGGATGAAAACATCGTTTTTATCGGAGAATTTCTGTATCGTCGCGAGTGTCAATTTCGCTGGATCCGACGCTAAACCACTCGTACCTACAAACAAATTTAAAAAAAATATTTTAGAAATTAAGATTTTATTTTAATTTTGCCTAACAGCTTATATATTTTTATATTATCTGTCATGTACAGTTTTTCTAAATAAAAAGAGACACAAGAGAGGAAAAATATTTGCCAAACATGAGTGGATAAACTTTTGCATAAACCTACCAAAGAATGCGATACAACGATAGTCTCCGGCCTTTGACTCCTTGTCGAAATTGACAACGTGTCGCGATGTTTTGCTGCTGCTGTTCGTGGGATGCGACAGCGGTGTCCATTTGTTCGAATGTAGGGGCCTGTGATGCCACGCAAAACGCTCCGCGCCGAGATTGAGACTGCATTCGAAATTTACATCGTCATTTAATGGAGCGGCTAAAGGCTGCGGATGTCGGGTAAAAGACATACCCAATTCTTGCCTCTCCCCTGTTAATATCAAATCAATATATAAATATGATTACATTTTTACAATATTTGAAATATTAGCGTTCTCAAGTAATAAGAACCTTACCGCATATATGCGTTGGACCGTAGAGTAGGATAACGATGATGCCAGATAAAGGGAAGATAGATGTCATCTTGACACATTCTGCAAGCAATACGAAAGAAGGTTGTTACGTTAATTAAGCATTGCACTCTATTGGTTGTTTTTCCGATCTCGTTCACGGGAAAGCAAATACTCGCCGGTTCGCAGAGTACCGGCGAAGAGTCACTAAAATTAATACCGAGCAAGCATACCGTTTAAGTTTAGAACGTCGAGTTCATGTGAAAATAGAACATAGCATTATTTTTCTTAAAGAGTGAGACGACGAGATGACACAATGATCACTCATCACAATAATTGCAGATTTCATACATGTCAGCCAAAAACTGTAAACATATATAATTATCTATAAAAATATGATTTCTTGTACATTTCTTGTACACACACGGTATATATGTATATATATATTACATGTATAAAATTAATTCTTCAACATTTTTTTATATTCTTCATATTAAAATAAAATTACTTTACATATTTAGCGGACTCTAGAAAGAGAAAGAGAGAGAGAGAGAGAGAAAGAGAGAAAAGAGAAGAAGAAAATAAGTTAAATATGTAGAATGAATAAACTTTACCATAACAATACAAAATATAATATAATAATAACAATAAATGATAAAATACAAGTTTCTTGTTTTAGGACAACAACAACAAGAAAAGTTAGTTGCTGGATGACGTCTGATCATCTAGAAAATATCCATATACGGCGTCGAAAGCTGCGTTCATTGCGCGAACCGTTTTACACCCACATGATATCCGCGCTCGTGCGACCATCAGAAAACCATATACTCGTATGTCCGTAAAGAGCCGACGATAATAATTCTTTCTCGTTGAGCTAATGCTGCGGAGGGCGTGTAGGTATGTGTATCCATTCACATATCGTACACACGCACCCACGTGTCGCTTTAATATGCGTGAAATTATCGATATTTTCCCGATAGCGGAAACGCCTGGAAAAACAAGATCGCGTCTCGAGTTCTCGGTCAAGCTACCTAGAAGTAATTAATATATTTCGAATATTCTCTAAAAATGTTATTAAAATTAATTTACCAGTGAGTATTCAATGTTAATGTAAGTATACAAACACCTTACACATCTATTAACAATTGATTGATATGTTAATAGTTTTTCTATTTTTAATTGACTCGAATATTAATTTTTACCGATCTTATACTAATTAAATATCCATCCGCAAATCTCTACATGTGTCGATTGAGAAAAAATCTTAACATATTAATACATTTACAAAGTTTTTGCGATTCGATTTGTAGAAGACGTGTGTGTAGAAGATGAATGGAATTCTATTCATTCAAAACTTTTTTGTTCTACATGAAATAATTTAAATAACAATATTCTAAAATTACACTTTTTTTCGTTCGCATGCTTTGCCTGTACCTATAAGTAAGAAGAGAAGTCGGCATTCGATAAAGTAAATGAGAATTAAGAAGGATAGAAAACAAGAAGATTTTAAGTGAAAGCGAGCCTGCAATCTCAAATTTATCATCTCGAATGGATCAATTTGAAAAAAAGAGAAAGAGAGATGATAATAAGAGAAGAAAAGAAGCAGAGAGAACAATTTAAGTATACACGGACATAGACTATCAGCGTGCCTGGTAGTTTGTCGCGCGTTTTATGCACACGAGAATATTCTTTAACTTCTGTCTAAATGGTAGCATAATGTCGGTGGCATGTAACAGGTGAGAAGGGCCACAAAGAGAGGCTGGTTTCTGATATTACTTCTCGTAAAAATAAAGAAGCCGAATTCCAAAGCAGTGGTTGTCCACTCCACTTCCCTCTTGGCACGTATACGAATGCGGTCTGTGCGTGCGTGCGTGCGTGCGTACGTGCATGCGTGCGACCAATGCGCTTATACGCGTTATCCGTAGCACTGCAATGAAGCTTAATCTGCCCGATGTGCGCTTTTATATTAATGATTCAATCGTCGTCGTGTTACATAGGCATGTATGATAATAGTATGTATGATAAAATCACTGCAAAGTTTTGATTTGCAATTAGAAATAAAGATTTTAAATATAGACTACATGTGTGTGATAAAATTGAAATTACTGCAATAATAATTTAATAATAATAATAATTTAACAATTTACTTTAATTTCCGATATGTAATCTCCAAATATTAAAGAATGCAAATTGCTTTACTTATTTTAATTACGTTACTTTATAATATTTAGAGATATTACGGAGTTAACACACAAAATTTTACTTATTGTTAGATCTTTAATCAAGTGCAGGGAGTATGAATAGGCTGTTTTAAACATTCAATTTAGTCACACACACGTACGCACACATACATTACATACTAAAAAGCACAGATGAAGCAGATAATTTGGAGTTATATGTCGGCATTTATCTCGCGAGGAGAAAAACTTTTGAAAATCATCGCACAATGAAAGAAAAACTCTTCCGCCGAAAATACTCCAATCCATCAATCATCCACAATACAGACTCCTTCCCGTTCTACGCGGAATGCGTGGCCGTGCCATAAATGATTATCGGTGTATCATTAGTATTCCAGCGAAGGACAGTCTTTCTCGTGATGCATTTATGGGATTGAGGATCATGTGATTGCGATGAGGACAAAAAGACGAATTCTCCTGCTCGTGGTTAACAGGTAAGGGATTCTGAAAATGAGGGAGAAAATTTCAAAATTAGTGAAAAAAATGCACATTTCGTCGCAATGTCATTAAACAGATCGTAAAAGTTATTCATTAATTTTGTATCTCCTAAGACTTTTAAGCAAGCTGGGAAAGTCTTTCATCTATATGGATTTCGATAAATTATTTCTATATTAGAAATATAGAGATAATTTACGATAAATTATTTCTATATTAAAAATATAGAGATAATTTACGTCAAAATTCTTTTTTTATATCAGGGAATTGAACATTATCATATGTTGGTTTTACTATACACTTTTATCTCGAGAATGATAGTAAAGAATGAAATCACGCTTTTTAATACGTACATGTAAAAAATTGGCAAGTTTGAGTTTATTGTTAGTTTATTCTATGCTATCGATTCTTTTACACTTTGCATTTAGGGGATCATGATGACGATTGGGAGAAAAGGGCGATGTGACAACACACTGCGAGGACGAGATCTGGATCGCGAACAGGTAAGATTTAAAAAAGGACGCCGGGGATTACGAGGAGCGCTGGTGAAGCGACGATAACGAATGAGAGGTCTTCTTTTTACTTCTCTTGTACTCCCCTGCATGATATCTTGATTCCCCTTTCGCCCTACAACGTCCGAATACACTTGTTTCGGATCTCTTCTTTTACGCAACTTCCTACCTGCGTTTCTTTTGCACCTGTTTTTCTTCCTTTTCCTTCTTCTTTTACTCTCTCAAAGCATGAAATTTATTTTAAACAGAATATGTAAAAAACAAATTTTATTAAGATAGATTTATTAAAAGAAAATTTTGATAATAAATTATAATTGAATAATTGAAATAAATTATAATTAAATTATTCTCCCTCTTTCTTTCTTGTTTTATATCTCAGAAAGATGGAAATCAGAGAGAGAATCTGAAATATATGAGAAATCATTCTTATTAAAGTTATTAATACGAATGTAATTTAATTTCGTCTATTTTTAATTGTGCCTCCCATATCTTACTTTTTATCTTTCTCTTTTTAAAGCGTACATACTTATTGCATTTTACGTAGAAAGTATAGATAAGATGAAAGTATCTATTTTAAATGTAAAGTGTAACACAATGTCCAGAAAAAAATTAGAATCTTAAATGTACGATCTAATTTTCCGATATAATCAGCAATCGATTTTCTATCGAAATCATGATTGAGTACCGTTTCTCCAGATACCTCGATCTTTTTGTATGCACTTCCTACCTGCGTTTCTTTTGCTCCTCTCTTTTGTCTCCTTTTCCATATTCCTTTAACTCTCTCAAAGTATGGAATTTATTTTAAACTTCGAAAATATGTAAAAAACAAACTTTATTAAGATAGATTTATTAAAAGAAAACTTTAATAATAAATTATAATTGAATAATTGAAATAAATTACAATTAAATTATTCCTTCTCTCTGTCTCTTGTTTTATATCTCAGAAAATGGAATTCGGAAAGAGAATCTAAGATATATGAGAAATCATTCTTATTAAAGTTGTTAATACAAATGTAATCTAATTTCGTCTACTTTAATTGTGCCTTCTATATCTTCTTCTCTCTCTCTTTCTCTCTCTCCCTCTCTCTCTTTCCAAAGCGTACATACCTATTGCATTTTAAACGTAGAAAGTACAGATAGGATGAAAGTATCTATTTTAAATGTAAAGCGTAACACACTGTCCGGTAGAAAAAGATTAGAATCTTAAATGTACGCGATCTAATTTTCCGATATAATCAGCAATCGATGATTTTTTATCGAAATCATGATTGAGTACCGTTTCTCCGGATTCCTCGATCCAATCGGGTGACATTCAAGCGAGATTTCGAACGGCGGGTAATAGAAAAAAAAAAGCGAAGCGTACACTCGTAAAATCGCGCGATACAATCGATCGAACGGATCCGAGATCACAAGACGCAAAGCGTCGAGACGCATTTTCACTCACCCTTTTTCTCAATCCGAGCGAACCTAGTCGACGCAGAGCAGGGAAGAATCGTCCCTCGTGAATATACAATAATCGGAACAGGCACAACACGTTGTTCTCGCGTCGCTCCGAGGGGAGGGAAGGGAGGAAAAAAGATTCCAGGCGATGCGGCCCGGCGACGCTCCTTTGTGATCGGTCACGAGCCCCCACGCTTCTTCGTCTCTCGTTTCCTCGTTACTTCATGTTCGCGCTCGCGGTTCGTTTTCAACGGAGAGAGAGCACGACGCGTTCCGATGCGTTTCCGATCGCTGCTCCGGAAGACGCGCAGAAACGACGAGGAGGAATTGAGGGACCGACGCTTGATGACGGGGCCGCTGCGGCCGACTTGGCGGCTTCACCGGCGGCGGCACTGGAATGCAGACCGACAGGTTTTGAAGCGGCGGCGGCGGCGGCTCGTGGAGGGATGCTGCGACGGTAGTGGTGGTGATGGTAGCGATGACAGGAAGAGTCGCGCGCGCGCGCGCGCTCGGATTCGAAGTCGGTTTCCTTCAGTTGCACTTTTTACGTTTCTCTTACACCTCGAAGAGATAGAATGTGAACTTCGGAGAAGGAGAGGAGAGAGAAGCGATCTGCGAGGTGTAGTTGTAGCTTCGATGGATTTTTCGTCCTGTAGATTGGCACTTACTGCTGTCACGTGGCCCGCCACGTGCGCGCGTTTTACGAATAGTGTTATACATTTTAATAGGTGTTGGGAAAATATAACGCGAGATAAAGCTTGTGCATGTATCTATTAAAATATATATGGGATTTTATATATATATATTTTTTTTTTTTTGACACTGCCTTAATTTTGTTTACAAATTTGTTTATAGTATGACATATGTATATTTGAATTTCTTTAACATCTACGGCGCATGTCAGCCCATTGATAAGCCGAATCGTATATGGGTTGCAATGATTTGAAATTTTAAAATATATAATGTGTGTAAAGATTCGGCAAAATATAATAATGATCTCAAAATTATATAAATAAGGCTCTATATTCGAATCTCTTACGTTAAATAAAGAACTTGTTTTTTTTATTTAAAATCGTATCTCTTTTTTCTGCATCCTTTTATATATTATGAAATACAATTGGAGTACAGATCGACAGTGCATGAAATACATATTTTATTGAGTGACAAATTTTTTTAGAATGTATATTATAGATTATGTACCGTAATTTATTTATTTTTATGTAAAAAATTTATGTAAAAAAAACAATTCGATTTTATTATAATATTAAGAGATAATAATTTTTTCTGTTGAATAATAATTTAAAATAATTTTAATTTTAAAATAAATAGTAATTTAAACTAACAATTTGAAATATCAATTTGAATCTGAATACATTATATATTTCAATCTATAAATTATTCAGAAAAGAATTTAATAATAACTTTCGCGAATATATATATATATTCATAAATCAAAAGATTCATAAATAACATTGAAATGAAAAAATAAATATAAAAGAATACAGAAAGGTCTCCTTTTCACCTGATGAATGCATGACTGTCACTTTCAAAGAATCCCTTATCAATCCGTCACTCACCGAGCTACGACACTTCTTATTTATGTATGAGAAATGTCAACACATCTCAGTTCTCTGTATCGTCATGTAAGTAAGCCGAATTAGCATTCTTTTTAGATCGCATAATCAAAATACATACCAGTTGTGATCTATGAACGTTCCGAGAATCAATATATTCAAACTTTTACACATTTTATGCAACTTTTATTGTCTGAATCCACATCATTGTTCACTAATAAAGACAGATTATGACAATGTAATGTATGGAATATTTCGTTGCTGTGATTTTTTAAATTTTCACTATATCTGGTTTTCCTGTCAGGTTAAAAAAATACAATAATCTGTATTCATATTTTTTGATTGAAAATGACGCTAATTGTTTCAGATTCCAAAGAATTTTTAAACCTACCTTTTTAATTATATTTCTTACACTAATATATTTTTCCAGTTTCTCTATTCTTTCTCTTTCTATTTCTAATTATAAGAGTCAATTATACTCATTTTATTTTGAATAGAAAGTATAGTTTAAAAGCTCTTAAGCTATCAGTGTCAATCAAAATATAAACGAAGTACTTTATCAACGTTCAACGAATAACGGAGTAGATGAGATGGTAAATTATCTCGCGTTAAAACAACTTGTACGACTGTAGGTAACAGTTTACCTACAATCGTGCTGATTGTTAGTTTTAAATTTTACTGTTTCGTGACGTTCGTGAGACTTGACAGCAGTCCATGGCGATTCATGATTTCGTAAGGAATTGTCTATCTGGATCTGTTCGCGATTCACGCGAGTTTGACAACCAGCTGCGACTCGTAACGTGCGTGTCTTATTACACAATGGAATGATATCTCGAGTTATTTGACAATAAGAACACGCAAAGAGGAAATTAGCTTCAACAAGCGACAATTGCAAAGCATTTTACCAATTGTGTCAGATTAAATATGCACAAGGATGTTGATTTCTTATACCTTGTTCTCTCACGATGCTCCTGTTATAATTAAAATATAGTTCAGTTTCGATTAAATATATATATATATATATATATATATATATATAAAATTCTTATAGATTGATGTCGCGCGTTCTTCATTATGAAATATCCTCAATAAAATTTATTTTATATTTTGTAATAATTTTTTTTTTCAAAGGAGAATTACTAACATGACTTTATTATGATGTTTCTGTCTTATTAGATATCACAATGAAGAAGTTATCAGTTCATTGAAACGTCGTGGACTGACCAAAAATGTCAGAGTCTACAGACAATCAAGTCGAACAGTGCGACATAGTCCTTCCAAGACAAGGTCTATTATATCAGGAGGATACGTTGGATTATATACTCTGTAAACCAAAATTGATTCCATTAAAATCGGTCACGTTAGAGAAACTTGAAAAAATGCAAAGGGATGCAGAAATCAAAGTCAGAGAAGCACAAGAGGCAGAAACCAGTTCTGATATAAATGCATAAGTATTCAGTGATAAGTTAAAATTTATAAGATTCATTAGATATTGTATGAGATAAAAAACAAGATGATTCTTGGTGCATTTCTAACAGAGATCATAGTGGCATTTTTGCTGGCCGCAACTTTGCTTTTCAAATATGGAAATGTGTTTCGGCATCATATTATAGTCACTATCTCTGTATTGATAGCTTGGTACTTTTCTCTATTAATAATTTTCATACTACCTTTGGATGTCTCTTCGGTAATTATATAATTATTTATGTAATTCAGTATAGTATATACACAATCTTGTTCAATATTTTTTTGAAAGAATACAGCTTTTCTCTGAAACATAATGTAATATTTCATTTGCAGACTGTATTCAGGCAGTGTGTAGAGCAGAATATACACAACAATACTAAAAATACTGATAATACTACCTCTGCAACATTTGTAACATGTAAGGAACCCTGGCCAAATGTGCCAGATAATGTGTTTCCAAATCTGTGGAGGATTGTCTACTGGACATCGCAGTGCTTGACATGGTTAATACTCCCATTGATGCAGTCTTATATAAAAGCAGGAGATTTCACTGTACGCGGAAAACTAAAGTCTGCTTTAATAGATAATGCTATATATTATGGCAGTTATTTGTTTATATGTGGCATACTTTTAATATACATTGCATTAAAGCCTGGTTTAGATCTTGATGGGTGAGTTTTACTGATTTATAACAAATGTATTAAAATGAAGAATATTTATATAGATTATATTATAGATAAAGTTATATGTGTAAAATTTAAAACATTACTAATATATATATATATTCAGTATACAAAATAAAAAATAAAAATTATATTTTTGCTGTTTTAGGCAAAAATTGAAAGCTATAGCATCATCAGCATCCAATACATGGGGCTTATTTTTATTGGTTTTGTTACTTGGATACGCTCTCGTAGAGGTACCTCGAGGATTATGGAATGGAAGCAAACCTGGATATACTTTAAATTATAGCTATTTCAAAGTAGCAAAATTAAGCTTAGATAAATGCGAAGCGGAAGAAACAGTAGATGATATACTTGAGGTACACAATATAATATTATTTACAAAATGCATTTATATGTGAAATTATATGTGAAATTATATGTGAAATTCTGCAAAGTTTCATGTAATAAATTTAAAAAATGTATCTTAGTCATTACAAATTGCAACAATATCTATTGGGCCTGGTCACCCATTCCATTGTAACTTGGAAACAATTTTTCAAAAAATACCTGCAGAATTGAAGGATAGAATGAATAGAAGACAACTGCCAGATGATACTCCAACAGATACTCCTACTGAAAAATCTTTAATTCGATTACATAGACAGGTTTATATTATAGCAAATATATGTTATAATATCATAACATACATTTATATTTCTATATATATTACTATTACTTTTATTTTAGACTATAAAAGCGTTACAGACTTTACAACGTATAGAGACTCAATGGGGTATTTTAGTGGATAAGATTTTTAATTTGGAAGATGTAGCAAAAAATCAAGTGAGTCATGATAGAAGATTCAAATCGTCTTTTCCTATACATCGTTCGCTTCCGTTTCGTATTATTTATAATCCTGTTGTCGGTGAGTATAATATCATTTTTTATAATTTTAATATTTGTAATTTTTGATTTTATGATTTTACAATTTATATTTCAGAATGGTACTGGAAATGTATCGTGAAAGATTATGTTTTGAAGATAGCTGCCATTTGCGCGAGTTATTTGTCAGTAGCTGTCGTATGGTCAGAAGTAACATTTTTCAACAAGTCTCCTGTGTTGTCGTTATTTGCTCGGTTTCTGAATTTAGCAAAAAGAAATTATGATTATTTTACGATAGAGGTAAAAATTTATATATAATTAATTTTATATGATATAGGGATAAAAACTTAATATTTCATATTTACATTAGCATTTAACGTGTTTGATTTTTAGGTACTATCTACATTGATTATTGCATACCTTTGCTACTGCGCTTATTCTACTGTCTTAAAGATTCGAGTGTTGAATCTCTATTACTTGGCACCCCATCATCAAACAAACGAGTACAGTTTGATATTTAGCGGTATGATGCTGTGTCGCTTAACTCCGCCCATGTGTCTTAACTTCCTGGGACTTATTCATATGGATTCTCATATTATCAAGACTCATATTCTGGAAACACACTATACACAGGTAATGTTGTTTACATAATTTGTAAATTTGTAGATTTTCTTTATGTATTATATATTCTCTTTTCTCTTCTCAGGTGATGGGTCATATGGATGTCATTTCTATAATATCCGATGGATTTAATGTGTACTTTCCTATGGCGATTCTAGCATTCTGCTTAGCGACATACTTTAGTATAGGTAGTAGACTGCTTTCGATGCTAGGTTTTCAACAATTCCTCGACGACGATGAATTTACGACGGATCTCGTAGATGAAGGAAGAGAACTTATAAAAAGAGGTCAATAAATTAATAATAAGTCATTAATAATTTTCATAATTATATGCTTAATTTTTTATCACAAAAAATGACATTTTTTTTATTACTCTAGAGAGACGTAAACGACAAAGAGCGGAGGATTCTATATATAGACGACGTGAATTGCAAGAAAGATTCAATATTTCAGTAGGTTCAGGATCGCGTTACAGAACGTCCCGACAAAGCACAGATACTGGTATGTGTAAGTAGTACATGTATAATATAAATTACACATCATGCAGATGATTGTTAATAATTAATTTTTTTTCTAGTACGGCCACTAAAACGGGATGAATCGATTGAATCGGCAAGAGCAGGTCTATTACATGATTTCGATCCTGCGGATTATTATATCGGTATGACATTTGGGGGAGAGAGTTATGGTGCGAATAATCGTTACGATGGGGAAAATCAAGGTGATGTTGATTCATACGAACCGAATAACACGAGGGCATTCTCCACAAATACAAGTCGTGTAGGTCCTCCACCCAGAGGATTGTTCGATGATATTTAAAGGATAGCAATTTCGTAGATGCAGCTCAAGTGCAAGAATCATATGTAAATTGGCTTTTAGAGATTTACACGACATTTATACCAAGACGCAACGATTCGTTGTTATGATAAATCATGAAAATTATGAATTATATAGTAGCACAAGAATGAATCTTATTCAACGGAACGTAAACATATTTAGAGATTTTACGTGCCTGTAACGTTTTGAATCCTAAATAGCAGCACGAATTAAAAAATAAAGTATTATAAAATATATTCATATAACTTACATACGTATGAACAAAGAAATTAAAGTGGATGCTGAAACGTTTTTTTCTTTTTTTTTTATAAGAAATTGCAACAAATTATTACGGCTAATAGAATCTAAAAATGCGATGAATATATTCCGATTTAGTACCAACATGTATATTTATTGCGTTTATTAAAAAATAAATATATTGTTATTATTCGATTATTTCTTTAAGCTTTGTATAGTTTGATTTATGTCAAAGATAATAAATAATTTATGTATAATATTTTTTAATTATTAAATTTTTTAAATTATATTTATTTGAAGTAATTATTCATTAATACTTCACTTTTCATCAATATAAATATTTTTTAATTGTATAGTTTATTTATCAATCTTTCTCTTGATACTACAGTCTTAACATTTTCATAACTTGTCTCATGATTTATATAAAGATATGAGATAAACATATGATGATAAACTTTTGCTTTAATTTTTATTTATATTTTATATTTTTTTGTATTCTATTTGCTATATTTATTTTAATTCTATCTATTTTAATTCATAATAAAAAGTTATTGTGAAACAGAGGATTATCAGAAATGGCAAAGAAAAGTTGACTGGATGACGATAGGAAAATTTAATAAGAATAAGTCAGTATATGGAACAATAACAAAACACATCAGTATAAAAATATACGCCTTGAATAAGTCAAATTTCAGCATTTTATATATTATAAACATGTTTCAATGAAGATAATAAAACTTTTAATGTCGGCTAGAATTTTTATCCTTTTATTACAGATTATTCTTTATTTATCATAAATTTTTTCATTTTTCACATTATATTTTTCTTCCACATATTTATAATATAATATATCTAAATATATATCTATAACTTTATCCATGAGATTTATCTTTACCTGAGAATTTCGAAAAGTATCTTAATGCATCTAAATATCATTTCTTAACTTTTTTCCTTTTTCTCTCTAACTTTTCTTTCTATTCACGTGTATAAATCTATTATATATCAATGAGTATCTCATAAATTAAAGGCCATTTCCCCTATATTTCTAACGTAGCTACAATTAACTATAAAAATGATTAAACATTCGATATATCATTAACAATCAGATAACAAATTAAACGTCCATTTTTTTCAGATAAGATTAAAACGTCGATTTTTTCAAATTAATTTGAACACACATGATTATTTTATAATTATAATAAAATTATATTTAAATTACTTGTGAAATCACAACACCGCTCTGCCTGTGAATTTTGAAGATATGTAAAATATAATAAATTATAAACGATATAAAAATTTATATACGAGTTAAAATTTGTATAATGCACATCTATGACCTGTGATTCGATAGACACAAAGACAATTTATAGTTTCATTTGCGCTCTCATAATTTGCAAATTTAATCGTTAAAATAATTAATATTTTTATACTACAAAATACATTTTTTTGTCATTAATTGATAAATGATGTCAATTATATTTCATCGATTTAACAAATACATATAAAATATATATACATATATTTAACGATAAAATATAACTTATTTATTTTGTGTATAGCGACTTTGTTTAATCTATAAATATTTTGCAATTACGTTTTTAAGGCATAAATGTAACGTTAAATTAATGACAATAAATGTATTGTGTAGGCATTTAATGCAATGCAATGTGTGATTAAATTTCTTAATTATCTCATAATTTCAATAAATTTATCAAACCGCGAGTAATAACTAGGTAAAATAAACAATGTAACATGTAATACTCGCGAGAATAACAAATGATAATGCGTAGGCAATTAACATTTTGATAATTTTTACGCGTTCCGATCGCAAAGCTCTGGTTTTAGTATTTTTTTTATATCCGGAGCTTGCCAATTCCGAAGTTAGCAATAATGGTTCCAATAACAATAAGCTTGATCTGTTCCTTCGATATTCGTTGTCTTTCGATTCATGCATTAGATAATTTGGCAAATCTTGTAAATCGTCGTTATTATAGTCAATGCATCTCATACAGCTTATCATAGTACTATTATCGCGATAAAATGTCATGGATGCGCAACCGGCTTTTGATATTCTTACATAATAGTTATTCACATAGCGATGATATAGCTGAGTGTTTACGATGACGTCGCGGCAAGAATAATTTAGAACGTAAATATTCGGCTTCAATAACGATTTCAGATCAAAGACGTCTCGGGGCCAACAGTGAGAATAAAATATACCCGCGGCGTTAGTTTTTGTGTAATTATAGATCAGCATGCACTCTTGCAAATTTCGATCGTATTGCAAGCGGTGAATATTGTCGGATAGATCCTTTTGCGAGTCGCGATATGCGAAGCACGAGACGTCATCGCGTTGACACAGAACCACCTCTATGGCGAATAATGATTCCTTTATGTATATTAAACGATCAGTGTACACCGGACTGTATTTTATTCTCGCGCATTCCTTGCAAATTTTATTCCGCGGAAGGAATAATGTATCTATGAAAGCTTTCGTTGTGCTGGGATTATACTTCTCATAGCAATCCTGAATGTCATATTTGTGTAAATTACTATATGGTTCTTTAATCGCTCTAATTTCTTCATAAACATTCGACGAAGCTCCAACATTCGTTCCAGCTTCATTCTTTCCATCATCATTTCCCATCGTTGCGTATTGTTGATTGTAATTCTTTGCTTTCCATTCACTCTCGGAACATATTTCGTTTCTTGCATCTGCTGAAATCTCTGTCAAATTGCTGTTCATGCAATGAAAGAAATTGTATATCGGGTTACCAACATGTATGTCATCGCGTTTTCTATCAATCGATCTGTCTTCAGTTACGGCAGTATCATTTCTTGCAGATATAATGTCAGCAGTGGCTACAGTTTGTGTATCTCTTACGTCTATGTGCGTATCGAGACGGTATGCGTGTGTTTCCAATGTGCGCGGTGTCGCTATTGCTCTGGTGGGAAAGCGTACGTTTGTGTCATCCTCTTTGCTCAAAGTGCTATTATATTTTAATTTTTCTAGTTTTAATTGCTCTAAGTGTAATTGGCGGTGGTGAACACACGCAAAATGATATCAGTTCCCAGATCTCATTTGCTCAGATCCTAATTCCCGTTTGATCTTTTGCAGGTCATAGAGAACCTGGATTCCGATAGATAAATATAAAAAATGATAACGCGTCACAAATAATATCTCTAATAACATTTTTAATTAATAAGAAACATGAAAGATTATTCGCCGTGAAATACAAACCTCTATTATAGCTGAGGCACTCCATGCTTGAGTGCGACAGCTATCCTTACAATAACTTCCATCCTTGTTGGTAAGTTCGGGCAGGCCTCTCCAATGATTAGTAGACGCTTCAATAAAATGTCGTGAAATGATAGCTTCAGTCGACTCAATTGTACGCCGTAATTCGTCCTTTCCGATTAAAGATGCAAAATGCAAACGTGCTCGCAGAAAATATCCTATCGGCCAGAGCCATTCCTAAAAAAATATTAAATTAGAAGTATATATTTTATCCATAAGAGGAATAAATTTATCTTAACATTCTTTTTTTTCAATCTATATACATGTCTAGAGACATATGCGATGATTAAGAATACTCACAGGTCCCTGATGATAATTCCATCCTTGCGCTACTTTAATATCCGTACTATCATTGGAGTTATCATAATAACCATTGTATGCCCAATCCGCAGGATCCAAAGTCTTCATTCCCAATGGACCTAATAGTATTTCTTCCGCTTTCTTTAGTGCAGTCCAAGCATGATGAGGATTAAACAATTCTGGAGCCTATATAAATAAAAATTATAAATATAGTTATAGTTATTACTGAATTTTTTTATATGAAAAATATTATATTCCTCCTTTTATAGGGAGATTTATCACAGAATATTGTAAAACTTACGACAATCATAGTGACAGGAAAATTGGGTCGCAATTGATAATCCGCCCATTCTTGTGTCGCTCCATAACTATCCTTGACTATACCTCGTCGATGAATCAAATCGGGTCTCAATTCATCCTGTGTCGGAATCTCATTCACATAAAAGTATTTTTCGAAATTTGCTTGAATTTTATCGGCCCATTGCTTATAACTCCAGGTAATTATTTTTCCTGCGCAGTTCATGTAATAGTTATAATCAAGTCATAATATTGATTATACACGATTCGATATTTTTAATATTACCGTCGCGACTTTTACGTTGAACGCTGCCATACGGGAAAAGATTTTGCTTATATAATTCTGCCAGAAAAGTGAGGACGCACTTGCTCAATCCGACCAACTCCACAGCAGAACCGTCTCTAGGAGTGGCCGGCTTGCCTTTGTTACCGGCTTTTTCGGAAGATCCCATCTTGTCCATCCAGGTGCCGCAATTGGCGTCATTGCCGCCAAAAACAAAACCTGTGTCAGGATGAACTCCGATTTGATTATTGAACCCGCGATCCGTCATTTGCTCGTCGATTTGTCTGCCAGCGTTTCTTTCTCGAAAGCAAAGACCTTGAAAGTGTATCGTGAGAGCTTCCTGGATTACTTCACATAATGGTTGATCCTGAAATCATTTTTACAACTCGTGCAATATACAATTTTAATTATTGCAGTTATAAAATAGTTACTTTTATATATCGACTTACATGCTGTCCCGCAGGTAAAGCTGGCGAATCATCAGTCGGGTATAATCTCGATACTTTGTCGGATAAGATATTCAAACCATCTGGAACTTCTTCAGTGTAACATTTTATGGTATAGAGCCACCACCATATTGCGTCACGACAATTGTATCTATTATAGAATGAAATCAAAAGATAAAGCTCGGATTAAAACTTGATCTATTGTTTTAAAACAGCGTAATATGTGTTCTAAAGATATAATTATACCTTGCATTGCTTCCTTTATCGAGTAAATTTGGTATTAGACCATGTCGCAAAGTTCCAGCAAATCCGAGAATTATAAATCTCGCTTCGACATGCCTGCCTGTTAGAAGTAACAATCCTCTCAAAGCAATGAAGGTATCTCTACCCCAATTTCTCATGTAGCCTGTTGTGAAATGTGGGAAGCCCGCTGACAATGTTAAACATATCTGCTTAGTTTCTCCGTCGTAGACTTTAGTTTTCGGCTTAGGCTCTTTGAGATTCGGCGATAACTCTGGCAATTGTGATGATCTTATTACACCGCCCATTTGTATCGAGACCAAACTTAATAACTTAATGAATGTGTTCCCATTCTTTATGAAGCTGAAATAATGTTTTAATTAATAGGAAATAATATAAAATAAACGATTAATTCTTTCAATTTTTACACAAATAGAAAACGAAGAATTTATAAATTTATTTTAACAAATCGATCTAAAATATTTAAATCTATACTTACTCTGACATTAGATTGTAGCAGTGATCTAAAAGATTTATATAAACATTGACGATTATAACATCAAAATAACTCGGCACCAAGTATCTCGGAATTAATTTGAATGGTTCCATCGTTTGTTCAAGCCATATGCCAAGAGGCTTAGTATCATCATCTTCTTTCAGACGTTGCCACATGTAATCTGTCAATTTTCCAAACAATTTTCAGTGCTCCTTCTTATTATTACTACGTAGAGTTATTTATCGGAAATAGATTTTATGGTATTACCTATCAACCAATTACCCTGTCTAAGATTTGCGCATAAAGGATGTCCTAGATCATTATTCGGACGAATATCAGCCAGTAAGGATATAATGCCTAAATTTGAAAACAAGTTTAGACAATATGAATAATATGAATAATATATTAAAATTGTAAAAAAATATAAAGTAAAAATCTATAGATTCATAGTACCTTGCAATCCAGCATATACCAAAGATCCATATCCCGGTATATTGTATACCCCAAATTTACCACACGTTTCTTCTCGTTCCTCCTGATCGGATCTATATAAAATTTTATTCAAATCTGAGAAATCCATATGAGAGATTATATTATGTAATTCAGATTTCTCGTTTGAAATAATCTGTGAAATAATATTTTGAAGCTTTATTAAAGCAGGTTTTATATTTGCGTGGAGCGCCACTCTGAAATTAAATTCGTATAGTAGTTAGTATAGTAGATTATAGTAGTTTTATTGCTAGACTCGATATATTTTAGAAGAGAAAATTTTGTACCGTATAGCTATAACAGAACCAGGTTGGAAGTTTACGAAATTGAGTTGAGTGTTCTTAGGATCGCCGGAATCGACCTTCTCGATTATTGTAGAGTCGCAACATTGTATGTGCTGTTTAATGGTTAAGATATATTCGGATAATCCATTTATGAAATTTTCATTTTTCGTATATTTTTCTGATGAAGAGAAAGGTGATTTCCCATTTCTGTGTATAAAATAATATTTATATAAAGATTATTAAATTTTTTCAGATTTGTCCTTAAAAATTGCTCCTTACTTGGTATCTACATGCGACAGTGATGCTTCCAAAATAATTTCTTCCACTATACCCTCTACTATCAACGGTCTTACGTGTCTTCTCAAGTCATGAGCGTTTGAATCGGGATGCTTAAATGCTGTGAATGCAACCAGAACTACACTTTCGTGACTAGTCGGCGAATGTCTTGTTACAGCTACTATATCAGTGTCCATTTGATCTACAAAAACCTATGAAAATAAATTTATTATTAGTAATCAAATATATTAAGCCTTTGTTGCATACATACATTAATGCAAATAATTTATACCTGTGAAAATTTTTCTTGGCCGAGCATATAATGTAGATCGTTTAATGCTTTTTTGGCTGCAATTATGCCGGTTTTTGAATTAATAAATTTAGTATTATTCATCAGATCATCATTATCCAGCCAGCTTGTGTATTGTCTTTCTTCGTCTACTACATGTATCTGAAGAAAATAGAATCTTGCCACAAATCTTTTATAATGTAAATAAACAAAATTTTATAATAAAAATGTATACAAACATTTCAATTTATATTCTATCAACTTACGTGATGGGGCACTAATTCATCGTAACCGCGATTACTGCCACTGGCACAGCATGCCATTGATACAAGCGCAGCGCTTGGAAGTAAATCAAAAGCACTTCGTTTCTCCACTGGATTTGGGTTATCGTGCGTTACATCCAGGAACAGAGCGTGTGCTATACTTGGCACCAACGGCCGTTTTCGTGACTGCAGAAATGCTCCAACTGGTTCTCCTCCATAACGATATACCAATCTTCCTTCTTCGTGGCTATCCCATGCTGACATAGCTTCTACAATATAATTTTTATAGTTTTTAATGTATCTTAATTTTATGACATTTATATATTTAGTATATAATTATTTTATATAAAAAATAATTAAATATATATATATATAATATAAAAAACAATTTAGAAAGATTAGTATTTCAATATGAAGAAAGATTGCAGATACTTTTGTTTTCATTCTAAAGAATAGCTTGATTACGATGCTGTGGAGTGCATTTACATTTAGATGTAAAATAAGTTAAATTTAGTAATTTTTGTAGAATAAATTCAATTATATTATAGAAATAAAAATAATAACCTCTAATTAAAGAAGTAATACCAAGACGATTTACAAAGATGTTGTCTTTTTGATCAGAATTGGTGAACAATTCCGCGACAACATAGAGATTTGGACGGATTCGTCGTGCAGCATCAAGCATATACTGCAAAGAAAATCATGTTATTTAGAAAATATTCTAATATAAAAGTTACAATAAAATCGCAACATACTTCAGCAATGGGGATTGGTGTGGAATGACAATTGTCCAATCGAACACCATCGAATATCTGCGCTGTTTGTTCTACGTAAGCCGTCATATGCTGCCACAAGAATGGACAGTCCTCTGGTTTCTCCCCATATCTATAATAATTACATTAATTGTATAACGCAAATTGTAAATTATATATTAAAGTTTTTAATAACAATATCGGAAACTGGAAGAATATTTAACATATTTACTTTTACCTAAGTTTCACACTATCTCCCCAAGCAATAAGTTCTCTTCGAATGTACACATTAGAATCAGATTCTGCAAAGTTCTTCAAAGGGTCGCTATTCATGACCCAACCATTGTGAGCCATAAGATAACATCCATTATCTGAATACATTATATTTTCTCTTTCTACCAAAGATGCAGGTGCTCCGTAATCAGTGAAGTATCTATAAAATGTAAATTTATCATATCAAGAATATATGTGTGATTTTACAAAACTTTATATTATATATATATATAATATATATATATACATATATATATATATATATATATATATATATATATGTAAAATTATATATATACCTAGGAACAAGAGGCTTCTTTACGCTAATTTCCTTAATTTTTGGCCCATCACATTGTACTCTGAAGTATCTTATACCAGCAATAGTATTTTCAACAGCAGCATTTAAATGATTTTGTACATTGTTGCTAATAGCTTCATTGAGTTCTTGTAATTTATTCTTCAAGTCTTCTGCGCACCGTTTCAAACGAGTCTCCTCGTCAAAACAATCAGCTCTATATAAAATAAAAATCGCTTAAATACTTGCAAGTATATAATCAATTATTTAGCTATATTACCTTTTGTATATTTTTTGTATATTTTACCTGTATGTATTATATTTTTTCAAAGCAAGTTGCATGTTTATAGTTGATTTCAATCTGCGAAAACTGGGATCTTGAATTATTGAAATGTTTTCAGCATTTGTATTATTCACATCTTGTGGCATTTCATTGCGCGCCAAGTTCAAGAATTCCATTATAATTTCATTGATATCGACGATGTACATCTCGTATATCTTTGCAAGCGGCAAGAAATATGTGTGAAGAGCATGACGAATCGCCTGAAAACAAAGTGCATGTAAGAAATAAATTAAGATAAGATTAAGAATTAGATAAAGAATAAAAAATGAAAAATCAATTATATTGTAGTAACGATAACATGTATTGAAATAATGTGTAACTTACATTCAAATGATCTTCAGTCTCGACCACGGTAGGAATACCTTTAAATTCCCATTCTCCATCAGCCACTTGTATTGTTAATTCAAATAACGTTGCATCCAAAATATATGCCGGACGTAAATGAGGACTATTAATGCAGTTGTATGTGCATTCTGGATGAGAAACTAGAAACGGACTCTCGTTTGCAGTATGATTCAGAACAATATCACATATGCTTAATACCTATAATGTGTAAGATAATTAAAAAGAATACATTTAAATATTAAAGGAATACATGTTTCATTCTATTCTTGATAAAGATATTCTTGAAGATAATACCTTCCATTCAGTTCGCATTTTGTTTACAAATTGCTCGATATCATGATAAGTAATTATCTGATTGTCTTCATTAAAAACAGGATTAAGTTTCATTTGATTCTTCAAACTATACGATGATTTAGAATTTCCCAATTCCTAAAATATTAACGAGTTCGATTTATTATAAACAGCGTTTTTTATTCATTATGCTGTTTAACATCTTGCTTACCTGTATTGGTGTAAAATGAATCATATTATATCCAGAATTTCGCGTTACTAATAATTTATCTTCCCATGTAGAAAAAGGCCCTAAACACTTTGCCAAAACTGTTTGAACTTGAATGCAATCCAATGGTAGTTTTTTTCCATGTTCATCTATTTTCAATTCAGGATCCACCAGCAGATACCCAGATGCAACAGGTTTAATATGCCCCTCAACTCTGCAAAATAGATATATCTCATTATTGAAAAATGAAATTGCTTATGTATAAATAGCTCTTTTAATTTAATAATACTTACTGATCACTGACATAGTAGTGGAATGATCCTGGCAAGGTTAAATATATACTCGCTGATTCATCAACCCATTGCAATTGATAGTAAGTATGCCTTTCAAATTTTTTGTCACTCGATAATGGATGATTTATAAAAATATCAAGTTTTTTTCCAAGAAGGGAAGCCCCAAGTCTAAATTCAATTTTCCATCCTATTTCAGAAATATTATTTAAAATAATATATTATAATTAATAACAGAGAAAAACGTTGAAATATAATTGAAAAATATATAAAGCTTTAAGAGAAAAGTAAAATCTCTAAAACCTTTCTTCAATCTGTATAATATCCCATCCAGATGTTCCCCATTATTCACAGTTAAGATTCTTATCTGTTCATGATTTCCAGTTGTAGGCTGTGATGATAGATCGTGTTGTTGCATATCTTTAGTATTTATTATCTACAATTGTGAAAAAAATTTATATTAGATACGAAAAGAAAATGACGCTTTTATCTTATCTTCATCAGATTGTAATACAATTCTTACATAATCAAATAAATCTTGCTAGAGATTATTGTATAATATTAGTTTATGATATATTTATAATAAATATAATAAAGTTTATTTTCTTCCAAATTATTCTTTAAACATGAGAGAAATTTGGAAAATATATATTCAATGTAAAAATATAATTAAATGATGTGCTAATATAGAGCTTATACAAAGAAAGTTTAAGAAAATAATAGTTTTTACCAAGAACACAATTCGCCAAAGAGAGATCTTTTGAGAGATACTTACATCTCAAACGTCGAAAACGGATATGTAGTTACAGATAGAATATAAGCCTTAATATATAAGTTATTGGCATAAAGCAGTTAGCAAGCGTGTATAATATTACATTACAATGTTCTGCTATGCGAGCATATATAAAAGCTACAGCTATTCTCTTACTCTACATATACTAGAATTACAATACCGTAGTAATGTGACAACTGCTTCCTGCCATAAGACTTGCTTCTGTTAACTCTAATAAATCTACGTAAGTACAGACCATCCATCATTCTGGCGTTAAACAATGTATCGCTAGAATTTCTTGCTTAGAATATGTCTAGTTTCACATTTTACATATTATTTAAATATATATTTGCTATAGAAACTTACTTTATTCGGTTTTACAAATTTCCATTTATGGATATATCGTAGACAATATCTATAAATCCTTAACAGCATTCTTCTTAAATTGTAAAGAAAGCGTCTTATTCTCGAAGCCATTGTCAAAGCAAGTAAGATATAAATTTAATTGCACTTAATTAATTGATATAAAAAATTTATTAAGAAAATATCGCAGTATTTGCCTTCATTTTATTAAATATGAGTTAAACCCTGTATGCGTGCTACCTATAACAGATACATATATAGTAAGAACTAGTAGAGATGTTGTAAGTAATTATTAAGTATAAACTATGAAATATACCTGTAATATACAAATAGTTTAAAATTACTTATTGAAAAAAATTTATAAAATTAATTATAATAAAATTGATAGATTTAATTATTTTATATAGATATAGAAAGTTAAGAGATATTGTATTATAAATAGTTACATATGAATATGAGTAATGGATTAATAATTTTTATTAACACATTTTAGTTTATACAAATGACATATGACATATATTTGTAAGTACATATTTTGTAAAAGACATTAACATAATTATGCAACATATATCACTGTTTTATGTATCACGCATATCGTCTATAGATAAAGACAATATATAAATTCATTTATGTAAAAAAAATTAGTAATTATATGATTCAAGTATAATAATAAAAAATGTCAACAAGCTATGTAACTTTGCATAAATGCAATTAAACAGAAATATAGTACTATAAAGAAATATACATGACACAAAAATACAATATATAAAATAATGTAACAGTAATAATAATGAGACTATTAATGATTAGTATATAAAATATAAATTATCATTCGTACATACACAGAAAGAGAAGTAAGTAACACATATCACGAGTACAAGTATCGACATTAAAAGACAATCCGACAAACATTTTCACAAGACACATTAAGCGAATCTCAGTCACAACTGTAATTAAAATTTGATTAATATATAAATACATGCGATACGTAAGAGAAACGATATCCGACACATTTATTGAAGAATTACACATTATGTACGTTATTTGAAAATTTCCTACCTATATAAATGTCGGTGATAGAAATGTAAAACGATCGCGTAGCACATTCGTTCTCATTCGAAAGATCGGTAAGGAAAGCTCAGCGCGCACAAGTTGACCTCTAATTTATTAAGGACGGAGCTGTGAAGGTCAACAAACACGCATGGCCGGGTTGATATGACGGCAATCTGTTAACGGATTTTAAATTATGAATACTCTTTTAAAATATAACATGCGTAAATACCACATTATGCGCAATTAATTGTGATGTAACTTTTTAAAGAGAATATTGCAAAGATAATCGCACTCTTCTAAGCGACTGACATGACAAGACATGATTTCCTTGGCTTTTTTAGGGCATTCTTTTATTACGAATTTTCGTACGCAATAAAAAGCGCACTTTTGGTTTGAAGAAAATTTCACAGATGCGTTCAAAAATTTGTTTATCGGGTAATGCAACCTTTGATCGACCAATTAGAACAAAGAAATCTTTCCCATTGGACATTCAAACGATACTCTCCTGACAAATAAATTTTCGAACGCGACCAAAGAAAATCTAATTTTGGCGGAAAATTTTAAAGTTAATTGTTATGGAAAAATAAATAAAGTTATCAATCTTTATAAAAAAATAATAATAAATAAAAACTAAACAATATATTAAATTTTAAAATATAATTTTGACAATTTTCGGTACGTGTGGAAAAATCTATCTTGTGTATATTAAATGAAGAATCGATTGGGAATTAATAATAGTAATTATTTTTTTCGATCAAGCTTTCTGAAAAGAATCGTAACCCGTGTCGTGTAATATTGCGCATAAATTGATTTTTTATCGCTTTTGCAAGCAACTATAGCGACAGAATTTCTAACCTCAACGTGATATTTCCTCAGCGCGAATAAATCCGATTGCAACTCATAATAAAATATTTTTCATATATAATATTTATACATATATCTATCTGAATTAATACGTACATTTCGATAAAACTGACGAAAATTGTATCCTTTCCAGAGTTCGTATCTAAACAATAATAAATGTTATCTATTGGAAATATTGTAATTTCAATGGTTTCATATATTTTTCAATGTTCTTTATTATATTTATATTTTTTCCTTTATATAAAAATTTTCATAAAAAACTTAAATATATATCGCGATGTCAGTAACTGTATCGATGTGCGCTGCTTCTTTCCTAACCTCACTCACATTGACATTTAGCGCCCTCACGTAAAATGATGGGAGTCTCAGCGAGGGGTGCGATACATATGTAACGTGCGTTATTACGCTGATCGACACGTGTGATTACGTCGGCGATTAAAACGCACTTTTAATAATTTAAACGATAGAGCTTCGACTCCACGTCGCTAATTACGAGCGATATCACGAATTAATTATCGTTATCCTTGTCATTCGAACAGCGCGTTCGCTGTCTCTTTACAGTCCTTTTCAAAATGGCAGCTACGGACGAGCTGAGTAAGTATTTCTCGGGAAAAATATTCGATAACGTCGCGAAATCTCGTTCCGATATTCATAATCGGATCGTAAATTACACGTCGCGTTAGCCGTCAATCCTGACACGAATGACGACGAGCGCGAGAACGAATATTTGTCCGTAAAGTGCTCGAGAGACAATTTCGATTGTCATGCTGCACTTTGATAAAAAAACGGCTCCGTAAAATGTAACTTTTTTTGGTAAAATTACGCGTGAATTTTTATCTCGTTCGATATTTTCCTTCCTTTCTCTCCGTATATCTTCGTCACGTGCTTGCAACTGTCAAATCTCAATATCTACGTTTACATCCGATTGATTAATTTCGATTCAACAGTTCGTATGACAGCGTTTTTCGTGATGTATAACTTTATATATTTCGATGGCTTCGTTACATTGTTGAAATAATAACGCGGATCGATAGGTCTACGTATGCATTTATATATTTTCTATATTTCTCTTGACATTTCTCTTTGTCTTTATAGATGCATAGAACAAATTGACATATATCGCATAATTGAAAATCTTATTATTTGTTTTTTACGATTATGTTAATAAAAGAATTTGGATACTATAAGGTATTGATTTTTGTTTTATTTAGCTTTGCTCGAGCGAGTATTCCTTCGTTTGGGCTCTGCAGAAACAGATGAACAGTTACAGGCATCAGTCTGTAAATTTTTGCCTCCTGTATTACTCAAGTTATCTAGCGGACAGGAAGGTGTTAGGAAAAAGGTGATGGAATTGTTGATTCATATAAACAAGAGAATAAAGAGCAGGCCTCAAGTACAACTACCTGTTGAGGCATTACTCCTGCAGTATCAAGATCCATCTGCTAGTTCGTTTGTGATTGTACGTTGGATATGTGCTGATTGTTATACTCTACAAGATTGGAAAAAAGAACACATAATATGTATTTATATAATTGCAGAACTTTACAATAATATATATAAAGTTAGGATATCCTCGAATGGAAATGAACAAACAAGCAGAATTAGTTCCAAGTGTATTAAATGCTATTGAAGGAAAACCATTGTCCCATCAAGACAGGTATGCTTATTAAATAAGAAATCTCCTAGTTATAAATTACATTGATTTTTATAAAGGAATTTTGATACAATTTATATTTTGCTTGTTATATATATTTACATTAAATTATTAAAATTTATATATTTTAAATTAGTTTTAATTTTAAATTAAATGTTACATGTATCAATATGTTATAGTATATGTTATTATGTATAATATATTAATATGTTATAATATCTGGTGATGTTACAGTTTAATGCTGATTATAATGCCAGCATTGGGACACATTAATATACCAACGGATCCTGATAAACGAGCATCTCTTTTAGGTTTACAAGATAAACCTTATGTTGCTAAGCAACTTATAAACTTTATGCTCGATATATTATTGCTACCATATGGGTAAGATATATTTTTTGTATTATTTTTAAACAATCATTTATACTTATTAATTGTGTGTATATGTATGATATATTATTAGGTCTGTGGGACAAACAGAAAATCAACAATCAGGTCAAACTATTGATTTGTCTCAGTTTACTGTGCCACCAGGTTTAAGCGATTATGCATTCAAAAGAGTAATAGGTGAAAACCCACCAACAGCAGAGCAGCTTGAACAAATAAAGTTGGGCATTGTTAAGTTTCTTGCTGGTGGATTTTTTCCAGATGCAGATATTCTGATACACTTAATTGTAGCAGCAGCAGATACTAGATTTAGCATTGCAAATATGGCGGATCTAGAATTAAAAAAAATTGTCGGGTGTGTGTACAAAAACTGTCATAATATGTTTATCAGCTTTGAGCATATCATAGATTAAAGATCTGTAATTTGTAGCATGATTCTCTGTTTAGGACATTGGATTGGTCTTCGATGCAATTAGCAGCTCCATTATATACATTATTTTTGGGTACTGATGCATTAGCTACACAAAAAGAGGTAAAACCCGAGATGAAGCGACATGCTGCGAGCACTCGAATTCGTCTCAAGCTTTTACAGTATCTTTGTCGTGTAACTAAGGCGGGTTTCATTATACCACCATGTATACAGGTAAAATTTAATGGCATGTGAAAAATATATATATTATTATGTGACATAAAAAAAACAATTTTTTTTTTCAGGTTGTTTTTGATTCACTTTATGGAAAGAATACAAATGCAAAGTTGAAATCATTGGCATTGCAATTTACATCAAATATCGTTCAACAGTAAGTTTTACAATTTAGTCTCTAATATATTTTTCTTTATTTTATTGTCTTTTATTTACTGTGGGAAAAATTGATAAATTTTTAATTTTATTCTTTAAATTACTTTATTGGAAAACGGATTACATTTATTTGTGCAATATGTAATGTATTATTAACTGTGTTTTATATTATTTATCTAGCAATATATTATAGCTTGTTTGTATAATAAATTGTATTTAATTTTAAATTTTTAAGCTGCAGTCTTGTACCATTAGCTCGCGTTGCTGGAGTAATTTTGAATGGTATGATAAAATTGCTCTCTGAGGGTGATGATGGACATAAATCAATGGCATACACAGTTATTGGACAACTTGGTCAAAGAATACCATCTTTAATAAACAAAGATTTGAGTTTATTACACAATTTGTTCGACACTCTTGTATCTGTAAGTATTCAATTTTATATAGATTACATAATGGCATATTGTGAAAAGAAACATTATATATGTATATATTGCTGATATTCAAGACGGATGGCGAATTACGACGAACAGTAAGAGATGCATTAATTTGCGTTACATCTGCGTTCATACTGAACAAAGAGGATGAAAGCAATATAGCTCTAATGAACGCTCTATTATCGGTTCACATTGAATCACCAGAATCTAGTGTAAGGCATGTATCGAATGCAAATTATTACATATTGTATTTATTGCATTATATTAATTTCAGTAAATTTTATTTTTAATTTTATGTTTGTCACTGTTATCTTGCAAACAGATTTGTGGCAATGCATTATGCTGCAACTGTGTTTCCACCTGATGACGCTCCCTCTCGATACCTCTTATTGTTAGCATGTGGTGATAACAAACACGAGATAAGTACAGAAGCTATGAAAGCGTTATATGGTGTCGTGCACAAAAATGAGGACGATCAACAGATTAATAACAAAATATTGTTACCCGAATTTGTGAAATTAGTGAGTTATATTTACTCGAAAATGCAATCGAGAATGCCTGCGAATAGCGGCAGAAATACGGACAAGCAAGTTCTCCCATACAGTGTTACTACATTTTCTGAAGTAAGTTTTTTAAACAGATTACTATACCCATAAATGAGGCGACAATATTTTTCTATTAATTAAATTTATATTTTTACAGATTATTACTTACTTTCGCGTTTGTCTCGCCAGAAGTGCTAATATTCCCGCGCGAAATGAACCACTACAACATCCTTGCGAACATACTCCGTTGATTGGGCGATACTTGGAGAAATTATACAAGGATCAACCAGAAATACTAAATCATTATCTTGATATGATTTTGCTCCTAAGTCATTCTTCTGCAGGTGAGAAATAATTAGACATCACATACACAATTATAATTACACAAAACATATATTGTACTTCAAACACATAATATATTGTACAACAAAATTTCAAGTTAAATGTGATTATTTTGTTATAGATCAAATTTCTTTAAATGCATTATTGGAAGTACTTGGGTCTGTTCCTCATTATATAGTAAAATCCTATGAAAAAGAATTGCCTTGGCTTCGGTCCTTACTCACTTCTACTAAGCAAGATGTACGACAACTAGCTGCAAAAATATACGCTGCTATCACCGGCTATTTTCCAAATAATGAATTTGAAAAGCATGTTTCAAACATCATGGATATTATGAATAAAAAGAATTTGGAAGCACAACATGGCGCATTAATGGCACTTACTTACATGATGGAAAGAAATTTATTGCAACAGCGAAATGAAAATAAAGATTTATGTAATTGGAAGACTTACAATGATATTGTGAAAGCAATATGTACGTATTAAATATTAAATTATATATTTAATATATTACGTACTTGTTTTATATATATTTGAGATATTCTTGTCATAGGTACAAATCTTCGCGATAACACGACGCTATTAATGGATGCTGCTATTCACGCCATTGGCGTCTTAGGAAAAACATATTCTTTGCCCTTGCCAATGGAAGGAAAAAATGATTTGAATAAGAAAGCGATAGTAGAAACTCTCTTTTCTGCATTATCCAATGCTAAGTTAAATACCAAGGTTTGTGTTCTAAATACAAATAAATACATCGTATAATTATTTAATATTTATAATGTTACATGAGAATTTATTCTTTCCTTAGATGAAAGAGAAAGCTGCCCTTTCACTAGGATATTTGTGTGTCGGTGAATGTTTTCCGCATACCACGGAGATTGCTAACAAAATCATAGCAACAGTCAAAGAGGTACATATCCTCAACCAAATTTGACCAATATTTATTACATATAATAAAACACAATATAAAATAAATTTGATATTTAACACACAGACGAAGGATATTGAAATCCATTTAATTCTGGGAGAGGCTTTGGTTTGTTGCGTTCAAGCGCAAGCTTCATCAGAAGCAAGAAATGCCTGGACAACTCTACCCGCCGAACATGTTGTTCCATACAGTAAGGAAAGCGATGAATTATTAATTCATGTATTGGGCGAATTACTTAATGTATATCAAGTGCCTCATCCAAATTTGCGACAGGTATCTATATTACATATTTTAAAGGGATAAAGTAATTTTTCTTGTATTAATAGCATGATGTTTTTTAAAGGCAGTATGTGTGTGGCTATTTACACTTTTGAAACACAACATTCAACGAGAATGTATTAAAGAAAGATTGTCCACTATTCACCATGCGTTTATAGATTTTCTTTCAGATGACAGTGGTAAATAAATATAAACTATTTTATTATATTCAGTTTTATTATTATTATTATTTTTAAAGAAATATAATTTTTTTCATCTTATAGATATAGTGCAAGACGTTGCTTCAAAAGGCCTTAGTTTAGTACATATTAACAGCAAACAAGAAGAGCGTGATGCTTTAGTATCTAGTATATTAGATCAGTTTACACAGGGTCGTAGGACAGTGCAACAAGTTACCGCTGATACAAAATTGTTTGAGGAAGGTCAATTGGGAAAAAGTCCATCTGGGTAAGATTAAAATTATATAACATATTTTCATGTTGTTTTAAGATTAAAATATTTGTTTTATAATAAGGATATTAAATACAAAAGGAAGGATATTAAATATAAAAATAATATAATCTTTTAGTGGCAGTTTGTCAACGTATCGAGAAATCTGTTCCCTCGCGACAGAATTGCAAAAACCCGAGCTCGTATATTATTTTATGCATTTGGCAAATCATAATGCAATATGGACATCCAAGAAGGGAGCGGCATTTGGTTTCGCAGCGATCGCTAGTATCGCGAAAGACGAACTCAATAAATATCTACCAAGTATTATACCGCGATTGTATAGATATCAGTTCGATCCTACGCCTAAGATCCAACAGAGTATGACCAGCATTTGGCGAGCTGTCGTTCCTTCAACATCGAAAGCCGTTAGTAATATATATCTGTCAATAATGTATAATACTTACGTATAATGGAATAAGCATAAAGATGTTTTTTTTTATATATCACCATATAGATTGAACAGTATCATAAAGAAATATTGACTGATGTAACTGATAATCTAACCAATAATGAGTGGAGAGTACGTATCAGTTGTTGTAATGCTCTCGCAGATCTTTTAAGGACAGCAAATGTTCAACTCAATTTCGCTGAGTGCGGTCCGGAACTGTGGAAGAAATTATTTCGCGTGATGGACGATATTCACGAAGGCACGCGATTAGCCGCGACAAACACTGCTAAGATATTTAGTAAGGTATGTCGCGAGTTTTTTTTAAATAATAGTGATCTATACGTAATTATATGATTTTATATCTTTTGTGAAAGATACTTATATTTTTAATTTTACACACATTTTACAGATTTGCATACGTCATTGCGATTTCTCGCATGGTAATGCGGGTAAAGAAGTTATTCAAGCGATATTGCCCGTGCTGCTTGACATTGGGATTACTCATACCGTGGACACGGTGAGATCCATTTCATTGCAAACGGTATCTCAACTCGTATCCACGGCAGGTGTTTTATTAAAACCGTCGCTGGTCAATTTAATACCTTCATTATTGGAAACGATTGGTGAATCGGAGAATCCTAAGCTTTCATATCTAAGTAATGTGTGCGGTGGGACAACGGAAACGCAGGAAGCTGTCGATAATCTCAGAGCCAATATTGCCAAGGGCCATTATGCGTCAGATACAATAACAAAAGTATTCTGATTCATTTAGAAATTCTATTTCTTGGAGACAAATTTGATAGAATTTGAATATTTATTTCTTTTACAGTGTATCCAATATATCGATGCAGATGTACTGAAGGATTTAATGCCAAAAGTAATAGATTTAATCAAATGCAGCATAGGATTTGGAACAAAAATTGCTTGCTCGCATTTTGTAATTCTTCTCAGTACACATCTGAAGTTAGAATTGCAGCCATATAGCGGTTAGTAAATATATTTTAATTTCAAGAACATATGAAATACAAAATATTATACGTTAATTTAAGTTTAATCTAATTTATATATATTTAAACTATTATCTCTTAAGATATAATACTTACATAATACTTTAATATATATTTTATACAATTTTTATATAATTTTTATTTAATTAATCATTTATATTATTCTCATCTAGCTAAAATTCTATCTGCCTTACTTAATGGTTTAATTGATCGTAATGCTGCTGTGAGAAAAAATAATGCAATTTGCATTGGCCATATAGTTGGCTCGGCTAAAGATTCTAGTCTGGATAAATTATTTAATACTCTAAATACATGGTATTTAGAACGTGAAGGTACATCCAAATTCTAACTATATTCTTTATTTTGAGTAATGTTATATTTGGTTTCATAAAATAACAAAAAATTATAAATTTTAGATGATGCAATAAGATTAGCAATTGGACAAACTTTGCAATCCATAAACAATTATAATCAAGAGAAATTAAAAAATTATCATAAGATAGTGATTCCTCTTACATTTTTTGCAATGCATGCAGAGAAGGTACCAGGTTTGTATTCCAGTTATAATTATAATTTATAACTTATTATTTATGTATGTAATAGTTATTAAATATGTAAATGTTATAATTTATTACTTATAAATATGTTGTATTTTTTTATATGTATTGCTATTTATTAGGGAATGAAAACACTATCGAATTATGGACTGATCTTTGGAACGAAATAACTCCCGGTACCGAAGCGGGAATCATGCATAATCTGCAAGCAATAACCGATATTTTACATACAACTCTTAAATCGGCGTCATGGACTACAAAAGTGCAAGCTGCAAATGCGGTTCATACTGTTGCCTTAAAATCAGGTCATAATATCGATATAGAAGCCAGAAATACTTTATTAAAAATACTGACGGACGGTCTACGTGGCAGAACATGGGATGGAAAAGAGCGTTTATTAAACGCTCTCGCAATGTTAGCGTGCAATAGCAAGTACGTATGTATAAGATATTCTTATTTTAAACTTTATAATTATATATAGATATGTTAAATTGTGTGTGTATATTTGTCAAATATATATGATAATTACAGAGAAGTTTTAAACGCGGATACTGCACTGCTAGATACAATTGTGTTAACACTATATAGAGAAAGTAAAAAAGAAAATGTTGAGTATCGTCGAAGTGCTTTACAAGCATTTGCTATGGTATTACATGAACTTGATATTGATAGATTTACAGAGACATATGAAATTGTACAGGAAATTTTGATTAAGGTGAGTTGTATCAAATATTATAAAGAAATAGCTGTAAATATACATGCTATATACATGCTATATATATGTGCTTTATATATTAGATATCTGATAAAAATAATGATGACGAAGAAGATACTGTGGAAGAAAGTAGAAAGAAAAAGGAAAATAATATAAAATTGCAAGAAACAGTTTATGAAGTACTTGGGAAAGCATGGCCCTCTACCAAAGAAACACAAGGTTAGATATTTTAACAATTTTGTGTAATTTAATTAAATGTAGAAATATATATTCATAGCTATGTTTTGAATACTTTTTGTTTGCAGACAAATATTGCATAGAATTTGTAACTCACTGTCAAAAAGTACTGCCAAATAGTACGAGATCTGTACAAGTCACCATTTTGATGGCATTAAATCTCTTTGTGGATAGACTTGTCATATTAAAAATAAATAAAACAGAAATATCATCAAAAGATAAAAAATTATTAGATGAGATAAGTGATAGTTTTAATAAAATATTATCATATTGTATAAGTAAGTATATACATTATAAAAATATAATTAAATATATGTAAATTATGTAAGTTATTCTATAATCGATAATGTCATATATACTATAGTACAATTTTTTTGGAATACCTTTAGATTTGTATGATGGAAATGCATTTTCTTTTTGTAGATATTTCAAAGTTCACCAGAATTAGAAAAGAAGCATTGAATATAGTTCTTTCATTAGGGAGAAAGATGCGTGAGTCTAATAATGATGAACAGCTTGACAAGATGACCCGCGTTTTGAAAGAATTCTTGCCCGATCTAGCAAAGGATAATCAACCAGAAATACGGACCAGAGTTGTTGATATTAAGGAAATGCTTAAAATTTAACTAGCCGTGCGTACCTTCAAAGTATATCCTGAATCGAATTTACGTATTCGCTCATGTCGCATATTGTCGTACAGTTGTTGGAGCGATAATAACAAGCAAAAATTCTGATAGCTACGGTTGCGTGTTTATTTAAATATGTTAATGTAGATGTGCCTAATATAGTGTTATATCGCTTAATAAGATGTAATTTAAAACTCTTGTTCATAATATTTTTCATTCACGCCCATATATTATACCTCAGTAATGATCAAACAATGTTACAAAGTTATCGTTTAAATATTTAATTCTTATAAAGATTTTTATTTGACATTGTTTCTACTTATATGTCGTATTGTATATATATAGAATTATATATATAGACTTAAGAATTAATCTCGACATGTTGCGATTTAAGTTTTATAAATATTCAGTTATTATTTGTAATTTAACATTTTTTTCTAACTTTATTGAGATTCTAAAGATTTTTCTCAAAAATGATCGCGCAAAACTTAATTCCAAGATTATTTCAACCTCCAACCTCCAACTGCACGAAAAAATACTTATATAGCATGTATCTTTTTTTACAAAAATCTTAAATTCTTGATATGACTATGGCCTATTAAAATCGAAATTTCTTTTATTGCAGCAATACACTAATAAGAAAAAGTTGTCTTCCCTTTTCCAACATAAACAATTTTTATAAGTTGTGTTCACGAGATTAATTCAAACTGTTGTCTGAAATGCTCAAAGATTTGAAATAAAAAATAATAGAAGATAAAATTTTATTTAAAATCATAACAAAATAGATTTTAATCTGTAAAAGAAGAATCTATCATATATTTTGTAAGATATGCAGGGAAATGGTAGAGTGAAGTCTATATGTGTACAATTCTTGGACAACTTCCATAAAGATACTGGTAAGAATGCAAGTAACAATTCAAAGAAATGATTAAATATTTCATATTCAATTATTCACAGAATATACAAAGTAACTTTTAATGCTTTTAACTCTATTTATGTTGTTTTAGTATATATTTATTAATTATTTTTTTAAATATACTTTTATTAAAATGAGTATAGAAATTTCCCTAGATAAATATATGACTAATAAGGCGAATTCTTATGTAAAGTGTATATATGTAGTCTGATAAAATTTATATAATTATTGTAAATAGTTTTTTTTTTTTCAAAAATATTTAAATATAAATCAAGAAAGAATCTCTTCTTATAAAAGAAGAGTATTTTATTTATTTTTATACATATACTATTACAAGATTGAATATGTAAAATTATTAAAAAAAACTTAATTATACATTTTGAACATACACAATATGATGACCATAAGTATAAAGATAGACTAGAGGTATGCTGTATATTTTTTTTATTATATGCATTGTATATATTCAAAACGGACAAAATAATATGATTAATTTAAAAAATGGCCAATGGATCTTCAGTCCATCTTTATATGTGTATGAATATTATACTAATTATTCATATTGTTTTTTCAATTCTTCATATGTTTCTTTCAATTTTTTTAACAATATTGATTTTCCAGGGCTCTGTTTCGATTCGAGATTTTCCTGAAGCGTTTTTAATTGGCATAGCAACATATATACAACTTTTGCAGGCTGGGTCTCTATGAGCATAATTAATAAGAAACAAGCTCTGTTAAATTCTATCCATTTCTGGAGATCTTCTAATGTTAAATGTAATAGCAATATTCTACCAAAAGTAGGTTCATCCTCTTTCAATAGTTCCTTATCATTTTGAATAAGTTTCTTCAACATCACATGCAACCCAGGATGTTCGATCAAACTATACTCCCTATCATTTTCCTTGATCTTCCAATTTACATCGACGATAAGCTTGGCAATCGATTTGAATGCAGATACAAGTTTCTCCCCAGATGCTACTTTTAATACCGCTAAAGTAACCATAGCTATAGCACTGCCGGATAACCACGTAACTGTATTTGCGTTTATAGCATCAAGAAGTGGATCGCGAATCGCTTCGAAAAGTTCTTTTTTCCTAATATCGGCTGGTTTCTTGCTTATCGAATTGTTGTCGCCTTGACGTAAATATTCTACAATACTTGGCGGAAAATAATGAGAGTCTCTTCTAGCCACGAGATACAATATTACGTGTCTTCCATACACATTTTCTGCAATATCTGTTAAATTTTCTTGCAATTCGACCAATATTATTTTCTTCATTATAACTGTGTCATCTATAGAATCGAAAAGCGCTAATAATATTATGTAACCGTGTTCGGACATACAAATCGTCTTTACATTCCCTTTTAGAGTTTTCATAATAACTTTTCTATCTTTATTATTGCCATGCCATATACATTGCACAGCAATCTTCGCTCCTATTTTCGTTCGTGATAGCATCACAATGAAACTTCGCAGCATAACTATCAATTCATTTCTATCTTCTATCGAACACACACAGAAGAATTCCCATAAAATTGTATGCAGTAGAGTAGAATTAACCAGACCTTTATTTAAAATCCTAATCAAATTCGTTTTTACGGCAGATAATGTAGCCATTTTCATATCTTTCGCATTTTCGAATACATCCGATAATGATTTAACGTCTTTCTCTTTTGCCTGCTTATATATGTCTCCATAAAATTCTTGCTTAAAGTATAATTTATCGACGTCTGTGCACCAAGTAGAGTATGTGAAATCGACGAGAGGAGCAGATACATTATGACTCATTAGTTTGACGATATTACCGTAAAACGTATTGATAACGTCATTCTTAATATCTCGCGAACCATGTTTTAAAATATTTCTAATGCAGTTTTTTGCATATTTTGATTGCAACATCTGAACAATGAATGGTTTTATTTCATGAAATATAGCCTGTCGAACATTTGCCTCACAGTATTTGATCATGCATTGAATAATTCTTGACATATCGTGTGTAAATATCACGTTGCTGTAGTGATTCTTCAACATTTCATGTAAACTCTGAGTTAATTTTATTCGATCCTGCGATGTGCAATCTAATCTACGTAACTTCTCGCTAATCTGTTTAGCTTGTATAATTTTATCAAATATTGTGTCATTATTCAATTTTTTAGCTCTGCGTTTCTGTCTGAGCTCTTTTCTTTCCTTTTTCAATTTGAGCCAATCTGTTTTTTCAGTTGTTGCGTTATTTCTGGCAGATTGGACACTTTTTCCTTTCGAGTTTTCTGATTCCTTGCTTTTAATATTTTGTTTAAATGCATTTTCTAACGAATCTATTCTCTTAGTTATTGCAGTATTATTTGCCACTCTGCAGTTTTTTCCCTTTGAGCTTTTCTTTATAAGAGTTGCCTTTACATTATTACCTGCAAAAGTAATAATTGTTATTTTATTGTTATATTTTTTTCAAGTTTTCTTTCTTCTTTTATTCTTACCTGTAGGTTTATTATCTAAAGGCTTCTCAAATCTCACTTTCTTCTTTTCGCTATTTGTTGTTTCTATACCATTTTTTGTTTTTAAATTGTCAGTATCTAAATTCCTTGCTGTTCTCTTCATCTTTAAATGGAGTTCTGAGAAATATATAAATATTTAAATTATTTTTCTTAACAACATTAAAGAATTTACGAAGAAATACCATTTTTTTCTACCTCCAAACGTATAAAAGTTTTATTTTACCTTAATCTAAACTAACCTCTTAATGCGCAAAATGTGATCTTCAATCAAATTTGTCTTAAGAAGAGTAGCAAAGCAACTTAATGTGGACTATTAACACAAGATATGAATAAAAAATGACGATACAAGACATTTGAATAATAATCTAAAGAATGCTTCATAGAAGGTTCCAGCTTTGCGATCGTCTACAAGATCCAAAATTACACCATGCGGTATTTTCATGCACCTGCACTGCACAAGCTATAGGCTTATTCTTTTTAGCTACACTGCTGCACTAGTGCTATTAGAGTAAAAGAAAGCATGTTTATCTCTTTCTAATTTATTGCACTAGTGCAGCAGTGCAGCTAAAAAGAACAGACCCCGTGCAGTCGACCACGTGACCTTCAGCTAGCTCCTAATTGATCAGCTCTCCGCGTGAAACGTTTGCGATTGGTAAGCTCTAAAGTCACTAAATTAACAAAGTACCGCAATTTTGATCTCAATAAGATAAGCTGGAGCAAAAATGGCGTCCGATAGTATAGATATAAGCGATTGTTGCATTTCTCCACGCAACAACCTGGCATTTTTGATATTTTCTTCTTTTTCTGTGCAACAGAAGGAGTTTTCTCACCTCACACACAACAGGACATAGGACAAACCAGGATCAAGGTTAGAAAAATTGCACTTAGTATAGATAGCTACACAAAGTGTGCACTATTTGCACTATGCGGTACTTTATTAATCTAGTGACTTTACCCGCGAGAATGTCAAGATTCGTTCGAACGCGTGACGCGCGTAAACATAATACACGAATGTATGTGCGCCAACAGCTCTTTTAAGAAAATACTCAGGACTGAAACAGTTTCACCAACTGGTCAATTGACGAGTTTTTTGTATCAGTGATTGGTAGAACTGTCTCATATATGAAATAGTTGAATTGAACTTTTTTGATAAGTTTATTCGTCGTTGTCGCGATATTAACGTCCGGAATAAGTGGAATATATTCGTAAGTTATATACAATTTTATTATTAATAAATAGTTGATTGCTCTCGAAATACGATACTCGATTATACGATAGGAATCAAAATTACAAATTATTTGTTGCAATCTTTACGAGTAATGATTATTCTTCTATTTCTATTTCGTTTCTATCCTAATATATATGTGTACACACACACATACATTTAGAATTCTAATATAATAAATAAATATTCTCTCTGATATCATTTGATCTAAATATAATTTGATTCAGAACGCGCAATAAAACGATCGAATAAAAATCGGATAATTAACATAACGGAAATATATATTTTTAAAGTTATATACAAGTGTATTTATATACAAGTATATCTTTAAAATCACACACACACACACACATACACGTACACACGGATTAATTATTTATTAAACACACATCTTTAAAGTCACACACACACGTACACACGGATTAATAATTTATTAAACACACATCTTTAAAGTCACACACACACACTCACACACACACGTACACGTACACACGGATTAATTATTTATTAATTTATTAAACGATTAATATACTTCGTGAAGTTATTTCCATTTTTATTTGCAATTATGATCTTTAATAAAGATTTCTCATCATAATAAAAAAATTTTATATCGTTTAACAAAAGTTTAAATTAGATTTAAAAGTATATTATTGCCTCTTTTCAGCGATAATAATTGATTATTTCACTACCTAATTCCTGAATAGCTATCATTACAGAGATCGCGTAGAGTTTGACAATGCAATAAAATTAATAATAAAATTCCAATAAAATTAAATACAAATTAATTATAATAATTAAATATAAATTTGTTTATAATTAACTTTTTCTACGTTGAGAAAAGTTCTTCGTTTCTTTTGGAATATCTTAAAGATTCTTTTATAATTAAATTTTACAAAATATATAACTATTAAATTTATAGTATTTAATATTTAGAAATAAATAGATAATCCATTTTTATATAGATTAAGTATACGATATTATTTATTAAAAGAACTAATATATCTTTTATGGGTCTTTTCGTTAAGTTAATTATTTAGATCTACGATTCGATTGTTTTACTGCATTTCAATCCGAATTATATATTTAAATGATCGAAAAATAAAACAATAATAAAATAATAAGCAATATATTTATTTTAAAAATAGTGTATATAAATAATAAATAATAAATAATTTTTATAAATTACTCACCGCATGTCTCTGCTTCAGACTCTCTTCCTGCTTTCTGACTGTCCGATACTTTTCCAGATGTCCTTCTCTTTTTTTGTTTCATCCTTTGTTGTTTCTTCGTAGCACTCACGTATTCACTCGCGAACAAACAATTACATTTCAGTTAATTATATTTCAGTCATATACAGAAACGATCGCGAGACACTTTGCACGGCACTCCCGATCGCAAAATAATCATACGAGATACGTATTTTTATTATATTATTATTATTTTATTATTATTGCAAGAGAGGAATACAAAAATTACAATAATTCGCTCGATTTTTAAACGAAGCCAAAATCATGCACCACTCGATTCTTACACTAATTAACTATTTCTACTTGTTGATAATATATGCATAATAACGCAAATCATAAGATTAAAATATTAAAGTAATGTAAATTGATGATACAGCAATCGTTTAATTAATATGATATATATGCATGCAGTTTAGGAAAGTTTAAAACATCGGGCGAAATCGAATTTCATTCTATGCAATGTTAAAGAAATAATTATTATTCGTAAAGTTCGATAATCGGAGAATATTGCGAGAAAATTTGTAATTTTTGTCCCTTTCGCTTCAATTTTTATTCGCAATAATGAAAGATCGCGTTTCGATAAATTTATCGTCGCCACAATTTCATGTCATTTATTAATTAATTATTTGTCAATTGTAATAGTCGAATTATTATATTTCGATCTAATCGCGATCGTACTTTTAGGAAAAGAATTCGATAATACGGAGCGTTCCGTATCACTATTTTACCGCTGGAATGTCGCCGTGCGAATGAGGGGGTCGTCGCGTATGTAACAATAGCGCGCTACGTCACAAGGTCGAATGACGTGTTAGCTCGCTACGTCACAAGGTCGAATGACGTATTAGCTCGCTGCCGAAATATTTAACGCGTACGTATGTGAGAATTGTATTTATATACAAGTATATTTTTAAAGTCACACACACACACACACACACACACACACACACACACACACACACACACACGTACACACGGATTAATTATTTATTAAACGATTAATATACTTCGTGAAGTTATTTCCATTTTTTATTTGCAATTATGATCTTTAATAAAGATTTCTCATCATAATAAAAAAATTTTATATCGTTTATCAAAAGTTTAAATTAGATTTAAAAGTATATTATTGCCTCTTTTCAACGATAATAATTGATTATTTCATTGTACCTATTTCGTGAATAGCTATCATTACAGAGATCGCGTAGAGTTTGACAATGCAATAAAATTAATAATAAAATTTCAATAAAATTAAATACAAATTAATTATAATAATTAAATATAAATTTGTTTATAATTAACTTTTTCTACGTTGAGAAAAGTTCTTCGTTTCTTTTGGAATATCTTAAAGATTCTTTTATAATTAAATTTTACAAAATATATATCTATTAAATTTATAGTATTTAATATTTAGAAATAAATAGAGAATATTTCATTTTTATATAGATTAAGTATACGATATCATTTATTAAAAGCACTAATACATCTTTTATGGATCTTTTTGTTAAGTTAATTATTTAAATCTACGATTGTTTTACTGCATTTCAATCCGAATTATATATTTAAATGATCGAAAAATAAAACGATAATAAAATAATAAGCAATATATCTATTTTAAAAATAGTATATATAAATAATAAATAATAAATAATTTTTATAAATTACTTACCGCATGTCTCTGGCTGCTTCAGGCTCTCTCCCTGCTTTCTGACTGTCCGATACTTTTCCAGATGTCCTTCTCTTTTGTTGTTTCATCCTTTGTTGTTTCCTCGTAGCATTCACGTATTCACTCGCGAACAAACAATTATATTTCAGTTAATTATATTTCAGTTATATACAGAAACGATCGCGAGACACTTTGCACGGCACTCCCGATCGCAAAATAATCATACGAGAAACGTATTTTTATTATATTATTATTATTTTATTATTATTGCAAGAGAGGAACACAAAAATTACAATAATTCGCTCGATTTTTAAACGAAGCCAAAATCATGCACCACTCGATTCTTACACTAATTAACTATTTCTATTTGTTGATGTATAATATATGCATAATAACGCGAATCATAAGATTAAAATATTAAAGTAATGTAAATTGATGATACAGCAATCGTTTAATTAATATGATATATATGCATGCAGTTTAGGAAAGTTTAAAACATCGGGCGAAATCGAATTTCATTCTACGCAATGTTAAAGAAATAATTATTATTCGTAAAGTTCGATAATCGGAGAATATTGCGAGAAAATTTGTAATTTTTGCCCCTTTCGCTTCAATTTTTATTTGCAATAATGAAAGATCGCGTTTCGATGAATTTATCGTCGCCACAATTGCATTTATTATAAGAGTTAATTATTTGTCATTTGTAATAGTCGAATTATTATATTTCGATCTAATCGCGATCGTACCTTTAGGAAAAGAATTCGATAATACGGAGCGGTCCGTATCGCTACTTTCTCCCGTTGGAATGTCGCCGTGCGAATGAGGGGAGGTCGTCGCGTATGTAAACAATAGCGCGCTACGTCACAAGGCCAAATGACGTCACAAGGTCGAATGACGTGTTAACTTGCTGCCGAAATATTTAACGCGTACTGTGACGTATGTGAGAATTGTATTTATATACAAGTATATTTTTAAAGTCACACACACACACACACACACACACACACACACACACACACACACACACACACACACACACACACACACACTCACACACTCACTCACTCACTCACTCACGTACACACACACACACACGTACACTGAGAAAAAAGTTGTTAACTCGACTATACCGTTTAACTAAATTATTATTTTTTTAATTGAAATATTGAAATATTTAAGTTAAATAAATGTCATGTTAGATTTATAATAGTTAAATATTCCAATTAAAAAGACAATAATTTAGTTAAATGGTTTAGTTAAGTTAACAACTTTTTTTCTCAGTATACACAGATTAATTATTTATTAAACCTCACGAGATGTATTAATCGTTTAATAATATAAA